TTACATTTGCTGTATTTCTAATTCCAAGAGTCCAATTATTATTAATAAAAACAAAATTACAAGTAAACCCCAAGTTTTTTTATATAAATACTAGGGTTAGTGTTTCTGAGGCCTTTAAATATCATTAAAGCAGGTGTGATTCATCAATAATTGGAGAGACTAGAAAGAGAAACTTGACGGAAGATTGAGTAATTCATTAACAAAAAATTAAAATAATCACAAGGGAGTACTGAGGATTGCTAAAGCTAAGACCTCAGTACGTCTAAGGCCTATTGTAAGAAAAAGTTCTAATCCATTAAAACTCCTCTTGTGAAATTCATCCAGCTACTCACCAATGATAGAGGGGAGATGAATATGAAGAAGAACACTATCAAATTATCATGCTTGGTAAACTAAGAAGGACCAAATCCATGGTGATCTTTGTTTCCATAAAACTTACACGAAAAAACAGCATTTGATTAGAAAAGAGAGGATAAAACGATGTAGGGTAAAATACAGATAAGAAAAGAAGGTTAGGAGACATAAAGAAGAGGTGATAGCGACAGCACCTTCACCTAGAATTATCTGCTAATAATTTCTTAAAAAATAAAAAATAAAAACAGAGGTGTCAATATACATGTGAGATGGAGTCTACTTGGCATAAATACACTATTCTAGTAAATAAGATTATAAGTAACCTGCTGTGGGAATAAGTTTTTAAAATGCCTTATTAGAAAATAAACATGGACAACCAACCATGTCTACACAAGTTATGAATGAATTAAGTGAATCATACAAAAGATACTAGTGCCAGAAGACAGAGGGATCTTAATCTATCCAGTGACTAATGCACAAAAGACTTATTGGGACAAAGTTTCGTAAACAAAACAATGCAAAAAACATACAGGTTCTCACTGAACATAGCCTTTTGTGTGGGTACCAGCAAGGAGGATAGGCCATTCTTTAGAGCCTTGCGATCAACAGGTAGATGTTTAACATTCCTAACTTTCTGCATGGACAAAATAGGGGTAAGAGCAAATTACAATTTTCAGAAAACCTCCTTTAAGAGTATAAAAGACAAACATACCTCATTTGTGACGAAAAACAACTGAAAGGATATCTTCTCATAATAGTGGAATGCTCCATCAGATAGTGAAGGTGAGATTATGTGTCTCATAGACCCCCAAAGGGATGCACCTAAATGAGCAAGAAAGGTATCCCTTGCAACTGTGTAGTTTTGAAACTCCTGCTAGAAAGATAAGTCTCCAACTCAAAGGCATGATAAAATATTGAGCCACCACATCCAAATAATAAAAAAGGATCACATGAACCTTCTATCTAATAAACCCATGCAATCATCTGTTCACTCTTAAAATCATAAAAACCAATTCTTCCGACCAAAAATCCAATAGTTTTTTCCTCTCTATATGGGTTTTTTAATATTTCTCCCTTAGCATAACCAATCAAAAGGGGAAAAACAGCATGATAATCCTTGTCAAATGACCAAATGGTATACCTCATGGGTATCACTGAAAAGATTCCAACTCTCCATTCGTTTTAATGCCTCTATGGCCTTTTTCTTATGACTTTCATCATACTCTTCACCATCGAGAGACTGGAGCTCATTTTTCAAATCCTGCATTCTCTCGTCAAGCTCTGTAACCACAAATATTACAGTTTAAGCTAAATTCACACAAGATACTGCAAAAGTAAGGAATTATGCAAATTTACACACACACACACACGCACACACATATATAAAAGCTATATGTGAACTAAACAGAGAGCCAATCTAGCATAAACGAACAAGAATAAAGAAACTACCTTCACAAAGAGCTAGCTTAACTCTCCTTCCCTTGCAGTGCTTGAAAGCAAAAAGCTCATAAATATCAATCTCAGCCAAAAGAATATCGATGGCCTGATGATCCTTCTGTAAGAATTGCAGAATCAATTAAAACCAGAAACGGAAACCTAGAAAACCTTACAATGCTTCATCTAGCTTAACCAAGTCATACAATTTCATCTCAAAACCCAGTCAAATAGCATCATATACAACTGTAATATTAACTGAGTAGTTCTCAAGTTTATGCTTCAGTTTCACAAGGGAAAGACTTCTCATTTGAAAAAAGAAGAAAGTAAGTTCTTAAAGGAAAACATGTGTTCCTGTAATGCCACTAATGAATCAATCCCTGCCAAAGTCAAGAGCAATTTTGACACTATTAGCAATCCACAAACTTGCATCTCTGACCCAATTAACCCAATGCACCCTAGACTCAACAAGCAGGCAGAACATAGTGAACCATGGACTAGTAACTACCTATTGTTTAAATTATAGGATAACTAGCTATTGTCCTGCACAAGAAGATGACAATTTCCAGATAGAGGTAAATGGAAATCCAACACTCAACTTGCTGAGAACCACAGACTTACATTTGTAATGCTTTTATCAAATCATCAATACTTACCTTGAAAACCTTAGAATAGGTAACCAACATTTTAAATCAAACCAAAAAATGAAATTCCCTTTCAGGGCCCTAGATTTGTGGCACCACCTATTTCTCTAAGGCTGCAAGTCTTTCTCCACAGGGATCGTTGGCAACTCGTATTTCGCATAAAGTAAAGGTACTATGCCTGTAAAGATACACATACCCCGCCCTCTTTAAGAGCTAGGAGGTGCCAAAACAAAAGCCTAGATTTCAATATCCGTCCAGAAGACAGCCCACATCATGACCCAACAAAAAGAATCCGTCATTAGTTGTAGAAGTCAAAAATAGGTTAATATTAATACACCTTTAATCCTGTCACCATGGTGTAGTCATGCAGTAACTTTTTTTTAGCAAAAGATATATGAAAGAGGATCTGACATGATGAATCACTACTTGTTTGATTAATTGTACATACATCACCAAATACTGAAAACTTTTCCTGAATTGCTTCTTGCAAGCGTTCTTCAGCTTCATCTTCTGAAATCTCTGGACGTCAGAAAAGGAGTATGTTATTGATTGAAAAGCCAGAAAAACTAGTATAAATGCTGATTGATGTATGATTCAACAATAAAGCAAAGTTTCCATGAAAGCAAAATACAAAGAGTTGATAGATGGTATTTATAAAACAGAATAATGTTGCATTGTTTCTAGTTTATCAAAATAACTAGTGATTGGGTCCATGAGATCATAAAAGAATTACTTTGACCACTTTAATGAAGAATGACAAGCAAGACAGCACATATCAAAGCAACTAAGTTCCAAAAAGATCTGTACAGTTCTGCAGAAGATGGAATAAAAGCACCTCAAAAAGAAATGAAAGAAGCAAAGCATCCTAAGTCCCTAACCCACAATGTATCTACCACAGCAACCATCAGATACATTCATGAGTGCCAAATACAAAAATCAATTCCAGAAAGCTTATATTACATGGGTTAAAAGTTGGTTAAATCCAGATAAAATAGAATAGACACAAAAAAAGAAGAAATAAAGTATAAAATAAATAAAAAACGTTCCAGTGGAATAGTCATCCATAGTACCAGCAACTGCACCAATAGTTTTCTGCACATTTGGCAAACTAAGCTCCGTGCGCACACCTTCTCCACCAACAGCAGGACCCCACGAGAAGGGGCCAGCAGTTAAATCAATAAAGGCCCACCTGATACAGAATATGCAACTAGTTGAGCCTCCACAGAGCATGTATTTGCGTACAAGAGAGGGATGGAGGGAGGGAAGATGAGGAAGAAATCGATACCTGTCTCTTCCGATCCATGTATCTGTAAGGCACTCTGCAGGAAAATCACTGAAGCCCCCAGATTTTAACTCTTTTTCAAAAAGAAGTTTCATATCCTCATTCTTCCCTTTCAACAACTTGGTATAGACAGAAATCAATAGTCTCAATAAAAGTGGCATATCTTTAATCTTCATTAATTTGGATAGAGAGAATGAGAGATAGAACATACTTGTAAGACTTTATTCTGAATGATGTCAGAAGTGTCCTTTTCTTGATATAACTTCCCAGCATTGTTCAACGCATCCAGGCAAATTCTGTGCCATTCCACCTGAAATATAGAAATAATTATTATGTCTTACACAGACATATTGCAATGTGATACATCAGTTTAAGATTCTTTCTGTTTAAAGGATAAAATAGAACAATTTTAAGATTCAAGATATAAAGAGTACTAACTGTATCGGTTTCCTCAGTTATTGTCCAGGCAAAATTGGTCATAGGATGCTTTTCATACAGAGGTCTCTTAATCTTATCAAGTGCTGCAAAATGTTTCCAGAACATTTTACATTTGAAAAGAACATTATAATATAAATAAAAAGCCTTCACAACATTTATAAAAGGATATGAAATGGAGCAGACAATAGTTTCATACCGAGGACACTTTCTGAAACGCCTCCTGACTGAAGAATTTTTGCATGCAAGCTCTTATTCTAAACAATACAAATAAACAAAAGATGAGTTCTGGAGCTGGTCTATAAAAATATCATATTAGCACCACGGGAGAAAAGGATATCAAAAATTTCTTCCTGAGAACTAATTAAATGAGGGGCTTTACCCAGGATTCTCATTGTAGCCAAAATTATTGTAAATTAAAATAGAATTGCACATAATTATCATGCTTGAAGGATGCCAACAGGTACACAAAGGAAAGAAGAAGCTGAAAGAATACCTCTTTTAGAAATGTTATTTCTGAATCTGACAAACCTCTCCTGCCATATCCAAATAAATTTCAAAACAAAATATGACAAATCTAAGATGCACTAAATTACAAAACACAACACAAATCACATGATCAGTCTCAGTGCAAGAAAATATTAGATGTAATGAAATGAACGGTTAGATAATTCGAGTTTCTAAAACCAGAAGTCTATAGATAGGATTCAAGCCAGCCATTCGATGTAGCTCATGTTCAAGCATGTATCATGTTGTAGTGTTCTTCTAAACTTGTACACAAACCGATAAAAGTAAGCAGGGACATCCTTAAAAAACACACACCTGTAGCCATATTTAGCCCTCCTTAAGTCATGTTTGGGATTCAAGATGAAAACGTTATATGCATTGTCAAGTTGAAGATAATCAACGAGACTAGTGAAAAGAGCATCCATCACGTCCATATCTACTTGCCAAAGGACATCCTTGTCATCCCTGTCAAGGATGAGCTACGGTTAAAAGAGGATGAGAGTGAACAGACAAAGCAAGAGCAAGAGAAGGAGAACAAATCAGACACAAATGAATGGTTACGAGGACAAATGTTCAGTGAACATCCACGGAAAAGAATCTCCAGAGAGAACACAATCTGTAGGAAAGAATCTCCAGAGAAAGAAAACAACATTTCTCTCTTCTTTCCAGATATGCTTCTTGAGCACAGAAAATTAAGGTTCATGACAGCAACACTAATTTGGGGCTGACGAGACATTCCTCCCAGCCTCATTCACTCATTGGAATAGTAGGTGTGCAACTGAGTCTAAAAGACATGATCAAAGCAGAATATATATGTGCAACCATGTTACTATAAAATATCAATTTACTCGCTGTCCAAATAGTTTGAACTTGACAGGTATCCTAACCAGCATGTGCAGATATATCAACTCCAATCTCCTCGAACAGTCAACTTCCATTTAAGCATTAAAATATTTACTCTGAAGCTCGAATGAAAACGTTTCTATTGACCACAAAAAAAAAAAAAAAAACAAAAAAACAAAAAAACAAAAAAACAAAGGTATATGTATATATATATATATATATATATATATATATATATCTTGCTGCCCTTTTTCACAACTAATATTGTCAATTATCACAAGAAATTAAATTGTAATCACACGTTCATTACAATTGATGGTAGACATGCAGCATGTGTAAGGTGAAATTGACTAATCCTAATTATTAGTTGTTACGAGCACTAAGCATAAGATTGGCATAAAGAATTAAAATGGGATTTCGACATACGGGTAAGGGCGGATTAAAATTGAACATATTTCACCTGTTATCAGACACATCATCCTTTCGAGCCAAAAGATTGATGGCATGCTCAAAGATAGAAGTAACCTTTTCACCCATTAGAATGGCATGAACAGAAAAACTGCACAAGCAAGTTAATTATAATGACATGAGCAGAACATCAAAACTATCCGGAGCAAATAATGCCACTGCATCTTTAAATCAACAAGCGCATATCAAAAGAAAGAAATATGCACACTATATGGAACCATTACTTGTAATTTATGTGACTGATCAAGGGAAGATGGTGATGTAGCTCTTTGTCTACATGAATTTTGTAAAATGGGGTGAGAACTTCTCCAATTTTTGGTACACGAGTATGTTCAAAGATGTGATCAATTTTTGTGAACCAACGCTCGAGTTCTTCTGAATGAAGCTTGAATGCTATACAAGGACAAGCAGATGAAAGAGGAAGAATAAAATGATTAAGGCAGTGAGCAAGAAATAAATGCAATTACGCTACTTAAAAAAAAAAAAAAAAAGATAATAGCCAATGAGATCATATAGACCTTGGTTCCCATTTCCTTCAAAGCCTATGAAAATGAAATTTACAGGCACTGGAAGGTGCATGGAATCCACTTCTTGGAGCTTAAGATAACTTGCAATGTTACCTGAAATATTATAATCACGAAAAATCATTTAAAGACCTTCTCTAGTTGACAAACCCAATTTGAAATTACAGTAACGAGCACATTTAGATAAACAAAAAATCAACAAGACGCAAGGGAGGAATGAGGAATTACCAGCTTTGGTGTAATTGATAGCTCCCATTTTGCCAGGGCTTGAAGATTCCAAATCATCAAAATCTGCTTTCCACAATCAAATGATAACTAGCTAGTCACTCCTCAGCTAATCAAATATTTACGTATTTCGAAAGGAAAAAAGTAAAAACAAGAAAGCCACATACCGCCACCGTGAATAACAGATTCACTCCAAAACCTACTCTTCGCATTGAGATTAAATAAAGAAAACACCGATGACGATGACTTGCCCGTTTTGCGATTTCCGGAAGGAGACCCATATGACCCCGTTGCTAGCAACTGATAATATAATATATATCAATGAATAATTTAGTCATTAATAAAATAAATTCAAATTGAAAGCAACATTCCCAAAATTCATAATAACGGAGCAGGATTATTCATAATTTTTTTAATCCCTACATATTATTATTCACTGGAATTCCGCAAAAACCCTAATTCTAGCATTGGATTGGAACAAAAAATCCAAGAAATGAAAATTGAGAATCATGCAAGAAAAGAAATTACCACTGTCAAAAGAGGGAAGATGACGATAAGAAATCTAAGAGAAGCAGCTGATCGATCAACGCCCATCTCCGTTTGAATCACTCTATTAACACTAGCTCCAGAGAGCAATAATTGTTCTTGCTCTGCTCTGCTCTGCTCGCTACTCTCTACTTAATATTCACGATCATGCCGATTTGCAGAGTAACTGCAGACAGTCTAGAGAACGATAGACCAAATGATAATAATAATAATAATAATAATACAGTAAATTACACTAATTCCCCTAATGTATCGCGTAATTACCATAACGACAAAAAAATACAAGTATCTTATAAATTAGTCTTCGAGACACCAATTAATTAGTTTTCTTTATTTTAAAAACTAATTATTTAATTTTTTTATTTTTTTTTCAATTTTCTTACAACTTAATTTTTGTTGTCTCTTTTTCAATTTTTTTAATACAAAAATAAAAATAAGTAAAAAATACTAAAAATATATGTCGATTTGGTGATTTAAATTTAGATAAGATTTCTTGCATATTAAAATTATCATATGTAGTGCATATAAATATTTATTTTATTTTGTTAGTTGAAGGGACATTTTCTATTGACTTGAATGAATATTTTTGGAATTAAAATTGACACCACTAGGGTGTTACAAATATGATTGTTGATTTCTAGTTATCAAAGAAATATGTTAGAAAATATGAAGAGACTAAATGTTACAATTGATAGAAATTTTTATAGAAAATATAATTGATAAATGATATAATATATAAGAGTACATTGAAATGTTTTCTTTTATTTGTCAATTAGTTATTTTAATCTGTGTGATATTATAATTTTAATAATATTAAACAAACGAACAAAAAAAAAATCAAATATACCATCAAAGTATAAGAATATTAATAATTTTATATCCAAATCATTTTTTATATCAATTTTTTCATTTAATTATTTAATTAAAAACTTCTGCTAGAATCATTAAAAAAAATAAGTTTCGTACAACTTGATGTTGTTTCTTTGGAAAAAAAAAACCACAATTTAGATGAAAATATAGATGGAAAGCCTAAAAAATAGATGAAAGCATTTAATTGCGAATTTTTGAAACTTTAAGAGTAAAATTGATACAAAAATTGTTGGTGATGCCATTAAAAATATAGTTGGGTGGATCTTTGAGATTTTGGACAAAGAAAAATCCTCGGTCTAATTTTAACATGTCTCTTTGAATCTCTCTCTCACACATGCACATACAGCTACCACATTTTTTATCTTAAAAATATTGTAGTTTAGTAATTTCGAATCCAATATATAAAATTATATAATTTAAATTTCAAAATACGAAAGATCAGGTAAATTTAATTTAAATTATCTAATTTTTGTTATTTGTAACAATCAACTATAAGTTGATCTATTGTTTTTTTCTTTTAACTTTTCTCATCTATGTCCTAATTTCTTCATTTGTTTCTTTTTTTTCCTTTTGGGTCCTTTTTTTTTTTTTTTCTTGTAGCTTTGTTTTGATTTTTTTCTATTTTTTCTTTTTTTCTTCTTAAAATTTTCAAGATTTTTTGTAGTTGTTTTTCTTTTCCCCACATTTCTTTTCCTTTCAATTGCTTTCTCAAAGATTAAGAAAAAAATGCCAGCATGTTTTAAAATCATGAAATTTTTTAAAATAAAAAATATAAAAAATTGGGTAAATTTAATTTAAATTATCTAATTTTTGTTATTTATAACGATCAATTGTCGAGTTGATCTTAAGCTGTTTTAGGTCTTTTTTTTTTCCTTCTTCTTTTAACTTTTTTCAACTATGTCCCAATTTCTTCATTTTTTTTTTCCTTTTGGGTCCTTTTTTTAATTTTAGCTTTGTTTTGATTTTTTTCTATTATTTCTTTTTTTCTTAAAATTTTCATGATTTTTTGTAGTTGTTTTTCTTTCCCGACATTTCTTTTCCTTTCAATTGCTTTCCCAAAGATTAAGAAAAACATGCCAGCATGTTTTAAAATCATGAAAATTTTTAAAATAACTTAGAATTGCAAAAAAATACAAATATATATATTGGAGAAATTTTAGGCCTGACTGATCATACCAACCTGCTTTGATCCATCAGTAGAGACTAAAAGTCCTTTTGTCCAAACAGGAATGGTTTCATCCGAGCCCTCCAATATAGGTAATTGGTGAGAAATGAAATGATGCGCATTATGAAGAGAGGGTAATGGTTTCTGCTTCGCACATGTATGTCATTGAGAGAGTCTGTCCTGTCCTGTCTCGCAATAGAGGCAGAGCAGAACCCATGTGATGGTTTCATTTCTTAGCTAAAACTTAATTCTATTTTCTTCTTAAGTAGCAACATGATTGTCAATGTCTTTTAGCTGAAAAGAAGACTCTACTTCTTTTGTAGCAACTTGATGAATAGGCAATGTGAGAAAGGCCTCTTTCCATTTCCATATCTGGAGGAGAAGTAGTGCTAGCTGCTGACTTACATTTCCATATCTGGAGGAAGTTCATGCAGAACTCCTACCAGAAGACAAGGCAACGATTATGAATGAACTTAAGAAGGGAGGGCCAACAGCAATGGCTAGCTGGAGATGGCCTGAATGATGCCCCTACATTAGCTACAGCTGATATAGGCATCTCAATGGGAATCTCAGGTTCAGCACTTGCAACAGAGACAGGACATGTAATTATGATGTCAAATGACCTCAGGAAAGTACCAAAAGCCATCCGGGTTGCACAGAAAGCTCATCGAAAAATTATTGAGAATGCCATTTTGTCCATCGCTGCCAAATGTGCTATCCTTGTCTTGGCCTACGCTGGTCACCTCAGAGGAGAGGACAAACTATCATGCGATCTCTAGCCTTTAAGGGGGAAAAGGATTGATGTGCCACATTAAACAAATTGCTTCGATGCGATTGTTCAGGTATAAGCAAATTGTTATTTTATTTTATTTTTATTAATTCTACTGTATGTGTTTTTCATTCAAATTACTTCCTTAGAAGTCCAAAACATCTTAAACGAAGTTGCTTACAAAGATGATGGCGGGCCAAATTTTTTAGTACTAAATTTACTGCATATGATTTTAATTCAAATTACTTAAAAACATCTCAACCGATGTTGAGCGCAATGACAGTCCAAATTTGAGTACCACACTACCATTTGCCTGTCTGAAATATATATATATATATATATTTTTTTTTTAAAAAAAAAATCCAATTTCCATAACCAATCATTAATATAGTGATTCGCATGACATGCAAATATTGATCCCTGAGCCACAACGCGATTCCTCAACAATATTGAATCCAGGCCATTAGTCCCACCATTAAATCCACGTCCATGTCCAACACGTAGTGCACTAACACTGCCTCCTTCTCGCCATTTTCCCCATCACGTTTCTTATAGTAGTTCATAGTGAAAGAATCGACCGTGAGAGCCAAGGATATATCGGCAAACAATCAGACGTCAGGTAACACGTGCATATACACTGTCGCTAGGATAACGCCTGAAGCAAACGCTTTTACAAGTACAAATAAATCTGAGTTAGAATTCTTAGCGTGGAAGACAGTCAGTACAAGTAGAATGTTAGCAGGACTGTTGCCGGTTGCTAGCCGCTCAATCTCCCTTCACGGTCAAACATGCACTCCGTAACCTATATATCTTGTACAGCTATAGATACTTATCATGTAACGCCTCTGTATATAAACATACTCACATCAAAAATTTTCTCTTGATCCAATCATTATTATGGAGAATTTTAACAAGTTTTATTTAACCTTCTTTTGCTTGATTCTACTACTCCCTACCCTTGTCCTAGGGAAATGCACATGTGATGCAGGAGAAGAAGAAGAAGAAAGCAATAAATCTGAGGCTCTGAAATACAAAGCTGCAGCAATTGCTTCCATCCTTTTTGCTGGAGTTCTTGGAGTTGGTCTTCCAATTCTTGGAAAGACTATCCCTGCTTTAAGCCCTGAAAAGAATATCTTCCTCATCATTAAAGCTTTTGCTGCTGGGGTTATATTGTCGACTGGCTTTATTCACCTGCTTCCTGATGCTTTTGAGAGCTTGACATCGCCATGCCTTAACGAAAATCCTTGGGGTAAATTTCCCTTCGCGGGGTTTGTGGCAATGGTGTCAGCAATTGGGACTTTGATGGTGGATTGTCTTGCAAGTTCTTACTTTACTAGGTTGCACCTCAACAAGGCTGAGAATGGGGATGAGCAGAAGGCGGCAATAGAGTCAGACGAGGTTCATGTTCATCTTCATACTCATGCAACTCATGGCCATTCTCATGGTCCAATTGATAGTTCTGGTTTATCTCAGCTTATTCGCCACCGAGTTGTTACACAGGTAATTTTTCTTTTTTCGTTTTTGTTCTTCTCCACACTTATAACAAAACACCCAGTTTCTTCCATAACCGATATAGAATAACCCAACATATCATATATGTTTTGTGTTTTTTTTTTGTTCTCTTTAAGGTTTTGGAGTTGGGAATTGTGGCGCACTCTGTGATAATAGGAATTTCTTTGGGAGCTTCTGAAAGTCCCAGGACAATAAAACCTCTAGCGGCTGCCCTGACCTTTCATCAATTTTTTGAGGGTATGGGACTTGGTGGATGCATTACGCAGGTAATTTTTTGTAGCTTTATTCTCGACGCCTATATATTTTTGAATAGACTAAAATTGATACACTAGCTTGTTTCGATTTTTGTAGGGAGAATTCAAGTCCAAAGCTATTGTAATTATGGGACTTTTCTTCTCTCTAACAACCCCAGTTGGCATTGCAACTGGCATAGGCATATCAAGTGTCTATAATGAGAGCAATCCTAATGCTCTTATTGTTGAAGGAATTTTTAATGCTGCATCAGCTGGTATCCTAATCTATATGGCACTTGTGGATCTTCTGGCAGCTGATTTCATGCATCCCAAAGTGCAAAGCAATGGAAGACTTCAATTTGGGGTTAATGTTTCTCTTCTTTTGGGAGCTGGTTGTATGTCTCTCCTTGCCAAATGGGCTTGAAGCTTTAGCTGTCCATAGTACTCCTTCTTCCTCTTGTTTTTTCTTTTTCATCTGTTTCATTGTCTGCGAGTGAAAATTTGGGTACAAATTTACTCAAAGCGTTGGCTTGGGTGGAAAGGATTTTAGTTGCTTATTATAAACGTAAAAACAAGAGAGCCACATACCGCCACTGTGAATAACAGATTCACTCCCAAAACCTACTCTTGGCATTGAGATTAAACAAAGAAAACACCGATGACGACGACGACTTGCCCGTTTTGCGATTTGCGGAAGGAGACCCATATGACCCCGTTGCTAGAAACTGATTATATAATATATATCAATCAATAATTTAGTCATTAATAAAATAAATTCAAATAAAGAGCAAAACTCCCAAAATTCTTAATAACAGAGCAGAATTATTCATAATTTTTTAATCCCTACGAATTATTATTGTTGTGATTCACTGGAACTCCGCAAAACCCTAATTCTCGCATTGGATTGGAACAAAAAATCCAAGAAATGAAAATTGAGAATCATGCAAGAAAAGAAATTACCAGTGTCAAAAGAGGGAAGATGACGATAAGAAATCTAAGAGAACCGGCTGATCGATCAACCGCCCATCTCCGTTTGAATCACTCTATTACCACTACCTCCAGAGAGCAATACTTGTTCTTGCTCTGCTCGCTACTCTTTGCTTAATATTCACGATCATGCCGATTTGCAGAGTGAGCGAGTAACTGCAGACGGTATAGAGAACGATAGAACAAATAATAATAACAATGATAATACGATGAATTACAATAATTCCCCGAATGTATCACTTAATTACCATAACTGCCACAAAAATATAGGTAATTGGTGAGAAATGAAACGACGTGCATTATGAAGAGAGGGTAATGAAGGAGAATGGTTTCTGCTCCGCACATGTATGTCATTGAGAGAGTCTGTTCCTGTCCTTTCCTGTCCTCTCACAATGGAGGCAGAGCAGAACCCATGTGATGGTTTCATTCCTTAGCTAAAACCTAATTCCATTTTCCCCTTAAGTAGCGACATGATTTTCAACGTCTTTTAGCTGAAAAGAAGACTCGTACTTGTTTTGTAGCTACTTAATGCATAGGCAACGTGAAAAAGGTAGGAATGGCCACGGAAGGGGCAGAGGCGGGATGGCCCTAAAAATTTTACGTCGTTCTCATCTCGTGTCACATGCGGAATAATATTTTTCATACTATTCTCATTTTAAAATAGAAATGGGGATTTCCAACATCAATGTTTCGATTAATTTTTTGTTTCTGTCCTATCCTATCTTATTTTATTATCAAATTTTAGATTATAATATAAAAAATAATATTTTGTATAGAAAATAAACTCTAAAAATACATAATCACAAATTTTATATAAAGTATAATTATAATTTCAGAAATAAAACAAAGTAAACGGAACAGAATGAGACGGATAAATAACATCCTCGCTCCTATCCTTGTTCAAAATAAATACCGAACAAGGCATCCCACCTCGTTTCTCGATCAAATTAAAGAATTCCTGCGTCGACCGTGACAGGATAGGGTGCAGTTTCGTCAGAACGAGACAAATTGCCGTCCCTGGAAAAAGGCCTCATTTCATTTCCATATCTTGGAGGAGAAGTAGTGTTGCCGACTTACATTCCTAATATAATATAATGTAGGGTTTATCTTTTCCTTCTTTTCTTGAGTCTTCTATTGTTGTGCTTCTTCGGCATCATCCTTTTCTTTTCTGCCCTCAAAACTTACCTTGTTATCTCTAATCTCGAACGAGGCAATTAAAATGTACTCTTGCCATCCTTCCAATCTTCTTCACTAGTTTAGGCTTCTTATGCTTCTTACAGGCAATTTCCTGTGCTACTCAGAACAATAATGCTTATTTTTGACAGCTTTTCTTCATTTCTCATGATTTAGAAGAAGGTGACCTAAGAAAAAACTAACCAAAATTGATGCTCGTTGCTATATCTCCTCCTCACTGTTTGGATTAGGACAGGCCCAGGGATGGTTTTAGAAGAGGGCCAGGCCCGGGTCCTCTTGGGCCCTTTCAAAGATGGAAAAGTTGCTATAACTCTTCAAGATTCTTTTAAAAAACAAAAACAAAAAACTTCTCAATCCAGTTTTACACAATGGGCCACCCAAAACAAAAGTTTTATTTAATGGTGCTTTTTGTGTTGTTGTTGTTGTTGTTTTTTTTTTTTTTTTTTTTTTTCATGTACTAGATTAATACCCAAAGCAAATTTTTGAGATATTTCTAGCACAATAATTATGAATAATGTTTTCGTTAGTGCCCTACTTTGCTTCAATGTTTCGCCATTGTATATCTATATTTCTGAAAAATAAAATTATAATTATTCTCTTTGTTTCAAATAAAGTTTCTCTCTTTGTTTAAAATATTTGTATAGTCAAAATAAATAAAGTCAATTTGTTTTTCATTTTCTGTTCCTTACTAACAAAAAATCACTCTTCTTTATACTTTTTTTCCCATACATATCCAAATACTTTTAATATAGAAATTTCAAAAAAAATAAAAAAATTATTACATAAAAAAATATCATAGAGATTTTACTTCATGTAAAAATTTTAGAACTGAAATGTTTTCATTAATACGTTATTTTTTAATAATTGTTTTAAACTGCATTGTTAAATAATTTAATAATTTTTTTATTTACCATCTTAATTTTGGATGGCTTTTCTCCTTAATTAATATTAGTTCCATGTGATGCACGATTAAATTTAATAACTAACAATTTTAACAAAAATAATATTTTTTTATTGAATTTTATTTATTTATTTATACACACAAACAAATCTATGTATATATTTTTATTTGTGTTAAAAAATATCATATTACAATTATAATGTTAAAATTGTAATGTATATAGTCTTAGTATATTCAGTAATAGTACTTATCAAACAATCTTATTATATTCAGCACTTAATTTTTAATAAATACCAAACGAACTTATCAATAACATATTCAGCACTTAAAATTCGAGTACTTAACAAATTCAATATTTAATTTTCAGTTTTATCAAACACAATCTTAGTTTAATGTGTACTATCTTAACGAATTAATAACATGAAATGTTATTTTATTCTTCTTATTGGTTTAATATGGCCTCTCAATTCTTTATTTATTTATCATGTATCTCTATTTTCATTTTTTTTAACGTTGTACTTCCTATGGTTTTTCGGTCGGTTTTACGATAAAAAATGACATGTGAAAAAAATTATTATGCGTCATAACATGTCTGATTAATTTATCATGTTAAAAAAAAAGTTTAAATTGAATTTTTTAAAAAAGAAAAAATGTATAAATTCGAGAAAAAAAAAACAAAACAAAATTTCCTTGCTTTTTCAACATTTTCCCGAAAGACAAACAGATTTTTCTCTCTCCTCTATGCCTTTCTCTTCCTGCAAATTGAATAAATTTGCCCCTGAATCCAAAAGCAAGGAAATTACGTTTCCGTTCTACAATGTTTGATGATAGGAATCAGATAGTTGTACGCTGTCACTCAATTCCCGTCCCTTGGTTTCTAATGGGAAGAGCAGAGCGCAGAGTGCTGTAATAGCAATCACAACCTCAAAAAGAACGATAGCTTCTGTAAGATAGCATCCAGTCACCAGCCCAACCGCCACTAGAGGGCATATCATGCCACCAATCTTCCCCACAGAACTTGCAACCCCAGCCCCGGTTGCCCTCACGTTCGTTGGATATAACCTCAGAGAAAGAGAAGAGAAAATAAAATACAAACAATTAAATCAAAACTATTTAGAGAACAAAGGACACGAGAAAAAAAAACTCCGACAGAACTTGGAACTTCCTAAGAAATGTACTATCATGCTTCCTGTCTAAGACGCTAATTCGACGTGAATGGAAGGAAGGTGCTGATCTTTAGAAGAGGTGAACTTGAAAACGTGAAGACAGAAATATCTCAACAAGTCATCTACCTTGGGTAAAATGCCTATAAGAAAAACTAGGTAGTATTCCAGGGATTACCTCAGGGGCATATAATGTAGCGATTGTGAAAGATCCTGTGACGCACATACGAGCCCCGAATAACATTGCTGTTGTTAGATTTGCAGACTGATGGAAAAGCAGTGGCAGGACAAAAATGCAACACAAGACGAGCATAAATGCCATGGAAAGCTTGCGGCCAAGTCTGTCCACGATAACTGCAGATAAAAGTAGCCCAGGAAGCTCTACAAAATAGATTTTTAAAGAAATAAGTAGAATGCATGAAAAAAATGAAGATTGAGAGAGGAGACTAGGCATGAAATACCTGCCAAACTGGTAAGAAACACATTTATGTAGAGGCTGTAGTCATCCTGGAGATTTTCTGAGCTCAAGATAGTTGAGCCACATTTGCTTTGCCGACTACTTAGCTCTGAGGTCAGCAAAATGATACCATAATAGGAAAATACATTTCCAAAGAGTAACAACCATAGGAGCAGCGTTGTTTTAATTAATGTTGATGAGAACAGCATGACAAATGAGGAGAAAGCAGATTTAAAATCCACAACCATTTTTCCGGGTGAAGATAGTAGAGGACTATATTTCAATGGGGCAGATTCTTCCTCCTGTTCGACTGTATTGTCACAAACAAGCATCCCAGGAGGAAGTTCTGATTGGTTCAGAAAAGCTATCTTCTGCAGAATATTATGTGCATCATTTATTCTACCTTTCATGCATAGATACCGAGGAGATTCTGGTACAATACCATAAAAGAGAAGCAGAGCAATTGATGGTAGAGAGGAGAATGCAAGTAGCCACCTCCAACTCAATCTTGGCATTACAAGCTGCAAAAAGAACATAATTTCCACATAAGAAAGATGTATGCTAAAGAATGAACATTAAGTTCTGAACTTTTTTCTGTTATAAACTCTGAGCTAGTTTAGCTTGCTCATTTATCTCCCACGGTTTGGATAATAATAGTATAAGCCAGGAAGAAAATGACCAAACACACCCATGCAAGTGAAGCCTCAAAAATTGTACCCAATGTCCAGAAAGTTGAGAAGACAACCATCCATGTTCCTCTATGTGAAGCTGGAACAAACTCTAGAAACCAGGAGCAGAATACAGTGGAACCACCCAGGCCCATGCCAACCAAACAACGAGTTATCACCAAAGATACATAATTTGGGGAGAAAGTACTCAATAACCCAGCTCCACTAGTTAGCACAGTAATTCCTAGGAATCCCTTCCTGGAAAAAAGCAAATGGAAGTAGACAACAACCATATAAGATCAAGAAAATAACCCTATTATAGGTTGAATAGAATTCAAGCATTTATGGGACCGTAAGAGTTCAAAGCAAAGATTGAAATTCAAATGGGCGGCTCATCATATATGCTGAATAAGACTGCAAAAACTAGAAGAGAACTGGCACATAGCATTAATGCTGAATACGGTGAAAATATAACAGGAGTCTTTCACTGAATAATAATAAGCAAGGAATAGACATAGACAAGCAAAGAAGCCATAACCAAGGAATAGATATAGAGAAAGATTGGAAGAGATAAGGGAGGGAGAAATGAATGGCTTGCCTTCTTCCATAGTTATCTGAAACAATGCCCCAAGAATAAGCTCCAACAAGCATGCCAGCAAACACGACAGTTGATAACAGACTCTCTTGGCCTGAGGAAAGCCCCCACTGGGACTTAACAATTGGTCCAACAAAAGAGAGAAGCATAAGCTCCATTGCTTCTGCAAACCAACCAAGACCAGCATAAGCAAGCACCAGAGCTTGGAATTTCCCAAACCCCACTGAGGCAAGTGCCTCATCCAGAGTGTATACAGGGGCATCATCATCCATCTATGTATGTATATATGGTGACCAAAAAAAGTAACAAGGAGATCAAAAAAACATTATTATACATTCAATCTGCTCATTCAAGATTTGATATGTGACGATCAAAGAAACTTTTGCTTACCCCTCTGACCCAGATGGAATTCTTTGATTCATTCACTGGCATAGCTTCAAACTGGCTATAAATCGAACATACTATCATCAATAATCACAAACCAAAATGTAATAATTGCAAGAATAGGTTGCTAATCTTAAACAATATTGAAAAAGATGACGGTACCTTTCAGAAATGAATATAGGTGGAGATATATAATTTATTAATACTGCCTGGACGCCAAAAACTACCTGATCAGCAAAAGTCTTGCTGCAGCGCACCCACCCAATAGAGCATTCATCATTAATTTAAAGAAACATACTTCTAAGCACTAACAGATGCATAATGTTAGTTTTCGGTCCCATTGCCTAGAATTTTAGGTGATGATATTCTTTTCATTAGAAAAGACAGAACATAAAGATGCTTTGGTCCCATTGCCTAGAATTGTAGGGGATGATATTCTTTTCATTAGAAAAGTCAGAACATAAACGTCAAATTTTTTCATATAATTATAAAGATAAACAAATAACTAAATAAACGATATTTTAGTCTTTAGATAATATAAGATTAGTTATAATTTAAAAACTTCCTTAGTTATATTATGTTTGTTATTATTTGATATGAACATTTTTATTGAGCAAACGTTTAATCAAAATATTTTTTTGGAGAGACTTAAAGCTAATTAATGGCTTTTGCATCATAAATGGAGTTTGTTAGGAACTCCACAAACCAGACATAATGATTTTAGCTATGAAAGAATGTGATCCCTTTTTGAGCAGCGGTGGCATTTATATATATATATATATATCTGTCTCTAAAATATGCTAATTAATAATTGAGAATTTGATTCTCTTGCACATACGGAACCACAATTTGAAAACTTGATTGGACGATAAAATTATAGCAGAATCGGATCAATACTGGTTTTTCTCTTGTTTACGGACGGTGAATCTCGAAACCGACGGAATAGAATGATCATCGAACCACAAAATTAAACAATAAAAAGGATTCTAATTATCTTCTTTAAATTTTTGCTGACATAATTGAATAGTTTAGGGAGACGAACCAAAATGGTATGCTAAGAATAAGATCGAAGGTGATTATATATATGTTGGTTAATTTAACCGGGGAAATTGAAACAAAATTCTAACAGTGATGTGGGGTCAACTATACATGTAAGAAGATTGCAAGGTTTGGAGGGGGCAGTACTAACTTAAAGTTTATGAATGAATCTTGAAGAAGAGAGAGGAGAAAACTGGTTGGTGTTAGCAATTTCCAAGAGCTATCTGAATTCTGAAGGAATATTTTTGCAGAAATCATGCACACTGTAAAAAGACTACTCATTTCAACTTTTGCTGCTTTAGCTGATCGATAGGAATTCAATGAGATAAGAGATGAAAAATTTTTAACTCCTGAGGTTTCAACTGTAAAAAAGCCAATTATGTAAATCAGCATTTTTCTGTAGTGAGAATCCACCTACTGCATCTGATGATTGCCATACTCATCGATGTATATGTAATCAATGTACAGAAAATCCAACCAAGTACATTTCATTTATACAATGCTAGCTTGGTGGGAGTATGAAATTTTCTACTCAACAGCAACAACTTGTTTTGAATCAGATACATGATCTACACTGTCACTCAATTCCTGTCCCTTGGTTTCCGATGACACGAGCAGGACGCAAACCGCTGAAATGGCCATCACAGCCTCAAACAGAATGATAGCTTCTGTAAGGTGGCAACCAGTCACCAGTCCAACTGCCACCAGAGGACATATCATGCCTCCAATCCTCCCTACAGAACTTGCTACTCCAGAACCAGTTGCTCTCACGGCTGTTGGATATAACTAGAGGAAAAGCATCGTAAACCAATTATTTGGAGCAAAATCCCAGTGTCTCTAATTAGTGTGTACTGTACGTGAAGAAACTCGAAGAGAACTGGGCTTACCTCCTGGGCGTATATTGTAGAAAGCGAGGAGGAGCCTTTGGTACTCATGCGAGCTCCGAACATCAATGCTGTTGTTAAAGTTGCAGACTGATGGTACACCAGAGGTGAAAGGAAAATACAAGCTAAGACAAACATGAATGCTATAGAGAGCTTGCGTCCAATTCTATCCACAATGATTGCCGATAAAAGAAGTGCTGGAAGCTCTACAAAATAGATTTTTAAGAAAACATGTCACCTGATCATTGCGTAAAATGTAAATGATTCTTATTGTAGAGAAATTCTAGAATTTCGATCGGTGCAGACAGAGGAGACTAAGCATATACAATACCTGCCAAACTAGTAATGAATACATTTAGGTAGGGGCTGTTATTGTGGAGATTTTCTGACTGCAAGACAGTTGAGCCACATTTTCTTTGCCCACCACTTAGCTCCGAAGCCAGCAACATGATACCATAATATGAGAATACATTTCCAAAGTATAACTCCCATAGAAGAAGTGTTGTTCGAATTAGTTTTGATGAGAAGAGGTTAGTAAATGATGACAAGCCTGATCTTACATCCAAATCCATTTTTCTAGCTGAGGAGAGCAGAGGGGTATGTTCTGACTCGACAGATTCTTCATCCAGTTCGGTTGTGCTATCGGAAACAAGCATTCCAGGAGGGAGTTTGGATTGGTTAAAGAGAGCTATCTTCTCCAGAATTTTATGTGCATCGTTTATTCTACCTTTCATGCATAGATACCTCGGGGATTCTGGTACTTGAGGATAGAAGAGAAGCAGAGCAAATGTTGGTAAAGAGGAGAAAGCAAGTAGCCATCTCCAACTCAATCTTGTCATGACAGCCTGCAACAATGACAGAAATACATTTATCTCAGGAAGAATACCTGAGAAGAACAGAAATTCCACGGTGAAAAGATGGATGCATGGAGTTTTAGCATGCTTATTTATGTTCTATACAGAATCAAAGCACAACGCCAATGCTGCCTAGCATTTGTAGATACTTCGGTACTAAAGTTAGCCAGAAAATATACAAAAAAGATCAATTATTGAAAGGAATACAAGAGTGGTTTGGATAATAATTGTGAGAGTGAGGAAATTAATAGAACACAGTACCCATGCAAGTGCAGCCTCAAAAATGGTTCCAAATGTCCAGAACATTGAGAGGAGAACCATCCTTTTGCCTCTATGTGAAACTGGGACGAACTCTAGAAACCAGGAGCAGAATACAACTGTGCCGCCCACGCCAATGCCAACCAAAGAACGAAGGATTACCAGAGATGCATAATTTGGAGAGAAAGCACTCACTAATCCAGCTACGCTAGTTAGAAGAGTTATTCCTAGGAAACCCTTCCTGGAAAAACCAAAAGGAAATCAGACAACTAACTGTATATATAAGGTCAAGAAAACCAATATATAAGAGGAAGTATACATGGGATCATGAAAATCCAGTGCAAAGATTCAAACCCCAATGGATGGTTTCAAAGAAAAACAATATGAAATCTGTACAGTAATTAACATCTTTAGCAGAATGGATTAACACTTGACGGATAACAGTATCTTCTTAATGCACTTGAGTCTTGATCAGTAAAATTATTTAGACAATAAGTAATAATAAGAAGGGTATTCTTTACATCAGTTTACATAATTGGAATGATTTGCACTTCATAATGGGAAGAATTAGCAAAGTGGAGGATATATTCCAGAAGCATTAGAAAAGAAGTGACATGTTTTCTGCAATTTCTGAATCTAGCTATGGCACAGACATGATAAAATGGGGAAAAAAAGAAAAGGGTTCTTGGATTTATATGTCGAAGGATAACATTAGCAAGGCAAAGCACATAATAATTAATCAATGAAAGAAAAAAAGGGGAAAAATGGCTTGCCTCCTCCCATAGTAATCTGAAACCAGGCCCCAAGAAAATGCTCCAACAAGCATACCAGCAAAAACAACAGTGGATAGCAGACTCTCTTGGCCTGGAGTGAGGTCCCACTGAGACTTCACCACTGGACCCACAAAAGAGAGAATCATAAGTTCCATTGCTTCTGAAAACCAACCAAGTCCAGCATAAGCAAGCAGAAGTCCCTGGAATTTTCCAAACCCCACAGAAGCAAGTGCCTCATCCAGAGTGTACACAGGGCTTTCACCATCCATCTGCTTGTATAACAAAAATAATACAGGACACCAAAATGAGAAGAAAGAAATCACAAAAAACAAATTCAAAGAAACTTGTAAGTGCATGCTGCTTGCCTTTACCTTGATACTGAAGCTTTCTGCAGGTTCATTCATTTATAGGCATAACTACAAAACTAACAAATCACAACTCGATAAAAAAGCCAAACCTGTAGCCTCAAAGTTTCAACTTGAAGAAGAGAGAATTAATGTACCAAAAAGAAAAAGGCATTGTACTAACCTTTAAAAGTTGATAACACCTACTCCCTATATGGAAATGAAAGCTTTAGCTATTAGCTTGGACAAGGAAACACTACCAAACACTGAGATATGACATGACACATTGATACCTTATTAGCCAAAAAGTCCAAAATATACTTGATAAGTTATTGAGGAATGGCCATAAACAATTCCCCATCAAGAAAAGGGCCCAACGAAATGAGTAGGGAAGTCTGAGGATGTATGATTTCTGTGTCATGTCCTTTTCATTTGAAAAAGGGAACATAATCGCATATAATAATAACAATATCAATAATAATAATAATAAAACAATAATAAGAGAGAGATTCTATACCTAATTAGGTATTTTTGTGATAATAAAATAAAATAGGTTTCTTGGGATGGAAGTTAATGATTGCAAATGCAATTATTTCAAGTATGGATAAATTTCAATTAAGCCCTTCAATTTATGAATTTTATCAATTTCTTTTCACTTAAAATGAAAACACTAAATTTACTAATCTTATTCGATTTCTTGCACTTAATAAATAAAAAACGTTAGGTACGTAAGAAGTTGATATATAGAGAGAGAGGCAATCGAGCTAGCTAGTCTGCAGGTTTAAAATGTGAAGTAATTTGCTACCATTGGTTTTTGACGAGTAAGGTTGAAGATGGAGGCTTTCGTGTGATGATGGCATTGAAAAAGTAAAAATGGGTTGAAAAAGAGAAATGAAGAAGTCAGAAGAATAGACCACATAAAATACATCAGAATTCGATTCTGCAAATCAAATTGATTCCCACCTTTTCAGTCTGCATGACAATTTGTAAAAAGTTTTTTTTTACTAATATATATATATATATATATATATTGATTTTGAAAGAACATTCACTTGGAAAAACATGTAAAATATAATAAATGTGAAATTGAATCACAATGGAAAATAGAATAAGGCCATAGACACACGATATATATAATCACGGGAAATTTTGTTTATATAATTAAGTGATAAATTAAAGCGAAATTGAAGTTTACACAATAAAAAAGATATTTTCCGTTCATTTCACTAGCAGATTTTAATTGATCGAGGTGGACACAAGGGTTTTTTTTTTGATAAATGGATGAAATTTTATGGAGCTAATCGATAGGAAAAAAAAAACTTCAGGGGGTAAAACGAAATTTCACCCTTCAAAGATCTTATGATCATTGCTTTTGTACTTGGCCTCGGGAGGCTGCTCATTTCAGTTTTAGCTGCTCTAGCTCAACATGGCATTCAAGGAGAAGATATTAAAATTTTCATGTCCTGATGAGATTTGAACCAGCAAAACAGAATTATGTAAATCAACATTCTGCAATCTGCATGGCTAGAATCAGCTGCGTGTAGGGTTTAGCAGAGTTGTCTAAAGGATAAATTGATGGAACAATAGCTGCTGGATCATTGGATTTTCTGTTCCAAACAATGAGATAGGAAATCCAACCAGAAATGCTTTTACTTTTTACAGTGCTTGATGATGGGGTATGAATTTACTACCCAAAAGCAGAAACAACTTGTTTTGAATCAGACACATGGTCTACAGTGTCGCTCAATTCCTGTCCCTTGGTTTCTACTGGAAAGAGCAGAACGCAGACTACGGAACTAGCAATGGCTACCTCAAATAGAATGATAGCTTCCGTAAGATGGCAAGCAGTCACCAGTCCAACCGCCACTAGAGGGCATATGATGCCACCAATCTTCCCTACAGAGCTTGCAACTCCAGCACCAGTTGCCCTAATGGCTGTTGGATATAACTGCAGACAAAGCAAATTAAAGCATCAAACTAGGTAAAATTGGAAATATTTTATTGTTCATTTCTCATTTATCTGGCGTGGAGCACAAGAAGGTTGATTCTACTGTGAAATATATCACATTAACGAGCATCAGTAGATACATCAAATAGGCATTTGGAAGAAACTAAGAAACTATTAAAAGGATAAGGGATACGTCAGAAGAGAGAAGAAATCCTGAAGCTGCACAGAACCTGTAACTGTCTAACAAATGTGTTATCATGCTTCCTAATCCAGACTTATAAGGTACAATTCAACCTGGGTGCAAATTGATAGGAGGAACAGTGCTGATGTTTAGGAAGTTGAAAATGGCAAGATAGGAATATTTTAACAACTCAAACCAGCTTCTTAGATAAATGCCTTTGAAAACTAAACTGGATTCCAGGGATTACCTCCGGGGCATAGATTGCAAAGACTGTGAAAGACCCTGCGACACACATGCGAGCTCCGAATAACAATGCTGTTGTTCGAATTCCAGACTGATGGGAAAGCAGTGGTAAAAGAAAAATGCATCCAAAGACTAACATTAATGCCATGGAAAACTTGCGGCCTAATCTATCCACCATAACTGCTGATAAAAGGAGTCCAGGAAGTTCTACAATACAGAGTATTTAGGGAAAAAAATGATAAAAGGTTATTTCCTCTTTGCATACTGATTAAAAGATAAAGACTAGGCATGCAATACCTGCGAAACTAGTGACGAATACATTTACATAGAGGCTGCCATCCTGGAGATTTCCTGAACGCAAGACAGTTGAGCCACATCTGCTTTGCCCACTACTTAGCTCTGAGGTCAGCAAAACGATACCGTAATACGAAAATACATGTCCAAAGGATAACACCCATAAGAGCAGTGTTGTTTTAATTAATGTTGATGAGAACAGCATGACAAATGAGGAGAAAGCAGATTTAAAATCCACAGCCATTTTACTACGGGAAGATAGTAGAGGAGTATCTTCTGATGCGACAGATTCTTCATCCAATCCAGTTTTGCTATCGAAAACAAGCATTCCAGGAGGGAGTTTGGATTGGTTGAGCAGAGCTATCTGCTGCAGAATATTATGTGCATCATTTATTCTGCCTTTCGTGCATAGATACCGAGGAGATTCTGGTACAAAACCATACAAGAGAAGCAGAGCAATTGATGGTAGAGTGGATAATGCAAGTAGCCACCTCCAACCCAATCTTGGGATGACAAGCCGCAAAAAGAGAACAATTTCCACATAAGAGAGATGCATGCAACAGAATGAACTTTGAGTTCTGAACTTTTTCCTGTTATAAACTCCGAGCTAGTTTAGCTTGCTCATTTATCTCCCACGGTTTGGATAAGAATAGTATAAGCCAGGAAAAAGACCAAACACACCCATGCAAGTGATGCCTCAAAAATTGTACCCAATGTCCAGAAAATTGATAAGAAAACCATCCATGTGCCTCTATGTGGAGCAGGAACAAACTCTAGAAACCAGGAGCTGAACACACTTCCACTCACGCCGAGGCCAACAAAACAACGAGATATTACCAAAGAAACATAATTTGGGGAGAAAGTACTCAAGAATCCAGCTTCGCTATTTAGCACAGTCATGCCTAGGAAACCCGTCCTGGAAGAGAAAATGTACAGAATATAAGATAGTAAAATGACAAGGGTAGTTATCTTTAGAACTGATATTGTAATGGGAAGTGTACGTAGTTACTGGAACATGTATCAGTTGATCAGCATGATTAGCTATGATTTGCACTTCAAGATCCTTCAATTGGATAAGATCAGTAAGAATACAAAAACTAGATAAGGACCAGCATATTGCTATATTGAATTTGGTGAAAATATAACAGTAGACATTTACTGAATAATAGTGGAAAAGATCTTCCTAATTGGAATTCGCACATAGGAAAATGGTTGACTAAGAGAACAGGCTGTTTGTTGATCTTAGGCATGGTAGATATAAATAAAGAATGATAAGATTCTGCTTTGCATGGGATAGAAACGGAGAAGACATAGACAGAAACCGGAGGAAGTAAAGGAGGGAGAAATGAATGGCTTGCCTCCTTCCATGGTTATCTGAAAAAATTCCCCATGAATAAGCTGCCATAAGCATGCCAGCGAAAACAGCAGTTGATAGCAAACTCTCTTGGCTTGGGGAGAGATCCCACTGAGACTTAACAGCAGGTCCAACAAAGGAGAGAAGCATAACTTCCATTGCTTCTGCAAACCGACCAAGACCAGCATAAGCAAACACAAGAAGTTGGAATTTCCCAAACCCCACAGAATTAAGTGCCTCATCTAGAGTGTATCCAGGGCCTTCATCATCCATCTACAGACACAGTGAGCAAAAATTAATAAAGAAATCAAAGCCTTATCATTTTCGATATGAGATCGTCAAAGAAACTTGGCTTACCCTCCTGATGGAACTCTCTGGTCCATGCATTTTCATAGCTTCAAACTAAGAATAAATCAAACACAATATCACTAGCTATTAAACACAAACCAAAACTGCAGTTCCAAGATGATGCCTGATACCTTTTAGAAATGAATCTACACAGAACCAAACAACACCAAACACTGCCTGGTCAGCAAAACGTCTACCGCACCCACCCAAATAGAGCTAGCAATCGTCATTCGCAGGAAAAAAAATACTCGTCTTTATTGGAGCTAGTATAATAAGAAGAAGAAATGCTAGTGTTGATGGGGGCAATTATTAAGCATAAAGATATTAAGCAGTTGGCCATGAAGATGCTATGAGATTAGCGGAAGCTGATGTGAGGTGGGGCTATAAGAAAAGACAAGCTTTGGTGGGGGCATTCATTCAAGCACTACCAGTTAACACTTGCACCAATTTTTCTTTTTCTTTTTCATTTCTTTCTTTGTATTGTATTAAGTCATTAAAAATGCAACCGTCCATTACATTATAAATTTGAAAATTACGCAACCAAACATAGAAAAGTAATGAATCATTGTATTACATTATCCGTTACATCCAATCGAAGCAATCATGGGATAGCAAATCCAAGAAAATACACTTTTCTTTTTGCAATGCTTGATGGGGGTATGAATTTACTACCCAACAGCAACAACTTGTTTTGAATCAGATACATTTATGCTGTCACTTAATTCTTGTCCCTTGGTCTCAAATGGGATGAGCAGGACACAGACTGCTGAAATAGCCATTACAACCTCAAAAAGAATGATAGCTTCTGTAAGGTGGCAACCAGTCACCAGTCCAACAGCCACGAGAGGACATATTATGCCACCAATCCTCCCTACAGAACTTGTAGCTCCAGCACCAGTTGCCCTCACAGCCGTTGGATATAACTAGAGGAAACCAATATCCACAAATTAATAAATTCGAACCAAATCTCACGTCTGTCACTAATAGGTGTGTGCTCGAAGAAGTAACTATATTTTAATGTTACCACCAATCTCACGTCTGTCAACTATGTCTGATGAACACAGTTGGAACAAAAAAAAACTTTTAAATGCAATAAAATGCCTTTAAGAAAGTATTCCAGGAGATTACCTCTGGGGCATATATTGAAGAAACTGCGAAGGCTCCTCTGCTAAACATGCGGGCTCCGAACAGCAATGCTGTTGTTAAAGTTGCAGACTGATGATAAACCAAAGGTAAAAGGAAAATACAAGCCAATACAAACATAACTGCTATCGAAAGCTTGCGGCCAATTCTGTCTATCATAGTTGCTGATAACAGAACCCCAGGAATCTCTACAACGTAGATTTAACGAAACCATGTTAATTACCTGACATTGCTTAGTGTGGTAATTAAGTAAAAAATTAAGATAAATACATTTAAGAGCAGACAGAGGAGACTGGGCATGCAATACCTGCCATGCTTGTAATAAATACATTTATGTAGAGGCTGTCATCCTGAAGTTTTTCTGATTGCAAGACAGTCGAGGCACATTTGCTTTGCCCACTACTTAGCTCTGAAGCCAGCAACAAGATACCATAAAATGAGAATACATTTCCGAAGTATAACTCCCATAGAAGAAGGGTTGTTCGAATTAGTTTTGATGAGAAAAGTGTAATAAATGATGAGAAGCCTGATCTAAAATCCCAACTCGTTTTGCTAGTTGTGGAGAGTAGAGGGGTACATTCTGATGCTGCAGATTCTTCATCCAGTCCAATTGTACTATCAGGAACAAGCATTCCAGGAGGGAGTTTTGATTGGTTCACCCGAGCTATCTTCTCAAGAATATTATTTGCATCGTTTATTCTACCTTTCATGCATAGATACCTTGGAGACTCTGGTACTAGAGAATAAAAGAAAAGCATCGCAATAGATGGTATAGAGGAAAATGCAAGTAGCCACCTCCAACTCAATCTTGGCATGACAATCTGCAACAATTACAGAGATATAATTATTTTAAGAGGATTAAACAGGACTCTTCTTACAACTGGAACTGTCTTCAACGTTTAACTTTTTCCTAAAACAAGAATATCAAAGCCAATAACATTTTTGTTTCATTTTCTCTTTTCAAATAGTAGGTGAAAATGGAAAAACTTGAAAGAAAGAAAATCATCAGGCAACATTGGTTTGGATAATAACTGTTGAAGTGAGAGGAAATTGATAGAACACACCCATGCAAGTGCAGCCTCAAAAAGTGATCCAAATGCTGGGAACAATGAGACGAGAACAATCCTTGTGCCTCTACGAGCAACAGGAACAAACTCCAGAAACCAGGAGCCGAATACAGTTGTACCGCCCATGCCAACGCCAACCAAACAACGGATAATTACCAGAGATGCATAATTTGGGGAGAAAGCACTCAATAATCCAACAACGCTAGTTAGAAGAATTATTCCCAGTAAACCCTTCCTGGAAAAACCAAATACTGTACATATATGATCAAGAAAACATATATATAAGAGGAAGTATTTACATTGGATCATAAGAGCCCTTCGCAAAAATTCAAATCCAGATGGAATGTTTTCCTTCGAAAAACATCATATCTGTCACAAACATATTTAGCAGAATGGATCAACACTTGATGGATAATACTAACTTTTTGATGAACTTGAATTTTGTATGAGTAAGTACACAAATAGAGAAATTAGAACTAACAGGAAAATGCTATAGATTCTAAGTGATACTAAGAAGGGTGTATTTACAAAATACATATCAGTTTACATAAATTCTTTGCAACTTCCGACAATCTTTAGATTGGATTAGATTAGACTGTTAAAATTGGAAAAAGGCCAACATATTGCAAAACAGAACAATTAATTACATGATCAACCATAGAAGTATTATAATAATTAAGGCTGTTATACACACATATTGACTCAGACATAGTAAAGAAAAAAAGAAAAAAAAAAAAACAACAAAACAAAGGTTTCTGAACTTTATTTGTTGTTGTCAAAGGAACGAAGGAGATCAACAGCAAGGCAAAGCATACAATAATGGAAGAAAATAGGGAGAAAATTGCTTGCCTCCTTCCATAGTGATCTGAAACAATGCCCCAAAAAATTGATCCAACGAGCATCCCAGCAAAAACAGCAGTTGATAGCAGGCTCTCTTGGCCTGGGGAGAGATCCCACTGGGACTTAACCACTGGTCCCACAAAAGAGAGAATCATAAGTTCCATTGCTTCTGCAAACCAACCAAAACCAGTGTATAAAAGCACCAGTAGTTGGAATTTGCCAAACCCCACAGAAGCAAGTGCCTCATCCAGAGTGTATACTGGGCTTCCACCTCCCATCTGCATTAATAAACATGGGACCAAAAGTATAGCATATTCAAGCATAAGTTCTTGCAAGATTTCATTTTATGATCATCAAATAAACGTATGCTTACCCCGGCGGAGCTCTCTGCAGGTTCATTCATGGGCATAACTACAAACTAACAAATCAGTATTAGATTAAAAACCAAAGTGATAGTTTCAGAAAAGAAATTAAAAGTATTAGTCTACAAAAAAAGATGATACCTTTTAAAAGTACTGGATATAATTGATGAAAGCTTTAGTTATTGTATGAGAAAGAAACACTACCGAAAAACAATATGATATTACTCGATAACAACGTGGTCAGAAAAATAATCCAAAGAATAATAATGCTAACCCATGCACGATGGAGCTATAACAATAAATTATTAGTGGCAATAATAACAACAAGATCAAAAGGGATACCCGAGATGGGGAAATGTTAGCCTTCGTTTGATACTGCTAGATATTCCTGTCCCCATTGCTAGGATTATTCTATGAATAGGGAGGGAGAAAACAAAATGATTTCTTTGTCAAATCCTTCTTATTTGGAAAGATAAAATAAGAACACGCATATATATTTTTTTATGAAAATTGATAAACTTAGATCAAAAGCCAGCAAGATTGTGACAGGAACAACTTAAGTACAAATAAAGTTACAAAGATAAAAACCAACCTAGTAATTCCTTTTTCTGTTAATAATATGTTTAACTAGACTATCAGCTAATTAACATTTCTACTCTTCGTCATGACAGAACTCGTCATGTTCGGACAATGAATTCAGTTTCACAATATCCGATGCAAGATACAACTCTGGTTTTCGTTTTTCTGTAGTGATATTTTTGTTTCTTGATGATTGCAAGTTGCAACTTTATGTTCATAAAGAACACATATAATACCTTTTATGTCAACTAGTTGTTATAGAACATGCTTCGTCGTGGTGGTGGTGTTTTTTTTTTTTGGGAGAAATGTGAAGTATTAATATATTAACAAAACAACAAAAACTGAATCGTGGGGTAATCTTCAACTATGCGCCCATGTCCGGTTAGTTGCCTTTAGGAGATTTCTGATACATGCCAGTTTTTGCTGCTTTAGTTGCAACTTTATGTTCATAAAGAACACATATATAGTACTTTTTATGTCAAGTAGTTGTTATAGAACATGCATCGTCGTGGTGGGTTTTTTTTTTTTTTTTTTTTGGGAGATGAGTGAATTATTAATATATTAACAAAACAACTAAAACTGAATCGTGGGGTAATCTTAGAAATCAACTATACACCCACGTCCGCTTAATTGCCTTTAGGAGACTCCGGATATGCCAGTTTTTGCTGCTTTAGTTCAACAGGTACTCAAAGGCAGAAGAGACGAATATTTTTAACTCTCAACATTTGAACAGGCAAAACACAGATTATGCCAATCAGAATTCTGCTATAGTTAAAGCCAGTCGACGACAAGTAATGGATTGGAATATTTATTTATTGTAGAGGATGAAGACGCATATGTGCTCCTTGATGCAACCAAAGTTGGATAAATGAAGTTCGTATATCCAAAGTCCAAGCAGTCATTGGATAGCAAATCCAAGCAAATGCATTTCCTTTTTATACAATGCTTGATGGGGTATGGAATTTTCTACCCAACAGCAACAACTTGTTCTGAATCAGATGCATTTACGCATGTTGTCACTTAATTCTTGTCCCTTGGTTTCAAATGGGATGAGCAGGACAGAGACTGCTGAAATAGCCATCACAACCTCAAACAGAATGATAACTTCTGTAAGCTTGCAACCAGTCACCAGTCCAACTGCCACGAGAGGACATATCATGCCGCCAACCCTTCCTACAGAACTTGCAACTCCAGCACCAGTTGCCCTCACAGCCGTTGGATACAACTAAACAAATAAAGATATGAACACAAATTAACTATTCAGAAGCGAAGAAAGAAACTGGAAGGGACTACCATTCTCGTACTTTATGTAAATAAAGTATAAGGGAAAAAAAAAACAAAAAAAAACAAGTACATTTTATGGTTAATGGGAAGTCCTCAGCTAAGTCTGATGAATACTGTTCGACCAAAATCACCTTTCAAATGCAATAAAATTCCTTTAAGAAAGAATCCAGCGATTACCTCTGGAACATATATTGAAGAAACTGCAAAGGCTCCTCTGCTACTCATGCGAGCTCCGAACAACAATGCTGTTGTTAAAGTTGCAGACTGATGATAAACCAGAGGTAAAAGGGAAATACAAGCCAATAAAAACAAAAATGCTATCGAAAGCTTGCGGCCAATTCTGTCTACCATAATTGCTGATAAAAGAAGCCCAGGAATCTCTACAATATAGATTTACGGAAAACATGTTACCTGATCATTGCTTAAATGTCATCATTAAATAAATAAAAAAAATTAAGATAGATGCATTTAAGGGCAGATAGAGGAGACTGGGCATGCAATACCTGCCAAGCTAGTAATAAATACATTTACGTAGAGGCTGTCATCCTGAAGATTTTCTGATTGCAAGCCAGTTGAGGCACATTTGCTTTGCCCACTACTTAACTCTGAAGCCAGCAACATGATACCAAAATATGAGAATATAATTCCAAAGTTTAACTCCCACAAAAGAAGTGTCGTTCGAATTAGTTTTGATGAGAAAAGCATAACAAATGACGAGAAGCCAGATCTAAAATCCAAATCCTTTTTTCTGGTTGAGGATAGTAGCGGATCATCTTCTGATGCAGCAGATTCTTCATCCAGTCCACTTGTTCTATCAGGAACAAGCATTCCAGGAGGGAGTCTTGATTGGTTCACCCGAGCTATCTTCTCAAGAATATTATGTGCATCATTTATTCGACCTTTCATGCATAAATACCTTGGAGACTCTGGTACTAGAGAATAAAAGAGAAGCATAGCAATTGATGGCAAAGAGGAGAGTGCAAGTAGCCATCTCCAACTCAATCTTGGCATCACAATCTGCAACAATTCCAGATATACGTTTATTTCAAGAACATGAATATCAAAGCCCACGCCATTTCTGTTTCAATCCCTCTTTTCAAAAACTAGGTGGAAATTAAAAGGAAAAACTTCAAAGAAATAAAATCATCAAGTAACAATGGTTTGGATAAATAATGTTTGAAGCGTAAGAAATATAACACACCCATGCAAGTGAAGCCTCAAAAATTGTTCCACATGTCGTGAACACTGAGAGGAGAATCATCCTCGTGCCTCTATGTGCAACCGGAGCAAACTCTAGAAACCAGGAGAGGAAGACAGTCGATCCACCCACGCCAATGCCCAGCAAACAACGAAGAATTACTAGAGATGCATAATTTGGGGAGAAAGTACTCAAAAATCCAGCTCCGCTTGTTAGAAGAGTTATTCCCAGCAAACCCTTCCTGTAAAAACCAAAAACTGTCATCTTTAAATTTGGTAAGATTAAGGCTGATAAAGCTGGAAAACGACCAACATATTGCAAAACAGAACAATTGGAAGATCAACTCTGCAATTTTTGAAGTTATACACAATGAAAAGGTTTCTTAACTTTACATGTCGTCGTGAAAGAGACGGAGGAGATCATTAGCCAGGCACAGCAGATGATAATAGAAGAAAATAAAGGGGGAATGGCTTGCCTCCTTCCATAGCGATCTGAAACAAGGCCCCAAGAAAATGATCCAACGAGCATACCAGCAAAAACAGCAGTCGTTAGCAGACTCTCTTGGCCTGATGAGAGTTCCCACTGAGACTTAACAACGGGTCCAACAAAAGAGAGAAGCATAACTTCCATTGCATCCGCAAACCAACCAAGACCAGCATAAGCAAGCACCAGACATTGGAATTTTCCGAACCCCACAGAAGCAAGCGCCTCATCCAGAGTGTATACATCATCCATCTACATACCAAAAAGTGACAAAAAAAAAAAAAAAAAATCAAAATCTTATCCAATAATTGATATGTGATCATCGAAGAAAATAGTGCTTACCCCTTCTAATTGGAATATTATGCACTAAGTGCTATTAACTACAAACCAAAACAACAATAATTGCAAGAAGAGATTACTAATCTTACAAAATATTGCTATACTTGTTTATAGCTGTTGACTTGTTGAAGCTTTTTCCTATTAATTTATACAAGAATCAAGATTGCGTGTCAGAAGAAGTCCTGCTGAACCCACCAATGAGTATGATCCACCGAACAGAGCATTCGTCATTCACATAAAAATATTCCTACCACATGCATAATTGGAGCTACTATATAATGTAATGTGAAGTTATATTGTTAGTATTCTGAATCTGTCCCCACTCCCTAGAATTTAAAGGATGTCTTGTTCATTTGAAAAGACAGAATGCACTAACATCTTAAAAATTACCCTTGAACTATTACATATTTACGGCAATTTAAAGTTTTTATCATTATTTGAATCCAAATTACTATTTTCTCACTAAATATTATATTTCCTCTATTGTTTTTTATGATCAAAATTACAAAAGAAACTAAAACACAAGGTGATTTCAATGTTACTAGGCTTTTCATTCTCATCCAATTATACTATGGACTGAGTTTTTTTTTTTTTTTTTTGAATTACTCTTAGTGTCACACGATGGATTTATGAAAATTCAGAGTTGTCACTTCCTAATTCCCTTTTAATTTTCTTGTTTATCATTTTTCTATAATTTCTCTTCTTCTTTTTTTTTTTCCTTTGCATTGTAAATGACATTCTTTTTTATTTGTAATTACTTACTCAGTGAATTTATGAAAATTCACATTTACCCTCTACTTACTTTCTTGTTTTATTCCTCTTTTAGCCCTTTTTTTTTTTTTTTTTTTTGGTCATTTCCTTCTCTTTTCTGGATGAAGCATTTAATGCTCAATTTAATGCTCATGTGATTGCTTTTTTTTTTTCTCCATATTTTCATGAGAGGAGAGGAGCTTCAAGAGTAAATTATAAATTAATTCCTCTTTCACAGGGAAACAAATTAATTAATCTATTTGATTTCAAAAACTAATTTTGTCCTTCTTGTTATTTTTCAATTTTTTTGAATTTTTTTTAAAAAATAAAAAAATAAAAAATAGATAAAAATATGAAAAAGATTGATGAAAAAAGAAAATATTTTTTAAAATAAAAAAATAAATTAGCCTAGCTAAAAAGATTAAATAATTATTTTTTGAAATCAAAAGGATTAATTAATTCATTTTTCAAAGCAAAGGAGATTGATTTATAATTTATGTATCATTATATTTGCATGTACTATATATATATATATATATATATATATATATATATTCACATCTGCTATTGCGTGTATGAAATAAATATATCTATATGATATATTTTTATATTTTAAAATAAACATATATTTTAGATTATTTTAATATTATTGTTTAAAATTTATTTTTCCAATTTATCATTTCTTATTAAGATTTTTATTGAATTAATTTTTATTTTTTTGAATATTATTTATTGATAAACATGATTTATTGTTCTCTATACATGGATTTTTAAATAAAATTTTAAAACATGATTATTTTAAAAAATAAATTTATATGATTTATACGATGGACTCTTAGAATTTTTAAATGATAATAGCGTGTGTGTGTATATATATATATATATATATATATATATATATATATATATATATATATATAGAGAGAGAGAGAGAGAGAGAGAGAGAGAGAGAGAGAGAGAGAGAGAGAGAGAGAGAGAGAGAGAATTTGTATTAGATTTTGGTGGTTTTAAAGAATAAGAAAAACTAGTATTGATGTATATGAAGTTGTCATGTACAGCCATTGCCTAATAAGAGATAATTTACCATTAAATTTCTAACCAGGCTAATGACGTCATTAAAAATATCAAGCTCTTAAATTCTAATGATTAACACTGAAAGACCAAAGAAAAACGACAGGTGGAAGAAGAAGGAAGGGAGTAAATTATAAATTAGTCCCTCTAGTTTAGTTTGGAGAAATAAAATAATTAGCCCCCGTTGTTTTAACAAATAATCATGTAATCCATATATTTGTAATTTTCTTATAAATTAGTCCTTTTCACTCTCTTTTGATTAATTCTGATTTTTTATTTTAAGGAAAAAAGAAGGATGGATAACCAATTTAAACAGAACAGGAGAAAGATGGTCTCCTTGTGAATATCTCTAGCCACACCAGGAGACCAATTAACAAGTACTACTGCCCAAACCAGACGTGGCAACTCGTTGTCTAATCTACTACAGCCATTACATTTTTCATTACGTTACATAATACGACAAGTAACAAGTGGTAGTTGAATGATTACACCCACCAAAAGCTTGTCCTTTTCTTTTAACCCCACCTCACATCAGCTTCAGGTAATCTGATAGCTCGCATCTTTATGGCCAAATGCTTAATGATTATCCCCACCAACACTACCATTTCTTCTTATTATTATACTAGCTCTATTTGGGTGGGAGCAGCGGAAGTTTTGCTGACCAGGCAGTGTTTGATTCTATACATGTAGATTCATTTCTAGAAGTTATCATCATCGTCTTGGGATTGCAGTTTTGGTTTGTGGTTAACAGGCAGCGATAGTATGTTTGACTTATTCTTAATTTGAAGCTATGCAAATGAATGGACTTTATTTCTGACCATGATGCTATCAACTAATATTGGCGTTGTTTCTTTCCCAGGCAAAAACTAAAGCTTTCATCAATTATATATATATATCATTCTGGTGCCATGTTTATTAATACAGAGGGGTGGTGAAAGCCCTGTATACACTCTGGATGAGGCACTTGCTTCTGTGGGGTTTGGGAAATTCCAACTACTGGTGCTTTCTTACGCTGCTCTGGGTTGGTTTGCTGACGCAATGGAACTTATGATTCTGTCTTTTGCGGGACCAGCGGTTAAGTCCCAGTGGGATCGATATCTCCCCAAGCCAAGATAGCTATCAACTGCTGTTTTTGCTGGGATGCTTGTTGGATTATTTTCTTGGGGCCTTGTTTCAGATCGCTATGGAAGGAGGCAAGCCATTTTCCCCTTATTTTCTTCCTTTATTGTATGCTTTGCCTCGCTAATGATCTTCTCCGTTCCTTTGACAGCAACACATAAAGTTAAGAAACCTTTATTGTGTTTTTTGTTTTCCCTTTATTATGTCTGTTTAAATATGTGTGTATAACAAAGCCTTGATGATCCTAATACTTCTATGATTGATCTTGTAATTGTTCTGTTTTGCAATATGTTGGTCTTTTTCCACTTTTAACAGTCTAATCTAATCTAATTTAAAGATTGTAGGAAGTTTCAAAGAATTTATGCAAACTGACATGTATTTTGTAAACACACCCTTTTTACTATCACTGATAACTGAGAATCTACAGCATTTTCCTCTTAGTTCTAATTTTTCTACTTGTGTTCTTACTCGTAAAAGCTTCAAGTGCATCAAGAAGTTAGTATTATCCATCAAGTGTTTATCTATTCTGCTAAAGATGTTTGTGACAGATATGATGTTATTCAAAGAAAAACAATCCGTTTGGATTTGAATTTTTGCAAAAGACTCTTACGATCCAATGTATACTTCATCTTCTATATAGGTTTTCTTGATCATATATAAACAGAATTTGGTTTTTTCCAGGAAGGGTTTGCTAGGAATAACTCTTCTAACTAGCGGAGCTGGATTTTTGAGTACTTTCTCCCCAAATTATACATCTCTGGTATGTATGCGTTATTTGGTTGGCTTTGGCGCAAGCGGCACAACTGTATTCGGCTCCTGGTTTCTAGAGTTTGTTCCTGTTGCTCATAGAGGCACAAGGATGGTTCTCCTCTCAATGTTTCCAACGTTTGAGGCTGCACTTGCATGGGTGCGTGTGTGCTATTAATTTCCTCACTTCTACAGTTATTATCCAAACCATTGTTTCTTGATGATTTTTTTTTCTCTAAAGCTTTTCCGTTTCCATCTATTATTTGAGAAGAGAAATTGAAACAGAAAGGATATTGGCTTTGATATTCTTGTTTTAGGAAAAAGCTGAATGTTGAAGACAGCTCCAGTTGTATAATGCTCTTAAAATAATCATATCCCTGTAATTCTTGCAGATTGTCATGCCAAGATTGAGCTGGAGATGGCTAATTGCATTTTCCTCTATACCATCGATTGCAATGCTTTTCTTTTATTCTCTAGTACCAGAGTCTCCAAGGTATCTATGCATGAAAGGTAGAATAAACGATGCAAATAATATTCTTGAGAAGATAGCTCGGTTGAACCAATCAGAACTCCCTCCTGGAAAGCTTGTTCCTGATAGTGCAATGGGTCTGGATGAAGAATCTGAAGCATCAGAATGTACCCCTCTACTCTCCACAACTAGAAAAATGGATTTGGATTTTAGACCAGGCTGGTCGTCATTTTTTACACTTCTCTCATCAAAACTAATTCGAACAACCCTTCTTCTATGGGAGTTATGCTTTGGAAATGTATTCTCATTTTATGGTATCTTGTTGCTGACTTCAGAGCTAAGTAGTGGGCAAAGCAAATGTGGCTCAACTGTCCTGCAACCAGAGAAACTTCAGGATGACACGGCCTACGTAAATTTATTTATTACAAGCTTGGCAGGTATTGCATGCCCAGTCGCCTCTGTCTGCTCTTAACTGTATCTATCGTCATTTTTTTTATTGAATTATCATAGTAAGCCATGATCAGGTAACATGTTTTCTTTAAATCTACACTGTAGAGATTCCTGGGCTTTTGATATCAGCAATTCTGATAGAGAGAATTGGCCGCAAGCTTTTGATTGCATTTATGTTTGTATTGGCTTGTATTTTCCTTCTACCTTTGGTTTATCATCAGTCTGCAACTTTAACAACAGCATTGTTGTTCGGAGCCCGCGTGTTTAGCAGAGGAGCCTTCGCAGTTTCTGCAATATATGCCCCAGAGGTAATCTGCTGGAATACTTTTTTAAACGCAATTTCTTGCATTTAAAATTTTATTTTGTTCCTACAGTGTCCATCAGACTTAGTTGAGGACTTCCCAGTAAAAGCAAAATATAGTACTTACCCGTTCTATTCAAGTTTTCTTCATGTACACACCTATTAGTCACAGGTGTGAGATTTGGTTTGAATAATTAATTTGTGGATGTCGGTTTCCTCTAGTTATATCCAACGGCTGTGAGGGCAACTGGTGCTGGAGCTGCAAATTCTGTAGGGAGGATTGGTGGCATGATATGTCCTCTCGTGGCCGTTGGACTGGTGACTGGTTGCCACCTTACAGAAGCTATCAATCTTTTTGAGGTTGTGATGGCTATTTCAGCAGTCTGTGTTCTGCTCATCCTGTTTGAAACCAAGGGACAGGAATTAAGTGAGCATAAATGTATCTGATTCGAAACAAGTTGTTGCTGCTTTTGGATAGTAAATTCATACCCCATTAAGTATTGTAAAAAGAACGAGTAATTTCTAGGATTTGGTGTCTGATGATTGTTTGAATATAGGAAGTCCGAAGTGGGGTTCTTTGAAGGGATAATAAGTCTTGATCTTCCACATTTGCCAAATTTGCCAATTCATTACCTGTCGTAGGCCGATACTAACTATAGCAGAATGCTGATTCACGTAATCTGCTTTTTTCCAGTTCAAACCTTGGAAGTTAAAAACGTTCATCTCTTCTATCTCTGAATACCTGTTGAGCTAAGCCACAAAAACTGAAATGAGAAGTCTCCCAAGACAATTAAGAGGACATGGCTCAGTACCTAATTTTATCTTGGAAACCTACCTATGTCCTGGTAAGCGTGATATGATGATTTGGAAGTATTCTACTCTGTTTTAAGTCACTGTATGATGCCACAGCTGCAAACTAGCACTCAAACACTGCCTTGATTAAAAAAAGAAGAAGAAGCAAAGATCTTTGAATTGTTCGATGATGTTTTCTAACAAGATTCTACTTATACTCATTAGCGGTGCCAAATAACATTTTCCAATCTCAGGGAACCCTTTTGATCATGTTTAATTGCTACTAATAATTTGTTCTTATAGCTCCATTTATGCATGTGTTTCATACTATTTTGCTTCGGACTTTTTTCGTATCACATTACTATAAGTAAATATCATATCGGTGTTTTGTGGTGTTTCTTTGCAGGCAATTACTATAACTAAAGAACGGAGGAGATCATTAGCAAGGCAAAGCATATAATACTGGAAGAAAATAAGGGGAAAATGGCTTGCCTCCTCTCGTAGTAATCTGAAACAATGCCCCAAGGAAATCATCCAACAAGCATGCCAGCAAAAACAGCAGTTGATAGCAGACTATCTTGGCTTGGGGAGATATCGATCCCACTGGGACTTAACCGCTGGTCCCACAAAAGACAGAATCATAAGTTCCATTGCTTCTGCAAACCAAAGCAGACCAGTGTAAGAAAGCACCAGTAGTTGGAATTTGCCTAAGCCCACAGAAGCAATTGCCTCATCCAGAGTGTATACAGGGCCTTCACCACCCATCTGTATTAATAAACACGGTTGAAAGTGTTAACACATTCAAGCAGAAGGGCTTCCAAGATTTCATTTTAAAAGACAGAATGTAAGAACATTCAGGGTTTGCCCTGAAAGCTGATGCGATGTGGGATCAATATATGAAAGAAAATGACAAGATTTGATGGGGCGAACTATTTGAGTACCAAGTAATTAACTTGGAGCACAGGCAACAATTATGAACGAATGTTGCAGAAAGCATGCACAGTTTGCAACCAGGCTTGGTCATTGGTGGAAGCTCCTATTGTAAGAGCGCTCATCAATAGACAAAGTTCAATCATCTTTAAATACAATGATTTAAATCGTAAGATTTCCAGGATAAGAATTCTCCTTTCATTTTTGGCTGCTTTATCTCAACAGGTATCCAATGAGAGAAGATGAAAAACTTTCAACTCCTGAGATTTCAACTGGAAAAAATGCATATTAGTGCATAATTAGAATCAATCTACTGCATGTAATGATTGGCATAATTATCTAGTCTAAAGGGTCAATTAATATATACATATTCTCCCTTCCAATACAGGACTTGGTGGAACCAAAGTTAGGCAAATGGACTTTCTGTTCCAAACAATCATCAAATAGCAAATCCATTTCCATGTTACAATATTGCTTGATTAGGTGTTTGTGTGTGTATGGATTTACTACCGAACATCAACAGCTTGTTCTGAATCTGCATGATCTATGCTGTCACTCAACTCCTTTCCCTTGGTTTCAACGCGTACAAGCAGGACACAGACTGCTGAAATAGCCATCACAACCTCAAATAGTATGATAGCTTCCGTAAGCCGGCAACTGGTCACCAGTGCAACTGCCACAAGAGGGCATATCATGCCACCAACTCTCCCTACAGCACTTGCAGCTCCACCACCAGTTGCCCTCAAAGCCGTTGGATATAACTAGAAGCAAAGGACATGAATTAATACAAATCAATCATTCGAAACTTAAACCTCACTGCCCCTAATAGGTGTGTACAGAGGTCAGCATAAAAAAACTTGAAGAGAACTGGAAAGTACTACCATTCACAGATCTCATTTATGTGACATAAAGCGAAAGATAAATGCAACTGCATTTTAAGGCTTATGATGCTGTCCTTGTGAGATAAGTGTGATGAATATGTTGTGACGAAATCGATGACGGTGATATTATTCCTATTAATGGTTTCATAATGAAATAATACGAATCATCAATGCACAGGATAAAGTAATGAGGAATTGGAGAAGAACCTAATCAAGTTTGTACAATTCAAAAAGTAGTCTCGTATTAGCAACAAAAGCGGTTCAATTTATATGTACTAAAGCTCACTGCAACAGCCCCCGGAAGGCCGGAACCACAAGGGTTGAGCGGAGAGACATGAACAAGCTAGCCAACAATGGCCAGTACTCAAGACTGGCAAAAAAACAACAACGGAAAGAATAAGAGAGGTGAGAAATGAAGTCTGTAAACTTTACAGAACCTTGCAGTTTCAAACAAAAGCATTATCATGATTCCTGTGAAAAAAATAACTTTTCCAAGGTTCACAGAAGTTGAAAATGAGAGGATGGGAATATTTTGGCCAATCAGCCACTGCTTTAGAAAAAATAGCTATGAGAATGTATTCCTTACCTCCAGAGCATATATTGTAGAAACCGTGAAGGATCCATTGGTACTCATGCGAGCGCCGAACAACAACACTGTTGTTAAAGTTGCAGGCTGACGGTGAACCAGAGGTAAAAGGAAAATACAAGCCAATACAAACAAAAATGCTACCGTAAACTTGCGGCCAATTCTATCTACCATAATTGCTGATATCAGAAGCCCAGGAATCTCTGCAATGTAGATTTAAAGAAAACATATTATCTGATAACTGCATAACATGATAATTAAATAACAAAATAAAGATAAATACATTTAGGTGCAGACATAGGAGCCTGGCATGCAATACCTGCCAAACTAGTAATAAATACATTTACGTAGAGACTGTCATCCTGAAGAATTTTTGAAAACATGGCATTACTTGAGCCACATTTGCTTTGCGCACTACTTAACTCTGAAGCCAGCAACACGACACCGTAATATGAGAATACATTTCCAAAGTATAACTCCCATAGAAGAAGTGTCGTTCGAACAAGTTTTGATGAGAAAAGAGTAACAAATGACGAGAAACCTGATCTAAAATCGAAATCCACTTTTCTAGTTGTAGAGAGTAGAGGGGTAGATTCTGAGGTGGCAGATTCTTCATCCAGTCCAACTGTACTATCAGAAACAAGCATTCCAGGAGGGAGTTCTGATTGGTTCAACCGAGCTATCTTCTCAAGAACATTACGTGCATCGATTATTCTACCTTTCGTGCATAAATACCTCGGAGACTCTGGTACTAGAGAATAAAAGAAAAGCATAGCGATTGATGGTACAGAGGAGAGTCCAAGTAGCCATCTCCAACCCAATCTTGGCATGACAATCTGCAACAATTACGAAATACAATTTTTTCAGGACTCTTTTCTTAGAATTGGATTGCCTTCAACACTCAGCTTTTTTCTTTAACAAGAATATGAAAGCCGATTCCATTTCTGTTTCAATCTCTCTTCAAATAGTAGGTGGAAAAGGAAAGGGAAAACTTGGAAAGAAATAAAATCATCAAGCAACAGTTGTTTGGATAAAAACTGTAGAAGTGAGGCAATTAATAGAGCACAGTACCCATGCGAGCGCAGCCTCAAAAATGGTTCCAAATGTCCAGAAGAAAGAGATGAGAATCATCCTTATGCCTCTATGTGAAGCAGGAACAAACTCCAGGAACCAGGTGACGAATACATCTCCACCACCCACGCCAAAGCCAACGAAAAAACGAAAGGTTACCAGAGATGCATAATTTGGGGAGAAAGTACTTAATACTCCAGCTACGCTAGTCAGAAGATTTAATCCTAGCAAACCCTTCCTGGAAAAACCAAATCCAAATGCATAAGAGTCATATCTGTACAGTAAAATTAGTGGAAGTATACATGGGAGCATAAGAGTCCATTAATGCAAAGATTCAAATCCAAATGGATGGTTTCAAAGAAAGATGTCATATCAGGAAATGATTGGCACTTCACAATTTTCAAATCGGATAAGAGTAACTCTGCAAAATTGAATAATTGGAAGAGCATATTCTGTCAAACTGTCAATCCAATACCGTGACTGGCAAAAATGCAGGAGATTATTAGCAAGCTACTGATACAAACGTAATAATTAAAAAATAAAAATAAAAAAATAAAGGGTTCTTAACTTTATATGTCATTGTCAAGGGAATGCAGGAGATGATTAGCAAGCAAATGAAAAAAAAAAAAAAAAAAAATTGGAAAATGACTTACCTCCTCCCGTAGTAATCAGAAACAAGGCCAAAAGAAAATGCTCCAACAAGCATCCCAGCAAAGACTACAGTTGATATCAGACTCTCTTGGTCTGAGGAGAGATTCCACTGGGACTTAACCGCTGGTCCCACAAAAGAGAGGATCATAAGTTCCGCTGCTTCTGCAAACCAACCTAGACCAGCATAAACAAGCACCAGTATTTGGAATTTCCCAAACCCCACTGAAGCAAGTGCCTCATCCACAGTGTACACAGGGCTTTCACCATCCATCTGTATTAACAAAGGAAACGAAACATTATCGTGTTCAAGCAGCAGTCCTTGCAAGATTTCATTCTATGATCATCAATGAAATTAGCTTATGATTACCCTCTCGGAGCTCTCTGCGGGTTCATCCACGGCCATAACTACAAACTTACAAATCACTCACTATTTGATTAAAAACCAAAGTGGTAGTTTCATAGGGATGGAGTGTACAAAATGATTTCTGTGTCATTTACTTTTCGTTTGAAAAGAGAATAGTTTTGCATTAATTTGGTATTATTAAAATAAACACAAAGACCTTTGGATTCAACTGACGTGAATTCAACGTAAGAAAATGATAGAACAGCCGTGCACTGGTAAGCAAAAAGTTAGAACCACGTTACGAAATTTGATATCCGATGGTCAAAGAAACTTGTGCTAACTACCCCTTCAAAATAGTTAGTTATCCGTCAAATATATCTTTTATAAGTGTAATATCGTTTAAAAATTCTATGAATTCGTTATTTATATTATATTATATCAATTTATTTTTTAAAAATAAAATAATCATATTTTAAAATTTTATTCTATAATATAAAAATAAAAAAATAAATCGTATTTATTAGTAAAATATTAATTGAGCGATAATTTTCATAAAAAATAATAAATTTAAAGAATAAAAATAATATAATCTAAAATATATATTAATTTTAAAATATAAAAAAATACTTTATATATTGTATCTTCACTATGTTGCGTTAAAAACATAAATAATGACGTTCGATATTCATAATTTTTGCTTAAAATTTTTAATTAAAAATTAAAGGAAAAAAAAAAAACAAACAAAGTATCAAACCCGTGAGCTTGGGTCTCGCGAAACTAGCCTGTGTGTATGGGTCAGGGCAAAAAAAGAAAAAATGGTTGCTTTTGATCCGGTGACCTCTGTTCCTGGCAACATCAATTTGCTAGAAAAGTTATCAGAAAGTCAGAATTTATTATTTTCAGCCTCTCAAAATCAAATTCAACCCTATTTTTGTTCAAAACCTCCTCAAAATCACAGAAATGACACCAATAAATTTTTTTAAAACATCAAAATTCATTTTAATGTACACAAAATACATAAAAATTCAATTCAAAATAAAAAAAATACTCAAAATTTTTTTAGATCATTATTTGTCTTTTTCGATTATTTCATCGATTACCATCAAAACAAATGGATTCTATTCTTCAAGACGAATAAAATGATGATAAGATTAATCGTCTGAATGGCCGAACCTCATTGTCCTTTCCTCTTTTTCTCTCTTCCTCATTTTCCTCTCTTTTTAACATACAGAAATCAAAATGAATAAAAAATGAAATTGAAAATCGAAAAAAAGTGTTAAAAAAGAGGGACAAAAATGTATATTTTCGGATAATAGTTGCAAGCATGGTCAATGAATAGAAAATCTAGACACAAAGAACAATAAATAAACGGTAGAAGGAGAGGGAGAGCATGATTTTGATTTTGTTCTAGTTAATTAATAATATTTATTTATTAACACGAAATGGTCCGCAACCGCCTTGCTGCAACCAACCCGAAAGCGCGTTCGTCCAAAATTCGAAGAAAACTGCTCCTAACATATGCATGATTGGAGCAAGCATAGTCCTATGAAGAAGAAATCTTAGTGTTGGGTCCCTTCTCCCTAGAATTGAACAGAATATCCTTTGATATCAATTGGAAGATTATAAATATCCACATAAAGATGCTTTGAGAGTTATGTAAGTTGATGTGATGTGGGCTTGACACAAGAAAATGAGTTTTTGTGGGGGCGCCACTGAGCTTGGAGTAGAGGCAGTAGGTTATGAAGGAAGCAATTTTTTTTTTTTCAAAGAGATGAGAAGGACTAGTAAATTACAAATTAGTTTCTCTTATTTTGAAAAGCAAATATTGATTGAGATAATCACGATCTTTCATTGCAGCACCACATAACAAACGGACATTGTATTGCAAACAATCTTCAATGAGCAAATCCGAACAAATGCATTTGCCTTTTGTAATGCTTGATGGGGTATGAAAAAAAACAACAGTTGTTACAATGCTCTCATGGCTTGAGGAGAGATTCAAACAATCATTAGATAGCAAATGCATTTCCTTTTTGCAATGCTTGATGGGGTATGGAATTTACTACCCAACAGCAACAACTTGTTCTGAATCAGATACATTTACGCAGTCACTTAAATCCTGTCCCTTGGTTTCAAACGAGATGAGCAGGACACAGACCGCTGAAATAGCCATCACAACCTCAAACAGAATGATAACTTCTGTAAGCTTGCAACCAGTCACCAGTCCAACTGCCACGCGAGGACATATCATGCCGCCAACCCTTCCTACAGCACTTGCAACTCCAGCACCAATCCTTTAAGAAAGAATCCAGCGATTACCTCTGGAACATATATTGAAGAAACTGCAAGCAACGAAGAATTACTAGAGATGCATAATTTGGGGAGAAAGTGCTCAAAAATCCATCTCCGCTTGTTAGAAGAGTTATTCCCAGCAAACCCTTCCTGTAAAAACCAAAAACTGTAATCTTTAAATTGGATAAGGTTGAGGCTGATAAAGCTGGAAAACGACCAACATATTGCAAAACAGAACAATTGGAAGATCAACTCTGCAATTTTTGAAGTTATACACAATAAAAAGGTTTCTTAACTTTACATGTCGTCGTGAAAGGGACGGAGGAGATCATTAGCCAGGCACAGCAGATGATAATGGAAGAAAATAAAGGGGGAATGGCTTGCCTCCTTCCATAGCGATCTGAAACAAGGTCCCAAGAAAATGATCCAACGAGCATACCAGCAAAAACAGCAGTCGTTAGCAGACTCTCTTGGCCTGAGGAGAGTCCCCACTGAGACTTAACAACGGGTCCAACAAAAGAGAGAAGCATAACTTCCATTGCTTCTGCAAACCAACCAAGACCAGCATAAGCAAGCACCAGACATTGGAATTTTCCGAACCCCACAGAAGCAAGCGCCTCATCCAGCGTGGATACATCATCCATCTACATACCAAAAAGTGACAAAAAAATCAAAATCTTATCCAATATTCGATATGCGATCATCGAAGAAAATAGTTCTCACCCTTCTAATTGGGATTTTAATTACAAACCAAAACAACAATAATTGCAAGAAAAGATTACCAATCTTAAAAAATATTGCAATAGTTGTTGAAGCTTTTTCCTATTTACTTATACTTCCTGCACGAGAATCGAGCACTGCCTGTCTGAAGAAGTACTCTTAAACCCACCATGGCCCCTCCAATTGAGTACTCGTCAGTCACATAAAAAATATTCCTAACGCATGCATAGTTATTGCTACTGTATAACAAGAGCATATGTTGTTTGTGTTCTGAATCTGTTCCTACTCCCTAGAACTTTTAACTGATATCTTGTTCATTGAAAAGACAGAATGTAACAATATGGTTTAATGCAAAAATTACCTCTAAATTATCGAATTACCAGAATTTACTGTCAATTTAAATTATTATTTTCTAAGTAAATGTTATCTCTCTCTTTTTTTTTCTGTTATCTTTAATGGTGAAAATTTTGATTTTTACTTTGAATGTTTAAATAATATAATTTAATGTTATCAATTGTTATCCAAATTGCAATATAAATTATTATTCAATGTCTATACGAAGTTGACATGTACAGCCATTGACTAATAAGAGAGAATTAAAAAGGTTATACATTTTTGCAATCAAAGAAAAGTAATTTATCAATACGACAAGTAACAAGTAGTAGTTGAATAATTACACCCACCAAAAGCTTGTCCTTTTCTTTTAACCCCACCTCACATCAGCTTCCGGTGATCTCATAGCTAGCATCTTTATGGCCAAATGCTTTAGGTATTCTTATGCTTAATGATTATCCCCACCAACACTACCATTTCTTCTTATTATTATACTAGCTCTATTTGGGTGGGAGCAGAGGAAGTTTCGCTGATCAGGCAGTGTTTGATTCTATATGTGTAGACTCATTTCTAAAAGCTATTATCATCATCTTGGGATTGCAGTTTTGGTTTGTGGTTAACAGGCAGTGATAGTATGTTTGACTTATTCTTAATTTGAAGCTATGCAAATGAATGGACTTTATTTCTGACCATGATGCTATCAACTAATATTGGTGTTGTTTCTTTCCCAGACAAAAACTAAAGCTTTCATCAATTATATCCACTAAGTTTAAAAGGTATCATCCTTTTTTTGTAGACTAATACTGTTAAATTTACTTTCTTGAAACTATTACTTTTCGTTTTTAATCTGGTAGCGATTTGTTATTTTGTAGTTATGTCCATGAATGAACCCGCTGAGAGTTCCGCCGGGGTAAGCATCAGTTTTTTTGATGATCGTAAAATAAAATCTTGCAAGCCCTTCTGCTTGAAAATATATATATATATCATTCTGGTGCCATGTTTATTAATACAGAGGGGTGGTGAAAGCCCTATGGTGGTGAAAGCCCTATATACACTCTGGATGAGGCACTTGCTTCTGTGGGGTTTGGGAAATTCCAACTATTGGTGCTTTCTTACACTGCTCTGGGTTGGTTTGCTAACGCAATAGAACTTATGATTCTGTCTTTTGTGGGACCAGCGATTAAGTCCCAGTGGGATCGATATCTCCCCAAGCAAAGATAGTCAGCTATCAACTGCTGTTTTTGCTGGGATGCTTGTTGGATCATTTTCTTGGGGCCTTGTTTCAGATCGCTATGGAAGGAGGCAAGCCATTTTCCCCTTATTTTCTTCCTTTATTGTATGCTTTGCCTCGCTAATGATCTTCTCCGTTCCTTTGACAGCAACACATAAAGTTAAGAAACCTTTATTGTGTTTTTTGTTTTCCCTTTATTATGTCTGTTTAAATATGTGTGTATAACAAAGCCTTGATGATCCTAATACTTCTATGATTGATCTTGTAATTGTTCTGTTTTGCAATATGTTGGTCTTTTTCCAATTTTAACAGTCTAATCTAATCTAATTTGAAGATTTTATGAAGTTTCAAAGATTTCATGTAAACTGATATGTATTTTGTAAACACACCCTTTTTACTATCACTGATAACTGAGAATCTACTGCATTTTCCTCTTAGTTCTAATTTTTCTACTTGTGTTCTTACTCATAAAAGCTTCAAGTGCATCAAGAAGTTAGTATTATCCATCAAGTGTTTATCTATTATGCTAAAGATGTTTGTGACAGATATGATGTTATTCAAAGAAAAACAATCCGTTTGGATTTGAATTTTTGCAAAAGACTCTTACGATGCAACGTATACTTCATCTTCTATATTGGTTTTCTTGATCATATATGTTAACAGTATTAGTAGCTATAATATAGGCTATAAAATAGGCCTATGATAACAGGATTTTATGTACAGCTTTTCCTTTCCTTATACAGCTTTTGTTTCCTTTCTTTAGACTATCCTATTTTGTATATATATATCTAGGGTCGAGTGTACTACAATCACACAAAATATACAAGATTTCCTATTAATCACATGGTATCGAGCCCCGACCTCCTCCCCTCTCTTGATAATATTTTCCCCTCCGTCTCTGCGTGTTCTCTTTCACGCTCTATTTCTTGTGCCTCTGCCTAGCTCGGTTTTCTTCCGTCAAATCCCTTTTTTTTTTCTTTTTTTCCTCCGAATTCTATTGTTTTGTCTTTCTACCATGGAAAAATTTGAGGTTCTCAAACCTATTGCTACTACCTTAAACAGCACCAACTATAATCTATGGGTTCAAGGTATAAAAAGTTTTTTGATTGAGCGCAAACTCGGCGCATTGTAACTAGCGACATTGCTAAACCAATTCCGAAAAAAGATGAATCTGTCGCCAAATTTGCTGATCGACTAGACGATTGGGACAACAAGAATCACCGGATTATCACCTAGTTTTGCAATACCTCGGTTCCATCCATTCATATCCAGTTTGTCGATTATGACACCGCCAAAGAAATATGAGATTTTTTAGCTAATCGGTACACCACTACGGGTCTTGCTCACTATTATTAGTTGTGGACTAGCCTCCATAATATCAAACGGAGCCCGGTCAATCCGTGAATGACTTTCTTGCTCGAGTTCAACCTATTTGGAATCGGTTATCTCGGGCCAAGATAAGTGAAGATCATCTGCGTCTCATTCGGGTTCTTATGGCACTTCGCCCGAATATGAGGTTGTTAGAGCCTCCTTGTTGCATCGTACTCCTTTGCCTACCTTGGATGCTCGTCATTCACGAGATTATTTTTGAGGAAACACGCCTTAATCTGGACAAAACTCCTCCATCTACAGTTGTTCTTTCTACCACTCATTCCGAGCCTTCTTATCGAAATTTGGAACTCTATTCTATAAGCACTGTCATCAAACTCGGTCATGCTTTTGCCAATTGTCCTACTATCGAATGTAGATGTAGTCATGGTTTTGGACATATCTTGGAACATTGTCCTACTCGACCTCCGCGATCGAAAAATGGTTATTTTAAATCTCGGGCTCTCTCAAAGTCCGACTCTTCATCCGTTGCTTCGTTGTTGCCACCGAGGGTTCTACTTGCCATTACTATGAGTCCTATTGAGGCTCTTCTTAAACAGAGTTATCTCTTCCAGTTCTTCTCCTGCTATGTCCGTTATCCCGAGTAATTCTTCTTAGCTCTTTGATTTTGCATGTTGCAATCACATGACCTCGAGTTCGATATCTTATCTCCAAAACAATCGGTCACATCTTTACCACCTATACATACTCGCTAATGGTATCCAAATGCAAATCTCCCTCACGGCAAGACTCCAATTGGATGCAAATGGGTTTTCAAAATCAAAACTCGTTCGATGGCTCTATAGAACGCTATAAGGCACGATTAGTCGCTAAAGGCTATACTCAAGAATATGGTATAGATTATTAAGAAAATTTTGCTCCTGTAGCTCGGTTGACCTCGGTGCGCGATCTATTAGCCATTGCGAGTCGTTAAAAATTGGCGGCTCCTTCAAATGGATGTTAAAAATGCTTTTCTAAATGGTGACTTGCAAGAGGAAGTGTACATGTATCCTCCTCCCGGTTATACTCAACCTCATCACAAGGTTTGCAAACTTCAGCAAGCTTTATATGGGCTAAAACAAGCACCTCGGGCATGGTTTGCAAAATTTAGCTCTACTATTGCTCGGTTTGGTTTTTCTTCTAGTCCTCGTGACTCTGCCTTATTCATTCGTCATACTGATCGTGGTATTGTGCTTCTTTTACGCTATGTTGATGATATGATTATTACGGGCGATGACACTTCTTGCATTTACGAACTGCAATAATACTTTTGTCGAGTATTTTGAGATGAAGGATCTTGACCCTATTAGCTACTTCCTAGGCCTTGAAGTAACTCATAACTCCGATGGTTACTATTTGTCTCAAGCTCGGTATGCTTTTGATTTACTTTCTCGAGTCGGCATCACGGATAGTAAGATTGTATCCACTCCTTTGGAACTCAATGTTAAACTAACTCCATTGGATGGTACCCCTTTGATGATCCCACATTATATCGTCAACTTATTGGGAGTCTTGTCTACCTTATTGTCACTCGACTCGACATTGCATATGCCGTTCATTTAGTGAGCCAATTCATGAGCTCACCCCGTTCTTCTCACTTTGCTACTGTACTTTGGATCCTTCACTATGTCAAGGGGACACTTTTTCATGGCTTACATTTCTCTCGTTTACACTTCTTTAGTCTTATCCGGCTATTCGATTGTTGATTGGGCTGGTGACCCCACCGATCGTCGCTTTACTATTAGGTATTGCTTCTTTTTGGGAGACTCTTTCATCTCTTCGTGATGCAAAAAGAAAACTGTCATAGCTCGCTCTAGTACTGAATCGAGTATCATACTCTTGTCGATGCCACCTCCAAGTTACTATGGCTTCGCTTGTTGTTATCCGATATGGGCATCCACCATTCATCTGCCACGATTCTCCATTGTGATAATAGAAGTGCTATTCAAATTGCTCATAATAATATTTTTCACGAACGCACCAAACATATTGAAATTAATTGTCATTTTGTTCGCCACCATGTCACTCGAGGCACTCTGCGTTTGGTATCTGTCTCCTCTCGCTAACCGGACAGTGATATTTTCACCATGACTCATCTTCCCACTCGCTTCTATGACTTACTAAGCAAACTCGAAGTTGGTATCTACACTCCCACCTTGAGTTTGAGGAGGGGGTGTTAACAGTATTAGTGGCTATAATATAGGCTCTAAAATAGGCCTATGATAACGGGATTTTATGTACAGACTTTTCCTTTCCTTTTACAGCTTTTGTTTCCTTTCTTTAGACTATCCTATTTTGTGTGTATATATATATATATATCTAGGGTCGAGTGTACTACAATTACACAAAATATACAAGATTTCCTATTTATCACAATATATATACGGTATTTGATTTTTCCAGCAAGGGTTTGCTAGGAATAACTCTTATAACCAGCGGAGCTGGATTTTTGAGTACTTTCTCCCCAAATTATACATCTCTGGTATGTATGCGTTGTTTGGTTGGCTTTGGCGCAAGCGGCACAACTGTATTCGGCTCCTGGTTTCTAGAGTTTGTTCCTGTTGCTCATAGAGGCACAAGGATGGTTCTCCTCTCAATGTTTGGAATAGTTTTTGTGGCTGCACTTGCATGGGTGTGTGCTATTAATTTCCTCACTTCTACAGTTATTATCCAAACCATTGTTTCTTGATGATTTTTTTTTTCTCTAAAGCTTTTCCGTTTCCATCTATTATTTGAGAAGAGAAATTGAAACAGAAAGGATATTGGCTTTGATATTCTTGTTTTAGGAAAAAGCTGAAGGTTGAAGACAGCTCCAGTTGTATAATGCTCTTAAAATAATCATATCCCTGTAATTCTTGCAGATTGTCATGCCAAGATTGAGCTGGAGATGGCTACTTGCATTTTCCTCTATACCATCGATTGCGATGCTTTTCTTTTATTCTCTAGTACCAGAGTCTCCAAGGTATCTATGCATGAAAGGTAGAATGAACGATGCAAATAATATTCTTGAGAAGATAGCTCGGTTGAACCAATCAAAACTCCCTCCTGGACAGCTTGTTCCTGGTAGTGCAATGGGTCTGGATGAAGAATCTGAAGCATGAGAATGTACCCCTCTACTCTCCACAACTAGAAAATGGATTTGGATTGTCGTCATTTTTTACACTTCTCTCATCAAAACTAATTGGAACAACCCTTCTTCTATGGGAGTTATACTTTGGAAATGTATTCTCATTTTATGGTATCTTGTTGCTGACTTCAGAGCTAAGTAGTGGGCAAAGCAAATGTGGCTCAACTGTCCTGCAACCAGAGAAACTTAAGGATGACACGGCCTACGTAAATTTATTTATTACAAGCATGGCAAAGATCTTTGAATTGTTCGATGATGTTTTCTAACAAGATTCTACTTGATATACTCAATAGCAGTGCCTAATAACATTCTCCAATCTCAGGGCACCATTTTGATCTTGTTTAATTGCTACTGATAATTTGTTCTTATAGCTCCATTTATGCACGTGTTCACACTATTTTGCTTTGGATTTATTTCGTATCACATTGCCATCGAGTAAATATCATATCAGTGTTTTGTGGTGTTTCTTTGCAGGCAATTACTATAACTAAAGAACGGAGGAGATCATTAGCAAGGCAAAGCATATAATACTGGAAGAAAATAAGGGGAAAATGGCTTGCCTCCTCTCGTAGTAATCTGAAACAATGCCCAAGAAAATCATCCAACAAGCATGCCAGCAAAAACAGCAGTTGATAGCGGACATATTATTGCATAGTTATCTAGTCTATAGGGTCAATTAATAAATACACATTCTCCCTTCCAATACCGGACTTGGTGAAACCAAAGTTCGCCAAAGGGACTTTCTATTCCAAACAGTCATCAAATAGCACATCCATTTCCATTTTAAAATGCTGATTTGCTACCGAACATCAGCAGCTTGCTCTGAATCAGATACATGATCTATGCTGTCACTCAACTCCTTTCCCTTGGTTTCAACGCGTACAAGCAGGACACAGACTGTTGAAATAGCCATCACAACCTCAAACAGTATGATAGCTTCCGTAAGCCGGCAACTGGTCACCAGTGCAACTGCCACAAGAGGGCATATCATGCCACCAACTCTCCCTACAGCACCTGCAGCTCCACCAGCAGTTGCCCTCAAAGCCGTTGGATATAACTAGAAGCAAAGGACATGAATTAATACAAATCAATCATTCAAAACTTAAACCTCACTGCCCCTAATAGGTGTGTACAGAGGTCAGCATGAAAAAACTTGAAGAGAACTGGAACGTACTACCATTCACAGATCTCATTTATGTGACATAAAGCGCAAGATAAATGCAACTGGATTTTAAGGCTCATGATGCTGTCCTTGTGATATAAGTGTGATGAATACGTTGGGACGAAATCGATGACAGTAATATTATTCCTATTAATGGTTTCATAATGAAATAATACGAATAATCACTCCACAGGATAAAGTAAAGAGGAATTGGAGAAGAACCTAATCAAGTTTGTACAATTCAAAAAGTAGTCTCGTATTAGCAACAAAAGCGGTTCAATTTATATGTACTAAAGCTCACTGCAACAGCCCCAGGAACCACAAGGGTTGAACGGAGAGACATGAACAAGCTAGCCAACAATGGCCAGTACTCAAGACTGGCAAAAAACAACAACGGAAAGAATAAGAGAGGTGAGAAATGAAGTCTGTAAACTTTACAGAACCTTGCAGTTTCTAACCAAAGCATTATCATGATTCCTGTGTAAAAAAAACTTTTCCAAGGTTCACAGAAGTTGAAAATGAGAGGATGGGAATATTTTAGCCAGTCAGCCACTGCTTTAGATAAAATGGCTATGAGAATGTATTCCTTACCTCCAGACCATATATTGCAGAAACCGTGAAGGCTCCATTGGTACTCATGCGAGCTCCGAACAACAACACTGTTGTTAAAGTTGCAGGCTGACGGTGAACCAGAGGTAAAAGGGAAATACAAGCCAATACAAACAGAAATGCTACCGTAAACTTGCGGCCAATTCTATCTACCATAATTGCTGATATCAGAAGCCCAGGAATCTCTGCAATATAGAATTAAAGAAAACATATTATCTGATAACTGCATAACATGATAATTAAATAAAAAAATAAAGATAAATAAATTTAGGTGCAGACATAGGAGCCTGGCATGCAATACCTGCCAAACTAGTAATAAATACATTTACGTAGAGGCTGTCATCCTGAAGAATTTTTGAAAACATGGCATTACTTGAGCCACATTGGCTTTGCGCACTACTTAACTCTGAAGCCAGCAACAGGATACCGTAATATGAGAATACATTTCCAAAGCATAACGCCCATAGAAGAAGTGTCGTTCGAACAAATTTTGATGAGAAAAGAGTAACCAATGACGAGAAACCTGATCTAAGATCCAAATCCATTTTTCTAGTTGTGGAGTGTAGAGGGGTAGATTCTGAGTTGGCAGATTCTTCATCCCGTCCAACTGTACTATCAGAAACAAGCATTCCAGGAGGGAGTTTTGATTGGTTCAACCGAGCTATCTTCTCAAGAATTTTATGTGCATCGGTTATTCTACCTTTCGTGCATAAATACCTCGGTGACTCTGGTACTAGAGAATAAAAGAGAAGCATAGCAATTGATGGTAAAGAGGAGAGTCCAAGTAGCCATCTCCAACCCAATCCTGGCATCACAATCTGCAACAATTATGAAATACAACTTTTTTAGGACTCTTTTCTTAGGATTGGATTGTCTTCAACACTCAGCTTTTTTCTCTAACAAGAATATGAAAGCCAATGCCATTTCTGTTTCAATCTCTATTCAAAGGAAAGGGAAAAACTGGAAAGAAATAAAATCATCAAGCAACAGTTGTCTGGATAGAAACTGTAGAAGTGAGGAAATTAATAGAACACAGCACCCATGCGAGCGCAGCCTCAAAAATGGTTCCAAATGTCCAGAAGAATGAGAGGAAAATCATCCTTATGCCTCTATGTGAAGCAGGAACAAACTCCAGGAACCAGGTGACGAATACATCTCCACCGCCCACGCCAAAGCCAACGAAAAAACGAAGTGTTACCAGGGATGCATAATTTGGGGAGAAAGTACTTAATACTCCAGCTACGCAAGTTAGAAGATTTAATCCTAACAAACCCTTCCTGGAAAAACCAAATGGAATTAGACAACCATAAATTACACAAAGACACAGTCAAGAAACAAATTAGAGGAAGTATACATGGGAACATAAGAGTCCATTAATCCAAAGATTCAAATCCAAATGGATGGTTTCAAAGAAAGATGTCATATCTGTACAGTAACATCTTCATCAGGATGGATCAACACTTGATGGATAACAGTAACTTCTCAATGCACTTGAAGCTTGTATCAGTAAACCCACAAGTAGAAAAGTTATAACTAGCATATTGTAAAACTGATATTGAGAAGGGTATTTACAGAATACATATCAGGAAATGATTGGCACTTCACAATTTTCAAATTGCATACGAGTAACTCTGCAAAATTGAATAGTTGGAACTTGGAAGAGCATATTGTGTCAAGCTTTCAATCCAATACCGTGACTGGCGAACATGGAGATCTATCATACAAAATTGACTTGTTTTCTGCTATGTCTGAAGCTATACTGATACACACGTAATAATTATTAAAAAAAAAAAGAAACAAAATAAAGGGTTCTTAACTTTATATGTCATTGTCAAGGGAATGGAGGAGATTATCAGCAAGTAGATGAACAAAAAAAATTGGAAAATAACCTACCTCCTCCCGTAGCAATCAGAAATAAGGCCAAGAGAAAATCCTCCAACAAGCATCCCAGCGAAGACTACGGTTGATATCAGACTCTCTTGGTCGTCGGAGAGATCCCACTGGGACTTAACCGCTGGTCCGACAAAAGAGAGAATCATAAGTTCCATTGCTTCTGAAAACCAACCTAGACCGGCATAAACAAGCACCAGTATCTGGAATTTCCCAAACCCCACTGAAGTAAGTGCCTCATCCACAGTGTACACAGGGCTTTCACCATCCATCTGTATTAACAAAGAAAACGAAACATTATCGTATTCAAGCAGCAGTCCTTGCAAGATTTCATTTTATGATCATCAATGAAATAAGCTTATGATTACCCTCTCGGAGCTCTCTGCGGGTTCATTCATGGCCATAACTACAAACTTACAAATCACTCACTACTTGATTAAAAACCAGAGTGGTAGTTTCAAGAAGAGACTTTTCGTTTGAAAAGAGAATATATGAATATATTTGCCTTAATTTGGTATTATTAAAGTAAACACAAAGTCCTTTGGATTCAACATAAGAAAATGATAGAACAGCCGTGCACTGGTAACTGTAAGCAAAAAGTTCAGAAATTTGATAACCGGTGGTCAAAGAAACTTGTGCTGCCTAACCTTCCAGACGTATGGCACACTCTGTTTCGTCCACTGGTTAGTAGTGTAGAATTGTCGGTCCAAGTCGGACAAAATAAAATCATTTTATATTTTTATAATTTTTCATTAATTTTTTATTTCATTAAGTTTTTTATGTTTTTTTTTTATATATAAATTTTATTCTCGTTATGTTGCGTGAAAAAAAAAAAACAAGTAATAACGTTCAATATTCCATAATTATTTAATAAAAAATTAAAGGAAAAAAAAACACAAAGTATCAAACCCACGTGTCTGGCCTGAGCCTAAAAAAAGAAAAAGATAAAATGGCTGCTTTTAATCCGGTGACCTCTGCAATTTCTGGCAACATCAATTTGCCGAAAAGGTCATCGGAAAGTCGTTAATTCATTGAAGAATCACAAAACAGATCTTGTGAAACAGGAAACTTTAGTTCATTATTGCACATGCAATCGGACATAAATTAGATGCTATAAGAAAAAAGCCAATTGCTACTTCAACCTTTATAGCTAGTAATAAGGCAAGGACGAGTCAGAAGCAACGATATGATAAAAGAAGCTAGTACTTGGAATTTCCCAAAGGCAACAGAAGCATGTGCCTTATTCAGAGTGTACACAGAGCTTTCACCATCCATCTGAATTACGAAAAAACAGGACCAGATTGATAACAAAGAAACAAAAACATCGTCCCATTCTTGTAAAGATTTCATTTTTTGATCATCAAAGAAACTTGTGCTTACTCTGATGGAGCTCTCCTCAGGTGCAGGTTCATTCATGGGCATAACTACATACTAAGTACTCCCTATCCGATTACAAACCAAACTTGTAGTTTTAAGAAGAGAATAATTAATTAGTAGTATTAAACTAAGAAAAAGAAAAACTTATGCAAGTATACTTGTCAGGAAATGGCAGGCAAAAGTACAAAGAAAATTAGTGTTGACTGCATGTGCGTAAATGAAGGTAGAAAAATAAACTTTTGGTGGCTACCACAGCTAGAGTACAGACAAGGTGCTGGAATCCGACGCGTTGTGGGGTCACAATAAGAAAATTAACGGTGTGGTAGTGGCACTAGTAACATAAGAGTAGAAGCAATCGGTTTTGAAGTAAGGAAAGTTCAAAAACAAAAGAGATGACGCAGGGGCTGACCTCATAATCCCAAAAATCCAAAATCCAAACTCCCAGTCTGTTTGCAAGTCTACACTCGCATGAATTTATTAAATTTTATTGAGGGAGCTAAAACTTGCTATTTGATCTGCATCTTTTGGAGTGGCCATGGGGTTTATTGAGAGAGCTAAAACTTGCTTCCTTTGGTCTGTCTGAAAGTGCAATGAATTGTGTTGATTTCGGGAGTTTGTCCTCTCTTGAAGAATTGGATTTATCAGAAAGCAAATTCCTCAATCTACCTACTGGAATTGGCCACCTTCCTAGGCTCCAGAAGTTGGATGTTAGTAGTTGCATAAATCTTTTATTAATTTCAGAGCTTCCCTCAAGTTTAGTGCGGTTGTATGCAATTGGTTGCAAATCAATGGAAAGGATAAGACTGCCAATTCAGTCAAAAAGATCTCCATTTTTGTTTGTAGATGGCTGCAATAATTTAATGGAGATCGAGGACAGGGAAGATATGGACGATGGCTTGTGGGCTTTCTCTCCACGGTGCTACCGTTTATCGGAAAGTTATAAGAAGAATCTTGCTGAGGTACTGTTATCTTTTTATCAATGTCTCCTGCACACACATGCACGGATTGGACTTTCTTGAAATTAATTAATGTTAATGTGATTTATCATTTGAGTTTAATCTTAGCCATTTAAATTAAAATAAAATGGCTAAGATTTTATTAGGAGGATTTTCTCTTACTTACGGAGGAAGCATATATATATATATATATATATATATAGGTGTATTTTAAACAAATAGTAATATATTTTTAAATAGTTTACATTAATTGAAATTAAATTTATCTTTTTTTTTTTTTTTTTTTGCATAAAGCAGTACTTAGTCTTTTTTTGATTATTAAACTATTTTTAAATCAAATCAATTTAAATCTAATATCAATAAAGAATAATAATTATTAAGTTTTTTATAAAAATAATTATGATTAGTTATTCAACTTTTGTCCTTTTTAAGCATCATGATTTAGTAAGACAATTATTATTGCCCTGTTATTATGAAATAAATAAAGCTTTTTTTTTTTTTTTTTGAATTTGCAGAATAACTAGAATATTGGATTATTATTATTATTATTATTTTATGAGCCTGCTATTAGGTGCACGTCTTGCTCAGCAAAGAAGACAAAGTTGTTACTCAGCAAGCAAGAAAGTGAAATGTGTTAATGGCTGAACTGGAACATTGACCCCTTCGCAAATGGATCAAACTATATTAACTTTCGAGAAGAAGAAATATAAAGAATAAATAAAATTTCTAGTCATGAGACGAATTTAAAAGATCAACCTACAAATTTTGAATTCATCGAACATAGTTTGGAGATTGAAGCAGAAAAAGCTGTAGGTCGAGGTCAGCTTGAGGATGTTAAAAATGTGCCTGATTCAACTAGGGCTCTCATCATTAAAGATCAAAACTAAAGCTTGTAATTTTTTTTCCAAATGAGTGAGTAACTAGACAATCAAAAATTATGAAGAAGTTTAGGAAGTGAGCTATTATTTTAAGATAGAATTCTTTCCTATAATATCATATATCAATTATGATTATTTTTCCTTCTTTTTTTTATTTTTATTTTTATTTTTTGTCCATATTTTTTTAAAAGAAAGAAAATATAATAAAAATTCTCATAATAGATATACAATATTATATGAATCAAAATTTTTATTTTCTAAATGGATATATCTATCTAAATTCACTTAACTTTTACATTGTACATCATTCTATTAAAATTGTTTGACTAATTTTGACCAAGTTTACGATTTGAAATATGGAGATTTGATTAAAAAAAAATAATTTAGAAACTATATTATATTTGTTGTAAAAAACAATATGGGTTGCAATGCTTTGTCCATCAATCTATTATAGGAAAGTTTCTATTTTTGTCAAAATTAATACTAATCAAAATTTCAAGCTTTATTTTCTATGTCAAATTAACTTTTTTAGTTTTTTCTTTTTTTTGTAGCATCATATGGAACCAATCACCGGACCCTTCCATCGATCATTGGGCATCTCGTCGGTTCAACATTTGATCCAATTTAAGCCTCGACGTAACCGGTATATCAAAAAACAATCTAATTACTAAAATATGATTATTTGAGCTAATATCAGTTCGTATTAGATAGAAGATTATGTTAATTTTTCACGTAGTTTTTTATTTATTTTTTGATATTTTTCTAGTTTTTTTTATTTTTATTTTTTTTTGTCAAGAATCGTTATCGGTCCTTAAAAGTTAGGAGATCCGACAACTCGTCCACCGGTTAATTACTTAATAAATCTTAAACTAGGCAATTCAAAATATCATATCAAAATTGAGCATAAGATTAAAAAAAAAAAAAAAAGTATAGGCAAAAGGAAATTCGGTGCTAATTTAGGAAACTAGGTCAAGACAAAGCAATGGGTTCCCTTCTTCTTCTTTTTTGGGGTCGATGGGCCCTTGGCCCGTTGGGTCGGGCTCACTGGATGGGTTGCTGGGTTGGCCTTCTGGGCAGGCCACCCTCCTTTCGTTTTGGGCCTAGGCAGGGCTGAGATCATCCCAGTCCAGGCCTCAAGTGGGTTGGGCTTGGCCCAGCCCGTCCTCTTTTCTTTCTCTCTGGCCCTAGACCTTACCCCAGACACCTCTCCTCTCTTTATTTTTCTTCGCTCCTTTTGGATCAAACGATCCTCTCTTCCCTTTCTCTCATCTCTCTCTTTACCCTTCTCAAAAGAAACCCAGAAAGCTCAAAAACGATCTCCTCTTCTAATCTAATCACCCAGAAGCCAGATCCCAACCTCCTCTCTCTATCTCTCATCCAAATCATGGGTTGTTTATTCCTCTCCCTAAACCTAAACCATGAACGATCGAATCCCAAAACTCACTAACCTTTCATCTTCTTTCCCTTGATCAATCCTGGATCTCCCCTCTTCAAGCCATTTCCTTTCTACTTGGCAAGTCCTTGAAGCCCTTGCATTGCTGAGTTGCATTAACTGGCTTATCATTGAAGTCTTGAATTGCTGAGTTGCATTAACTGGCTTATCATTTTAGCTACATTTCAGTCCGCTACCAAGAAACTTGGAAACTCTCCCACTTTTTCTTGTTAATTTCTAGCAAGCAAGTTTTTCTCACCTTGCATATCAAATGTTTGATAAAATTCCTTGCAAAAGTTCATGTTTACACTGCTTTTAAGTCCTTGAAGTCTTGAATTGCTGAGTTGCATTAACTGACTTATCATTTTAGCTACATTGATGAATAACGCTTCCATATGCTTCTTTGGGCCCGAATCATTTTAAACATCAAATGTATTGGAAATTCAATTACTTTGTGCGTCCAAGAAGTCATTGTCAAAGAAAATGATTCTACGGCTTTTTAGTGGAGCATTTTGCTTGGTCCGTCACTACTTCTCTTGTACAGAATAGATTTATCTTTACTCGTGAAAAGTTTATTAATAAATTATGTTCGCACTGCTGCCATGATTAAAAGCAAATGACTTGCATTGACTAATGGGTGAGCTAAAACAGCATTAGGAGTTTCCTTTAGCGAAATGAACACAGCAATTTCCATGTTCAACTCCTTTGATAAAGAAACTTATCACCACTTTTTTTCAGTCCAAAGAACTTTTTAATGAGTTTACACTGCTTTAATTGTAAAGTAAGGATTATAATAATGGATCAGCTACCAACACAAAATCACCACTCAAGATTCCTGCTAAAGAATTGCCTTTGTTGTTTTTTAGTGCAACTGATAACTTTCTTTTTGAAACAATATAATCTTTACTAACCTTCACCCCTCACTTTACTCTTCAGCAAACCTTTCCGATTGCTGCAATTTGATCATCCCACCAACCCATAATCACCATAAACAGGTAAGTTTGCAATTGTTGCTACTGACTGCATATAATTTTGTTGTTTTCATCTTTAAAACTAAATTGATTTTTGTGTTTACATTATTCAATTAAGTTCATTGATTTTTTGTGTTAGTTCTTGGCTAAAGATACTGCAACGAAGGCACGTTTCTAGATTATGCTGCTAACTTAAAAGTCAAATCATGCAATAAATTTCCATCTTCATTTTGTTTCAAATTTTAATCATGTTATGCTAATTTGATTTAGCTTTGTTAACATTGGATCTGCTTGGTTGCTGAGAAATTGAAAAACAAGAAAGAAACAACAATTGACTAAGTCTTATTTCCTTATTATATACTTCCTATGATCTCCTAGAGACTACATTGAATGAGATAATTCTTTTCAAAACAAGCCTATATTTTTCCATTCTCATTCAGATAGTAATTCATAACTTGAATGCTCTTTGCTCTTCTACCTTTGTTATATGACTAATTCCTCTTTTGGAGTATGCAGATATCACTTGCTACTGTTCCTTTTATTTTTTCCAGCTTTCTTTCAGTTTCTGTTGGAGTATGATTTTTGTTATTTAGTATTCATAACATATCTATGTCTTGTTTACCATGTGAAAGCAGATATATCCCTTCCCCAAAGACAATATAACCTATAACCTTCACTCTGCAAACAACATGGCCATGTGTTTCAAGTCTGAATCATCTTCTAATTCTTCCTCTGGAGTTCGATACAGTTATGATGTCTTTTTGAGTTTTCGAGGGGAAGATACTCGCAAGAAGTTTACAGACCATCTTTATTATGCACTAGATCAAGCAGGAATCCATACATTTCGCGATGATAATGAACTTCCCAGAGGAGAAGAAATCTCCCAACAACTCCTTAAGGCAATTGAGGAATCAAGGATTTCTATAGTTGTCTTCTCCAAAGGTTATGCTTCATCAACATGGTGCCTTGATGAACTAGCAAAGGTTATGGAGTGTAAAAATAGCATGAGGCAGATTGTTCTTCCTGTATTTTATGATATTGAACCATCGGATATTCGCAAACAGACTGGGAGTTTTGCAGAAGCCTTTAAGATGCAAGATTTTGATAGGATCAATTCTTTAATTGGTCTAACTTCAGAATCAATCCATATTAGATTTCAAATCACCAAATTTTTGAATCAACTCATTTGATCATATCAGATTTGACAAGACTGCACAAAATCACCTTACCAGAATGCCAAACAAAGACTTCTTTATCACCAAAATTGACTTTAGGACACAACCGTTAAAAGAGCATGCATATGCAGGCTGTCCAAATTGAAACAAATCATGGAGGTATTAAATCTGATATGATCAGATTTATTAAATCTTATGATTAAATTTTACCTCAGCATGAATTTATTAAATTTTATTTCAGACAGATCAAATAGCAAGTTTTAGCTCTCTCAAAAAAAAAAAAAAAACAAGTACCAGGCCCAAGCGCTTGGGCCTTGCAAAACTAGCTTGTGTGTCTGGGCTTGAGGAAAAAAAAAAAAAAGGAAAAGAAACAATGACTGCTTTTAATCCAGCGACCTCCGTAATTTCCGACTGCATCAATTTGTTAGAAATGTCGTTGAAAAGTTGGATTTTATCATTTCCAATCTCTCAAAACCAAATTCAACCCTGTTTTTTCGTCAAAAACCCACTTAAAATCACAGAAATGAAATGACACCAAATAATTTTTTTAGAGTCTCAAAACTCAGTTGAAACCATGTAAACCATACAAAAATTCAAATTAAAATAAAAAAAATTTAAAATATTTTTAAATTTCAATATAATTTCTTCAATCATTTCACTGCTTATTATCACCACAAATAATTTTACTCTTTAAGACGAATAAAATGATGATAAGAACGATGACAAGGTTGATTGGTAGGTCATGAAAAAAAATGCAAACACCTAAACCTTAGGCTCACTAACGATCAGAGAGACTGTTAAATCTTAAACACAAATTAGAGAAAACAACACACACACACACATATATATATATATATATATATAGGAGTACCGAAGGCTCATCCTCACTCGTCGGTTGTGCGTGTATATATATATATATATAGAGAGAGAGAGAGAGAGAGAGAGAGAGAGAGAGAGAGAGAAGGAGAGCACCAGCACATGACTAGGCCTAGGTGGGCAAAGCGTCCATGTCCAAAAATAAAAATAAAAAATATGCTAAAATGGTTTAACCACTCGTAAATTCTCAATTATTTTAAATTCAATTTTTTATTTTTTATTTGATTTTAAGGATTTTTAAACTCTTTTTTTCACTCATCCTTCAATTTTCTGTTATTTATTTCAAAAAAAATAACAACTACATAAATAGTTTCATAATTGACATCATTTAATGAGATTTATAGAGGTTTTTTTTTAAAAAAAAATTGATATCATTTTGGGATCATTTTCTATATTTTTAATGTGTAAAAAATAAAAAAATATACGTTTTTATTCTCACTCCAAGTAAGTCTGTGATTCTATCCTACTGAAATTCGATAATCTTATCAAGCTGGTGACTATATTAACTGGGAATCACTGCCAAACTTATTTGAGAGCTCTCCTAATCGCGAAGTTCATTGTCAGCTGACCAGAAGTGTAGGGGTCAGGAGAGGAGTGAGAATAATCCCATAACATTGTCAAGGTTTAGAGAATGGATTTTGTTTTGTCCCATTGATTTCACTCTTCTGGTCAGCTGAATCATGTTGATAGAGCTTGACACCTTGATTTGCTTGATAGAGCTTGACACCACTTACTTGGAGTAGAGGCAACAGGTCATGAAGGAAGCAATGATTTTTTTTTTTTTTGATGGATGAAAAGGATGTGTAAATTATAAGTTAGTCTCCCTTGTTTTGAAAAATGAATTAAGTAATTTTTTTAAAAAAAATTAATCATTTACTTTTTATATTTTGAAATCTACTTATAATTTAATTTTCTATTTTAAAAAATAGAAAAAAATATGAAATAATATGAAAAGATTAACGAGAAAAGAAGATATTTTATAAAATAAAAATAATATTAAATTAAGTATGATTAATTCTGATCAAATGATTAAATAATCATTTTTAAAACGAAAGGACTCCTTAATTTATTTTTTGAAGCTAGACGACTAATTTATAATTTACTCTTAAAAGGATTCATTAGTCAAAAAGAAAAACAAATTAAGCTGGAGCTCAATCTTTACAAATCAACAGGAATTGCTACAAAAATAAAAAGTACTTAACTTACTAAAGTCTAATTCCTACCAACAATAAAAAGATAAAAATTGGATACAGACTTCTACAAAAGAGAAGTCTTGCTATCTTTATCATGTAAACCTGCTATTGTTTTCCTTCCATACATTGTAAATCCTCTCATGACTTGAGGAGAGATCCAAACAATCATTAGATAGCAAATGCATTTCCTTTTTACAATACTTGATGGGTTATGGAATTTACTACACAACAGTTACAACTTATTCTGAATCAGATACATTTACGCAGTCACTTAAATCCTGTCCCTTCGTTTCAGACGGGATGAGCAGGACACAGACTGCTGAAATCGCCATCACAACCTCAAACAGAATGATAACTTCTGTGAGCTTGCAACCAGTCACCAGTCCAACTGCCACGAGAGGACATATCATGCCACCAACCCTCCCTACAGCACTTGCAACTCCAGCACCAGTTGCCCTCACAGCCGTTGGATATAACTAAACATATACAGATATTAACACAAATTAATTATTTGTAATCAAAGAAAGAAACTTGAAGCGAACTGGAAAGTACTACCATTCTCAGATACTGGATGTGAAATAAAGTAGAAGAAAAAATAAGTACATTTTATGGTTAATGGGAAGTGCTCAGCTAAGTCTGTGAATATTTTTGGCTCAAAATCACCTTTCAAATGCAATAAAATTCCTTTAAGAAGGTATCCAGCGGTTACCTCTGGAGCATATATTGAAGAAACTGCAAAGGCTCCTCTGCTACTCATGCGAGCTCCGAACAACAATGCTGTTGTTAAAGTTTCAGACTGATGGTAAACCAGAGGTAAAAGGGAAATACAAGCCAGCACAAACAAAAATGATATCGAAAGCTTGCGGCCAATTCTATCCACCATAATTGCTGATAAAAGAAGCGCAGGAATCTCTACAGTATAGATTTACAGAAAACATGTTACCAGATCATTGCTTAAATGTCATAATTAAATAAAAAAATTAAGTTAAATGCATTTAGGGGCAGACAGAGGATAGTGGGCATGCAATACCTGCCATGCTAGTAATAAATACATTTACGTAGACGCTGTCATCCTGAAGATTTTCTGATTGCAAGGCAGTAATTGAGCCACATTTTCTTTGCCCTCTACCTAGCTCTGAAGCCAGCAATATGATACCATAATATGAGAATACATTTCCAAAGTATAACTCCCATAAAAGAAGTGTTGTTCGAATTAGTTTTGATGAGAAAAGCGTAGCCAATGACGAGAAGCCTGATCTGAAATCTGAATCCATTTTTCTAGTTGAATAGAGTAGAGGAGTATCTTCTGATGCAGCAAATTCTTCATCCAGTTCAAGTGTACTATCAGAAACAAGCATTCCAGGAGGGAGTTTTGATTGGTTCAGCCGAGCTATCTTCTCCAGAATATTATGTGCATCGGCTATTCTACCTTTCATGCACAAGTACCTCGGAGACTCTGGTACTAGAGAATAAACGAGAAGCAATGCAATTGATGGCAAAGAGGAGAGTGCAAGTAGCCATCTCCAACTCATTCTTGGCATCACAATCTGTAAACATTAGAGAGAAACAATAACTTTAAGAAGAACCGGAATATGGAAAAGATATATGTGAAGCATAAATGAATTTAAGTTCTCAAACTCTGCTCTGTAATGTGCAACTTAGCCAAGTAATATACAAAAAGATCAGTGAATTACTAGGAAAAATGGCTTTTTACATATACCACCATGAGATTCGAAGAGAAAAAAAATTAAGTGTTTTTCAGAGACTTCTCTCGTTCAGAAAGGGAGTTTATATTTCTGTCTAAATAGATGAAAAGAGTCCCCTTGCAAGGACACTAAACAAGTGCAGATGCTGAGGATAGACTTCATGAACTTAGAAAAATGCCAACAATTGAGAAAAAGGCACATCATGGAGTTTCATTGGCAGCTTTTTTAGATACTAATTGTAGAAGTCAGGGAATAGAACACAGTACCCATGCAAGTGCAGCCTCAAAAATAGTTCCAAATGTCCAGAACATTGAGATGAGAACCATCCTTGTGCCTCTATGCGCAACAGGAACAAACTCTAGAAACCAGGAGTTGAATACAGTTGTACCGCCAACGCCAAAGCCAACCAAACAACGAAAAATTACCAGAGATGCATAATTTGGGGAGAAAGGACTCAATAATCCAGCTCCGCTAGTTAGAAGAGTTATTCCTAGCAAACCCTTCCTGGAAAAAACCAAATGCTGTTTATATATGATTAAGAAAACCTATATATCAGAGGCAGTATACATGGGATCATAATAGCCCGTTGAAAGGATTCAAACCCAAATGGATGGTTTTTCTTCAAAAAACATCATATCTGTCAGTAATAACTATAGGATGGTTTTTCTTCGAAAAACATCATATCTGCCAGTAATATCTATAGAAGAATGGATCGACACTTCATGGATAATAATAACTGCTTAATTCACTTGAAGCTTCTATCAGTAAGAACAGAACACAAGTAGAATAATTAGAACTAACAGGAAATGTTGTAGATTATGAATTATAACTAATAGTAAGAAGGTTGTATTTACAGAATACATATCAGTTTACAAAAATTATATGCACATCACATATTTAATCATTAGAAAAGCAGATTGTGTCAATCTAATACTTCAACTAAAAATAATAATAATAATAATTAATACTTTAACAAGCAAAAACAAAGATCAACCATATAATCATTAGAAAACTGAGATATTTTCTGCAATTTCTAAAGGTAAGCAAAACGAAGATCAATCATATAATCATTAGAAAAGTGACATATTTCCTGCAATTTCTAAAGTTATACACACATATACTCCATACAGATATTATTAAAAACAAACACAATAAGGACAAAATGGCTTGCCTCCTTCCGTAGTGATCTGAAACAAGGCCCCAAGAAAAGGTTCCGACAAGCATGCCAGCAAAAACAACAGTTGTTAGAATACTCTCTTGGCTTGAGGAGAGGTCCCACTGGGACTTAACCACCGGTCCCACAAAAGAGAGAATCATAAGTTCCCAGCAAACCCTTCCTGTAAAAACCAAAAACTGTAATCTTTAAATTGGATAAGGTTGAGGCTGATAAAGCTGGAAAACGACCAACATATTGCAAAACAGAACAATTGGAAGATCAACTCTGCAATTTTTGAAGTTATACACAATAAAAAGGTTTCTTAACTTTACATGTCGTCGTGAAAGGGACGGAGGAGATCATTAGCCAGGCACAGAAGATAATAATGGAAGAAAATAAAGGGGGAATGGCTTGCCTCCTTCCATAGCGATCTGAAACAAGGCCCCAAGAAAATGATCCAACAAGCATACCAGCAAAAAACAGCAGTTGTTAAATAACTTACAGTATAAGCAAGCACCAGACATTGGAATTTTCCAACAGAAGAGAGAAACATAACTTCCATCGCATCTGCAAACCAACCGAGACCAGCATAAGCAAGCACCAGACATTGGAATTTTTCGAACCCCACAGAAGCAAGCGCCTCATCCAGAGCGTATACATCATCCATCTACATACCAAAAAGTGACAAAAAAATCAAAATCTTATCCAATATTCGATATGCGATCATCGAAGAAAATAGTGCTCACCCTTCTAATTGGGATTTTAATTACAAACCAAAACAACAATAATTGCAAGAAAAGATTACCAATCTTAAAAAATATTGCAATAGTTGTTTATAGTTGTTGAAGCTTTTTCCTATTTATTTATACTTCCTGCACGAGAATCGAGCACTGCCTGTCTGAAGAAGTACTCTTAAACCCACCATGGCCCCTCCAATTGAGTACTCGTCAGTCACATAAAAAATATTCCTAACGCATGCATAGTTATTGCTACTGTATAACAAGAGCATATGTTGTTTGTGTTCTGAATCTGTTCCTACTCCCTAGAACTTTTAACTGATATCTTGTTCATTGAAAAGACAGAATGTAACAATATGGTTTAATGCAAAAATTACCTCTAAATTATTGAATTACCAGAATTTACTATCAATTTAAATTATTATTTTCTAAGTAAAGGTTATCTCTCTCTTTTTCTTCTGTTATCTTTAATGGTGAAAATTTTGATTTTTACTTTGAATGTTTAAATAATTTAATTTAATGCTATCAATTGTTATCCAAATTGCAATATAAATTATTCAATGTCTATACGAAGTTGACATGTACAGCCATTGACTAATAAGAGAGAATTAAAAAGGTAATACATTTTTGCAATCAAAGAAAAATAATTTATCAATCCATTACATTTTTCATTACCTTACATAATACGACAAGTAACAAGTAGTAGTTGAATAATTACACCCACCAAAAGCTTGTCCTTTTCTTTTAACCCCACCTCACATCAACTTCCGGTGATCTCATAGCTAGCATCTTTATGGCCAAATGCTTTAGTATTCTTATGCTTAATGATTATCCCCACCAACACTACCATTTCTTCTTATTATTATACTAGCTCTATTTGGGTGGGAGCAGAGGAAGTTTCGCTGATCAGGCAGTGTTTGATTCTATATGTGTAGACTCATTTCTAAAAGTTATTATCATCATCTTGGGATTGCAGTTTTGGTTTGTGGTTAACAGGCAGTGATAGTATGTTTGACTTATTCTTAATTTGAAGCTATGCAAATGAATGGACTTTATTTCTGACCATGATGCTGTCAACTAATATTGGTGTTGTTTCTTTCCCAGACAAAAACTAAAGCTTTCATCAATTATATCCACTAAGTTTAAAAGGTATCATCCTTTTTTTGTAGACTAATACCGTTAAATTTACTTTCTTGAAACTATTACTTTTGGTTTTTAATCTGATAGCGATTTGTTATTTTGTAGTTATGTCCATGAATGAACCCGCTGAGAGTTCCGCCGGGGTAAGCATCAGTTTTTTTGATGATCGTAAAATAAAATCTTGCAAGCCCTTCTGCTTGAAAATATATATATATATCATTCTGGTGCCATGTTTATTAATACAGAGGGGTGGTGAAAGCCCTATGGTGGTGAAAGCCCTATATACACTCTGGATGAGGCACTTGCTTCTGTGGAGTTTGGGAAATTCCAACTATTGGTGCTTTCTTACACTGCTCTGGGTTGGTTTGCTGACGCAATAGAACTTATGATTCTGTCTTTTGTGGGACCAGCGATTAAGTCCCAGTGGGATCGATATCTCCCCAAGCAAAGATAGTCAGCTATCAACTGCTGTTTTTGCTGGGATGCTTGTTGGATCATTTTCTTGGGGCCTTGTTTCAGATCGCTATGGAAGGAGGCAAGCCATTTTCCCCTTATTTTCTTCCTTTATTGTATGCTTTGCCTCGCTAATGATCTTCTCCGTTCCTTTGACAGCAACACATAAAGTTAAGAAACCTTTATTGTGTTTTTTGTTTTCCCTTTATTATGTCTGCTTAAATATGTGTGTATAACAAAGCCTTGATGATCCTAATACTTCTATGATTGATCTTGTAATTGTTCTGTTTTGCAATATGTTGGTCTTTTTCCAATTTTAACAGTCTAATCTAATCTAATTTAAAGATTTTATGAAGTTTCAAAGATTTCATGTAAACTGATATGTATTTTGTAAACACACCCTTTTTACTATCACTGATAACTGAGAATCTACAGCATTTTCCTCTTAGTTCTAATTTTTCTACTTGTGTTCTTACTCATAAAAGCTTCAAGTGCATCAAGAAGTTAGTATTATCCATCAAGTGTTTATCTATTATGCTAAAGATGTTTGTGACAGATATGATGTTATTCAAAGAAAAACAATCCGTTTGGATTTGAATTTTTGCAAAAGACTCTTACGATGCAATGTATATTTCATCTTCTATATTGGTTTTCTTGATCATATATGTTAATAGTGTTAGTGGCTATAATATAGGCTATAAAATAAGCCTATGATAACGGGATTTTATGTACAGCTTTTCCTTTCCTTATACAGACTTTTGTTTCCTTTCTTTAGACTATCCTATTTTGTATATATATATATATCGAGGGTCGATGTACTACAATCACATGAAATATACAAGATTTCCTATTAATCACATGGTATCGAGCCCCGACCTCCGCCCCCTCTCTTGATAATATTTTCCCCTCGTCTCTCGCGTGTTCTCTTTCACGCCCTATTTCTTGTGCCTCTGCCTAGCTCGGTTTTCTTCCGTCAAATCCCTTTTTTTTTCCTTTGTTTTCCTCTCGAATTCTATTGTTTTGTCTTTCTACCATGGACAAATATGAGGTTCTCAAACATATTGCTACTACCTTAAACAGCACCAACTATAATCTATGGGTTCAAGGTATAAAAAGTTTTTTGATTGGACGCAAACTCGGCGCATTGTAACTAACGACATTGCTAAACCAATTCCAAAAAAAAGATGAATCTGTCGCCAAATTTGCTGATAGACTAGACGATTGGGACAGCAAGAATCACCGGATTATCACCTAGTTTCACAATACCTCGGTTCCATCCATTCATATCTAGTTTGCCGATTATGACACTCGCCAAAGAAATATGGGATTTTTTAGCTAATCGGTACACCACTACGGGTCTTGCTCACTATTATCGGTTATGGACTAGCCTCCATAATATCAAACGAGAGCCCGGTCAATCCGTGAATGACTTTCTTGCTTAAGTTCAACCTATTTGGAATCGGTTATCTCGGGCCAAGATAAGTGAAGATCATCCGCATCTCATTCGGGTTCTTATGGCACTTCGCCCGAATATGAGGTTGTTAGAGCCTCCTTGTTGCATCGTACTCCTCTGCCTACCTTGGATGCTCGTCATTCACGAGATTATTTTTTAGGAAACACGTCTTAATCTAGAAAAAAACTTCTCCATTTACGGTTGTTCTTTCTGCCACTCATTCCGAGCCTTCTTATCGAAATGCGAAACTCTATTCTGTAAGCATCGTCATCAAACTGGTCATGCTTTTGCCAATTGTCCTACTATCGAATGCAGATATTGTCATGGTTTTGGACATATCTTGGAACATTGTCCTACTCGACCTTCGCGATCGAAAAATGGTTATTTTAAATCTCGGGCTCTCTCAAAGTCCGACTCTTCATCCGTTGCTTCGTCGTTGCCACCGAGGGTTCTATCGCCATTACTATAAGTGCTTTTGAGGCTCTTCTTAAATAGGTTATCTCTTCTAGTTCTTCTCCTACTATGTCCGTTATCCCGAGTAATTCTTCCGAGCTCTTTGACTCTGCATGTTGCAATCACATGACCTCGAGTTCGATATCTTATCTCCAAAACAATCGGTCACATTTTTACCACCTATACATACTCGCTAATGGTACTTAAATGCAAATCTCCCTCATAGCAAGACTCCAATTGGATGCAAATGGGTTTTCAAAATCAAAACTCGTTCGATGGCTCTATTGAATGCTATAAGGCATGATTAGTCGCTAAAGGCTATACTCAAGAATATGGTATAGATTATGAAGAAACTTTTGCTCTTGTAGATCGGTTGATCTCGGTGCGCGATCTATTAGCCATTGCGAGTTGTTAAAAATTGGCGGCTCCTTCAAATGGATGTTAAAAATGCTTTTCTAAATGGTGACTTACAAGAGGAAGTGTACATGTATTCTCCTCCCGGTTATACTCAACCTCCTCGGAAGGTTTGCAAACTTCGGCGAGCTTTATATGGGCTAAAACAAGCACCTCGGGCATGGTTTGCAAAATTTAGCTCAACTATTGCTTAGTTTGGTTTTTCTTCTAGTCCTCATGACTCTGCCTTATTCATTCATCATACTAATCGTTGTATTATGCTTCTTTTACTCTATGTTGATGATATGATTATTACGGGCGATGACACTTCTTGCATTTCGAATTGCAACAATAACTTTGTCGGTATTTTGAGATGAAGGATCTTGACCTTATTAGCTACTTCCTAGGCCTTGAAGTAACTCATAACTCGATGGTTACTATTTGTCTCAAGCTCGGTATGCTTCGATTTACTTTCTTGGGCTGGCATCACGGATAGTAAGATTGTATCCATTCCTTTGGAACTCAATGTTAAACTAACTCCATTGGATGGTACCCCTTTAGATGATCCCACATTGTATCGCTAACTTGTTGGGAGTCTTGTCTACCTTATTGTCACTCGACCCGACATTGCCTATGCCGTTCATTTAGTGAGCCAATTCATGAGCTCACTCCGTTCTTCTCACTTTGATACCGTACTTCGGATCCTTCGCTATGTCAAGAGGACACTTTTTCATGGCTTACATTTCTCTCGCTCACACTTCTCTAGTCTTATCCGGCTATTCGGATGTTGATTGGGTCGGTAACCCCACCGATCGTCGCTTTACTATTGGGTATTCCTTCTTTTTGGGAGACTTTTTCATCTCTTCGTGAAGCAAAAAGCAAACTATAATAGCTCGTTCTAGTACTAAATCGAGTATCATGCTCTTGTTGATGCCACCTCCGAGTTACTATGGCTTTGCTTGGTTGTTATCCGATATGGGCATCCACCATTCATCTATCACGATTCTCCATTGTGATAATAGAAGTGCTATTCAAATTGCTTACAATAATATTTTTCACGAACGCACCAAACATATTGAGATTGATTGTCATTTTGTTCGCCACCATGTCACTCAAGGCACTCGCGTTTGGTATCTATCTCCTCTGCTGACCGGACGACTGATATTTTCACCATGACTCATCTTCCCACTCACTTCTATGACTTGCTAAGCAAACTCAAGCTGGTATCTACACTCCCACCTTGAGTTTGAGGAGGGGGTGTTAATAGTATTAGTGGCTATAATATAGGCTCTAAAATAGGCCTATGATAACGGGATTTTATGTACAACTTTTCCTTTCCTTTTACAGCTTTTGTTTTCTTTCTTTAGACTATCCTATATATATATCTAGGGTCGGTGTACTACAATCACACGAAATATACAAGATATATATATATATATATATATCTAGGGTCGGTGTACTACAATCACACGAAATATACAAGATTTCCTATTTATGACAATATATATACGGTATTTGATTTTTCCAGCAAGGGTTTGCTAGGCATAACTCTTCTAACTAGCGGAGCTGGATTTTTGAGTACTTTCTCCCCAAATTATACATCTCTGGTATGTATGCGTTGTTTGGTTGGCTTTGGCGCAAGCGGCACAACTGTATTCGGCTCCTGGTTTCTAGAGTTTGTTCCTGTTGCTCATAGAGGCACAAGGATGGTTCTCCTCTCAATGTTTCCAACGTTTGAGGCTGCACTTGCATGGGTGCGTGTATGCTATTAATTTCCTCACTTCTACAGTTATTATCCAAACCATTGTTTCTTGATGATTTTTTTTCTCTCTAAAGCTTTTCCGTTTCCATCTATTATTTGAGAAGAGAAATTGAAACAGAAAGGATATTGGCTTTGATATTCTTGTTTTAGGAAAAAGCTGAATGTTGAAGACAGCTCCAGTTGTATAATGCTCTTAAAATAATCATATCCCTGTAATTGTTGCAGATTGTCATGCCAAGATTGAGCTGGAGATGGCTACTTGCATTTTCCTCTATACCATCGACTGCGATGCTTTTCTTTTATTCTCCAGTACCAGATCGAGTCTCCTAGGTATCTATGCATGAAAGGTAGAATGAACGATGCAAATAATATTCTTGAGAAGATAGCTCGGTTGAACCAATCAAAACTCCCTCCTGGACAGCTTGTTCCTGATAGTACAATGGGTCTGGATGAAGAATCTGAAGCATGAGAATGTACCCCTCTACTCTCCACAACTAGAAAATGGATTTGGATTGTCGTCATTTTTTACACTTCTCTCATCAAAACTAATTCGAACAACCCTTCTTCTATGGGAGTTATACTTTGGAAATGTATTCTCATTTTATGGTATCTTGTTGCTGACGTCAGAGCTAAGTAGTGGGCAAAGCAAATGTGGCTCAACTGTCCTGCAACCAGAGAAACTTCAGGATGACACGGCTCAACTGTCCTGCATGTTTAGTATCTATTTTAATAGGCAACCACCTAAGTGCTTGAACTCAACTTTATGAACCAATTAGATACAATACATACGAAATTATTAGGAAGTCTTGGACCACTAATATTGTACTTTTCAAAACATTAAAAAATAATTATATTAGTTATATGTAAATAGAGAGAATTGAATATTGATCTTGACCAAATTAAGATAACTTTTTTATTATTAAATCACATCCCTTTGTGGCAAAATTTTTATTTATTGTTTGTATTTATAATTTTTATTTATTTTTTTTGTAATCTAAAAATAAACTGATCATCCTTCAATCACCTTCAATAGATCTAGATTGATTTTAAAATAAAAAATTCCAAGCTCTCCATACGCTTGGAACTGGAGAAGCAAGAATAAATTTATGATTGCCACAACAAGAGGTGGAAAGTAGGATTCAATCCTATACTCTTGGACCACACTATCCACTAAGGCCTTCTGCTTTAGGATTACTACTTTTCTTGATCATTTATGCACGTGTTCACACTATTTTGCTTTGGATTTATTTCGTATCACATTGCCATCGAGTAAATATCATATCAGTGTTTTGTGGTGTTTCTTTGCAGGCAATTACTATAACTAAAGAACGGAGGAGATCATTAGCAAGGCAAAGCATATAATACTGGAAGAAAATAAGGGGAAAATGGCTTGCCTCCTCTCGTAGTAATCTGAAACAATGCCCAAGAAAATCATCCAACAAGCATGCCAGCAAAAACAGCAGTTGATAGCGGACATATTATTGCATAGTTATCTAGTCTATAGGGTCAATTAATAAATACACATTCTCCCTTCCAATACCGGACTTGGTGAAACCAAAGTTCGCCAAAGGGACTTTCTATTCCAAACAGTCATCAAATAGCACATCCATTTCCATTTTAAAATGCTGATTTGCTACCGAACATCAGCAGCTTGCTCTGAATCAGATACATGATCTATGCTGTCACTCAACTCCTTTCCCTTGGTTTCAACGCGTACAAGCAGGACACAGACTGTTGAAATAGCCATCACAACCTCAAACAGTATGATAGCTTCCGTAAGCCGGCAACTGGTCACCAGTGCAACTGCCACAAGAGGGCATATCATGCCACCAACTCTCCCTACAGCACCTGCAGCTCCACCAGCAGTTGCCCTCAAAGCCGTTGGATATAACTAGAAGCAAAGGACATGAATTAATACAAATCAATCATTCAAAACTTAAACCTCACTGCCCCTAATAGGTGTGTACAGAGGTCAGCATGAAAAAACTTGAAGAGAACTGGAACGTACTACCATTCACAGATCTCATTTATGTGACATAAAGCGCAAGATAAATGCAACTGGATTTTAAGGCTCATGATGCTGTCCTTGTGATATAAGTGTGATGAATACGTTGGGACGAAATCGATGACAGTAATATTATTCCTATTAATGGTTTCATAATGAAATAATACGAATAATCACTCCACAGGATAAAGTAAAGAGGAATTGGAGAAGAACCTAATCAAGTTTGTACAATTCAAAAAGTAGTCTCGTATTAGCAACAAAAGCGGTTCAATTTATATGTACTAAAGCTCACTGCAACAGCCCCAGGAACCACAAGGGTTGAACGGAGAGACATGAACAAGCTAGCCAACAATGGCCAGTACTCAAGACTGGCAAAAAACAACAACGGAAAGAATAAGAGAGGTGAGAAATGAAGTCTGTAAACTTTACAGAACCTTGCAGTTTCTAACCAAAGCATTATCATGATTCCTGTGTAAAAAAAAACTTTTCCAAGGTTCACAGAAGTTGAAAATGAGAGGATGGGAATATTTTAGCCAGTCAGCCACTGCTTTAGATAAAATGGCTATGAGAATGTATTCCTTACCTCCAGACCATATATTGCAGAAACCGTGAAGGCTCCATTGGTACTCATGCGAGCTCCGAACAACAACACTGTTGTTAAAGTTGCAGGCTGACGGTGAACCAGAGGTAAAAGGGAAATACAAGCCAATACAAACAGAAATGCTACCGTAAACTTGCGGCCAATTCTATCTACCATAATTGCTGATATCAGAAGCCCAGGAATCTCTGCAATATAGAATTAAAGAAAACATATTATCTGATAACTGCATAACATGATAATTAAATAAAAAAATAAAGATAAATAAATTTAGGTGCAGACATAGGAGCCTGGCATGCAATACCTGCCAAACTAGTAATAAATACATTTACGTAGAGGCTGTCATCCTGAAGAATTTTTGAAAACATGGCATTACTTGAGCCACATTGGCTTTGCGCACTACTTAACTCTGAAGCCAGCAACAGGATACCGTAATATGAGAATACATTTCCAAAGCATAACGCCCATAGAAGAAGTGTCGTTCGAACAAATTTTGATGAGAAAAGAGTAACCAATGACGAGAAACCTGATCTAAGATCCAAATCCATTTTTCTAGTTGTGGAGTGTAGAGGGGTAGATTCTGAGTTGGCAGATTCTTCATCCCGTCCAACTGTACTATCAGAAACAAGCATTCCAGGAGGGAGTTTTGATTGGTTCAACCGAGCTATCTTCTCAAGAATTTTATGTGCATCGGTTATTCTACCTTTCGTGCATAAATACCTCGGTGACTCTGGTACTAGAGAATAAAAGAGAAGCATAGCAATTGATGGTAAAGAGGAGAGTCCAAGTAGCCATCTCCAACCCAATCCTGGCATCACAATCTGCAACAATTATGAAATACAACTTTTTTAGGACTCTTTTCTTAGGATTGGATTGTCTTCAACACTCAGCTTTTTTCTCTAACAAGAATATGAAAGCCAATGCCATTTCTGTTTCAATCTCTATTCAAAGGAAAGGGAAAAACTGGAAAGAAATAAAATCATCAAGCAACAGTTGTCTGGATAGAAACTGTAGAAGTGAGGAAATTAATAGAACACAGTACCCATGCGAGCGCAGCCTCAAAAATGGTTCCAAATGTCCAGAAGAATGAGAGAAGAATCATCCTTATGCCTCTATGTGAAGCAGGAACAAACTCCAGGAACCAGGTGACGAATACATCTCCACCGCCCACGCCAAAGCCAACGAAAAAACGAAAGGTTACCAGAGATGCATAATTTGGGGAGAAAGTACTTAATACTCCAGCTACGCAAGTTAGAAGATTTAATCCTAACAAACCCTTCCTGGAAAAACCAAATGGAATTAGACAACCATAAATTACACAAAGACACAGTCAAGAAACAAATTAGAGGAAGTATACATGGGAACATAAGAGTCCATTAATCCAAAGATTCAAATCCAAATGGATGGTTTCAAACAAAGATGTCATATCTGTACAGTAACATCTTCATCAGGATGGATCAACACTTGATGGATAACAGTAACTTCTCAATGCACTTGAAGCTTGTATCAGTAAACCCACAAGCAGAAAAGTTATAACTAGCATATTGTAAAACTGATAATGAGAAGGGTATTTACAGAATACATATCAGGAAATGATTGGCACTTCACAATTTTCAAATTGCATACGAGTAACTCTGCAAAATTGAATAGTTGGAACTTGTAAGAGCATATTGTGTCAAGCTTTCAATCCAATACCGTGACTGGCGAACATGGAGATCTATCATACAAAATTGACTTGTTTTCTGCTATGTCTGAAGCTATACTGATACACACGTTATAATTATTAAAAAAAAAAAGAAAAGAAAGAAAAAGAAATAAAATAAAGGGTTCTTAACTTTATATGTCATTGTCAAGGGAATGGAAGAGATTATCAGCAAGTAGATGAACAAAAAAAATTGGAAAATAACCTACCTCCTCCCGTAGCAATCAGAAATAAGGCCAAGAGAAAATCCTCCAACAAGCATCCCAGCGAAGACTACGGTTGATATCAGACTCTCTTGGTCGTCGGAGAGATCCCACTGGAACTTAACCGCTGGTCCGACAAAAGAGAGAATCATAAGTTCCATTGCTTCTGAAAACCAACCTAGACCGGCATAAGCAAGCACCAGTATCTGGAATTTCCCAAACCCCACTGAAGTAAGTGCCTCATCCATAGTGTACACAGGGCTTTCACCATCCATCTGTATTAACAAAGAAAACGAAACATTATCGTATTCAAGCAGCAGTCCTTGCAAGATTTCATTTTATGATCATCAATGAAATAAGCTTATGATTACCCTCTCGGAGCTCTCTGCGGATTCATCCATGGCCATAACTACAAACTTACAAATCACTCACTACTTGATTAAAAACCAAAGTGGTAGTTTTTAGAAGAGACACTAAATAGTTTCATAGGGATGGAGACTTTTCGTTTGAAAATAGAATATATGAATATATTTGCCTTAATTTGGTATTATTGAAGTAAACACAAAGTCCTTTGGATTCAACATAAGAAAATGATAGAACAGCCGTGCACTGGTAACTGTAAGCAAAAAGTTAAGAAATTTGATAACCAGTGGTGAAAGAAACTTGTGCTTCCTAACCTTCCAGACGTACGGCACACTCTGTTTCGTCCACTGGCTTAGCTTTCAAACTACTTAGTTATCTTCAAATATATCTTTTAGTAGTGTAGAATTGTCGGTCCAACTCGGACAAAATAAAATCATTTTATATTTTTATAATTTTTTAATTAATTTTTTATTTCATTAAATTTTTTATGTTTTCTTTTTATTCTCGTTACGTTGCGTGAAAAAAAACAAGTAGTAACGAACGAAAAATCAAATTACAAACAGAAAAAAAGTGTTAAAAAAGCGCATGGTGTGTGAACAATGATTTTGATTTTGTTCTAATTAATTAGTAATATTTATTTATTAACACTAACTTGTCGGCAACCGCCCTGCTGCAGCGAACCCAAAAGCGCTTTCGTCCAAAATTCGAAGAAAACTACTCCTAACATATGCATGGTTGGAGCAAGCATATCCTTTCATTTCAATTGGAAGATTATAAATATCCACATAAAGATGCTTCGAGAGTTATGTGGGTTGATGTGATGTGGGCTTGACACAAGAAAATGAGTTTTTGTGGGGGTACTACTTAGCTTGGAGTAGAGGCAGCAGGTTACGAAGGAAGAAATGTTTTTTTTTTTTTAAGAGATGAGAAGGACGAGTAAATTATAAATTAGTTTCTCTTATTTTACAATGCTTGAAGGGGTATGGAATTTACTACCCAGAAGCAACAACTTGTTCTGAATTTACCCCCTAATATCTGGAAATTTGTAGTTGGTCCAAAAACAATAAAAGAAAGAAAACATTAATTCACTTGTTTGTTAAGTCTAAATGTATGGAATGATGGAACTTACTTCGATGCAAGTACGAAACTCAAGGGGTCAACTGCATCACAGACATATGCTTCCCACTCTGCGAAATAGATGGTAACATGTATGGAATGGGTTGTAATACAAGCGGAGTGGCTGCCCGTCAATTCATTGAAGAATCACAAAACAGATCTTGTGAAACAGGAAACTTTAGTTCATTATTGCACATGCAATCTGACCTAAATTGGATGCTATAAGAAAAATGCCAACTGCTACTTCGACCTTTATAGTTAGTAATAAGGCAAGGACGAGTCAGAAGCAACGATATGATAACAGAAGCTAGTACTTGCAATTTCCCAAAGCCAACAGAAGCATGTGCCTTATTCAGAGTGTACACAGAGCTTTCACCATCCATCTGAATTACGAAAAAACAGGACCAGATTGACAACAAAGAAGTAAAAACATCGTCCCATTCTTGTAAAGATTTCATTTTTTGATCATCAAAGAAACTTGTGCTTACTCTGATGGAGCTCTCCTCAGGTGCAGGTTCATTCATGGGCATAACTACATACTAAGTACTCCCTATCCGATTACAAACCAAACTTGTAGTTTTAAGAAGAGAATAATTAATTAGTAGTATTAAACTAAGAAAAAGAAAAACTTATGCAAGTATACTTGTCAGGAAATGGCAGGCAAAAGTACAAAGAAAATTAGTGTTGACTGCATGTGCGTAAATGAAGGTAGAAAAATAAACTTTTGGTGGCTACCACAGCTAGAGTACAGACAAGGTGCTGGAATCCGACGCGTTGTGGGGTCACAATAAGAAAATTAACGGTGTGGTAGTGGCACTAGTAACATAAGAGTAGAGGCAATCGGTTATGAAGTAAGGAAAGTTCAAAAACAAAAGAGATGACGCAGGGGCTGACCTCATAATCCCAAAAATCCAAAATCCAAAGAATAAAATTAAATAATAAAAATAATGTAATCTAATATATATATTAATTTTAAAATATAAAAAAGTAGTATATATATTTTATTCTTGTTAATTTACATGAAAAATATAAATAATAACTTTCGATATTTCATAATTTTTACCTTAAAATTTAATAAAAAAACTAAAGGAAAAAAAAAAACAAGTACCAGGCCCAAGCGCTTGGGCCTTGCAAAACTAGCTTGTGTGTCTGGGCTTGAGGAAAAAAAAAAAAAAGGAAAAGAAACAATGACCGCTTTTAATCCAGCGACCTCCGTAATTTCCGACTGCATCAATTTGTTAGAAATGTCGTTGAAAAGTTGGGGATTTTATCATTTCCAATCTCTCAAAACCAAATTCAGCCCTATTTTTTCCGTCAAAAACCCCACTTAAAATCACAGAAATGAAATGACACCAAATAATTTTTTTAGAATCTCAAAACTCATTTTAAACCACATAAACCATATAAAAATTCAAATTAAAATTAAAAAAATTAAAATATTTTTAAATTTCAATATAGTTTCTTCAATCATTTCACCGCTTACTATCACCACAAATAATTTCACTTTTTAAGACGAATAAAATGATGATAAGAATGATGATAAGGTTGATTGACAGAGTGGCTAGAAGGACCTCTCTAGAGGCAAATCCAAGTAGAATGCTACAAGGGCCTTGCCCGCCCCCCCCCCCCCCCCCTCTCACTCCAATTTTTTTTTTCTTTTCATAGAACACCCTATGTCATACTTTTTTATCATCTTTTTTATTTTATCACAATTCTATTTTTAATATGACACCATCCTAATTCATGCTTTAATTAATATTTTGTTTCTTTTTTTGAGAATGCTTTAGTTGGAATTTTAATTAACCTATGGATAAATGAGTATATTTTTACACAGAATAATTAATTTGAGGATACACTTATTTCTGTAAAAAAATATTTCTTATGCACAAAAAAATTCAACTAAGTCTATAGAATATTCCTACATCTCCTAAATGATTTTTCCCTTGTTATACAATCCGGGTTAATTTGCGTTATCATTGATTATCTTCGTATAGTCTCTTTATGCTGTTGTCTATGATTCCATCCTACTGAAATTCGATAATCTTATCAAGCTGGTGACTATATTAACTGGGAATCACTACCAAACTTATTTGAGAGCTCTCCTAATCGCGAAGGTCATTGTCAGTTGACCAGAAGTGCAGGGGTTGCGAGAAGGAGTGAGAATAATCCCATAACATTGTCAAGGTTTAGAGAATGGATTTCACGCTTCCGGTCAGCTAAATCATGTTGATAGAGCTTGACACCTTGATTTGCTTGATAGAGCTTGACACCACTTACTTGGAGTAGAGGCAACAGGTCATGAAGGAAGCAATGATTTTTTTTTTTGTAGAGACAACAGTTACAACTTATTCTGAATCAGATACATTTACGCAGTCACTTAAATCCTGTCCCTTCGTTTCAGACGGGATGAGCAGGACACAGACTGCTGAAATCGCCATCACAACCTCAAACAGAATGATAACTTCTGTGAGCTTGCAACCAGTCACCAGTCCAACTGCCACGAGAGGACATATCATGCCACCAACCCTCCCTACAGCACTTGCAACTCCAGCACCAGTTGCCCTCACAGCCGTTGGATATAACTAAACATATACAGATATTAACACAAATTAATTATTTGTAATCAAAGAAAGAAACTTGAAGCGAACTGGAAAGTACTACCATTCTCAGATACTGGATGTGAAATAAAGTAGAAGAAAAAATAAGTACATTTTATGGTTAATGGGAAGTGCTCAGCTAAGTCTGTGAATATTTTTGGCTCAAAATCACCTTTCAAATGCAATAAAATTCCTTTAAGAAGGTATCCAGCGGTTACCTCTGGAGCATATATTGAAGAAACTGCAAAGGCTCCTCTGCTACTCATGCGAGCTCCGAACAACAATGCTGTTGTTAAAGTTTCAGACTGATGGTAAACCAGAGGTAAAAGGGAAATACAAGCCAGCACAAACAAAAATGATATCGAAAGCTTGCGGCCAATTCTATCCACCATAATTGCTGATAAAAGAAGCCCAGGAATCTCTACAATATAGATTTACAGAAAACATGTTACCAGATCATTGCTTAAATGTCATAATTAAATAAAAAAATTAAGATAAATGCATTTAGGGGCAGACAGAGGAGAGTGGGCATGCAATACCTGCCAAGCTAGTAATAAATACATTTACGTAGACGCTGTCATCCTGAAGATTTTCTGATTGCAAGGCAGTAATTGAGCCACATTTTCTTTGCCCTCTACCTAGCTCTGAAGCCAGCAAAATGATACCATAATATGAGAATACATTTCCAAAGTATAACTCCCATAAAAGAAGTGTTGTTCGAATTAGTTTTGATGAGAAAAGCGTAGCCAATGACGAGAAGCCTGATCTGAAATCTGAATCCATTTTTCTAGTTGAATAGAGTAGAGGAGTATCTTCTGATGCAGCAAATTCTTCATCCAGTTCAAGTGTACTATCAGAAACAAGCATTCCAGGAGGGAGTTTTGATTGGTTCAGCCGAGCTATCTTCTCCAGAATATTATGTGCATCGGCTATTCTACCTTTCATGCATAAGTACCTCGGAGACTCTGGTACTAGAGAATAAACAAGAAGCAATGCAATTGATGGCAAAGAGGAGAGTGCAAGTAGCCATCTCCAACTCAATCTTGGCATCACAATCTGTAAACATTAGAGAGAAACAATAGCTTTAAGAAGAACTGGAATATGGAAAAGATATATGTGAAGCATAAATGAATTTAAGTTCTCAAACTCTGCTCTGTAATGTGCAACTTAGCCAATTAATAGAGAAAAAGATCAGTGAATTACTAGGAAAAATGGCTTTTTACACATACGACCATGAGATTCGAAGAGAATAAAATTAAGTGTTTTTCAGAGACTTCTCTCGTTCAGAAAGGGTGTTTATATTTCTGTCTAAATAGATGAAAAGAGTCCCCTTGCAAGGACACTGAGCAAATGCAGATGCTGATTATCCTTAATGAACTTAGAAGAATGCAACATTAAGAAAAAGGCACATCATGGAGTTTCATTCGCAGCTTTTTTGGATAGCAATTGTAGAAGTCTGGGAATAGAACACAGTACCCATGCAAGTGCAGCCTCAAAAATAGTTCCAAATGTCCAGAACATTGAGAGGAGAACCATCCTTGTGCCTCTACGAGCAACAGGAACAAACTCCAGAAACAAGGAGCCGAATACTGTTGTACCGCCAACGCCAAAGCCAACCAAACAACGAAAAATTACCAGAGATGCATAATTTGGGGAGAAAGGACTCAATAATCCAGCTCCGCTAGTTAGAAGAGTTATTCCTAGCAAACCCTTCCTGGAAAAAACCAAATGCTGTTTATATATGATCGAGAAAACCTATATATCAGAGGCAGTATACATGGGATCATAATAGCCCGTTGAAAAGATTCAAACCCAAATGGATGGTTTTTCTTCGAAGAACATCATATCTGTCAGTAGTATCTATAGGATGGCTTTTCTTAGAAAAACATCATATCTGTCAGTAATATCTATAGAAGAATGGATCGACACTTCATGGATAATAATAAATTCTTAATTCACTTGAAGCTTCTACTATCAGGAAGAACAGAACACAAGTAGAATAATTAGAACTAAAAGGAAAATGTTGTAGATTATGAGTTATAACTTATAGTAAGAAGTGTGTATTTACAGAATACATATCAGTTTACAAAAATTATTTGCACATCACATATTTAATCATTAGAAAAGCAGATTGTGTCAATCTAATACTTCAACTAAAATAATAATAATAATAATTAATACTTTAACAAGCAAAAACGAAGATCAATCATATAATCATTAGAAAAGTGACTTATTTTCTGCAATTTCTAAAGTTATACACAATAAGGACAAAATGGCTTGCCTCCTTCCGTAGTGATCTGAAACAAGGCCCCAAGAAAAGGTTCCGACAAGCATGCCAGCAAAAACAACAGTTGTTAGAATACTCTCTTGGCTTGAGGAGAGGTCCCACTGGGACTTAACCACCGGTCCCACAAAAGAGAGAATCATAAGTTCCATTGCTTCTGCAAGAGAACCAAGACCAGTGTAAAGAAGCACTAGTACTTGGAATTTCCCAAAGCCCACAGAAGCAAGTGCCTCATCCAGAGTGTACACAGAGCTTTCACCATCCCTCTGCATTACGAAAAAACAGAACCAGAATGATAACAAAGAAACAAAAACATCGTCCCATTCTTGTAAAGATTTTATTTTTTGATCATCAAAGAAACTTGTGCTTACTCTGATGGAGCTCTCTTCAGGTGCAGGTTCATTCACGGGCATAACTACAAACTGAGTAATCACTATTTGATTACAAACCAAATTTGTAGTTTTAAGAAGAGAATAATTAATTAGTAGTATTAAACTAAGAAAGAGATGTACCTTTTACATAAATTTGATTATTTCCAGGAGAAAGAAAAACTTATACAAGGATACTTGTTAGGTAATGGCAGGCAAAAGTCCAGATTTTATTTTTCAACACGAAAAAAATGGTGTTAAAGTTGACTGCTGGTGCCACTCAAAAGCGCTTTCGTAAGAAATTCGAAGAAAACTACTCCTAACATATGCATGATTGGAACAAGTATAATAATATGAAGAAGAAATGCTAGAGTTATGGAAGTTGATGTGATGTGGGATTGACACAAGAAATTGACTTTTTGTGGGGGTACTACTTACTTGGAGTAGAGGCAACAGGTTATGAACGAAGCAACCATATATATATATATATGAAAAGATGAGTAAATTATAAATTATTCTTTCTTGTTTTGAAAACAAATTAATTTTTTCTTTTAAAAAAATTAATTATTTAATTTCTATCTTTTAAAATCTATTTGTAATTTAGTTTTTTATTTATTTTAAAAAATAGAAAAAAATATGGAATAATATGAAAAAAAGATGAAAAAATAATATTAAATTAAGAATGATCGTATTAATCAAGTGATTAAATAATAGTTTTTGAAACGGGAGAGGCTCATTAATTTATTTTTTGAAACTAAAGGACTAATTTATAATTTACTCTGATAAGGGTTCATTATTCAAAAAGAAAAACAAAGCTGGAGTTCAATCCTTTACAAATCAACCGAAATTGTCACAAAAATAAAAAGTACTAAACTTACTAATTTCTAATTTCTAATTCCTACAAACAATAAAAAGACAAAAATTGGATACAGACTTCTAGAAGAGTAGCTATCTTTATCATGTAACCCTGCTATTGTTTTCCTTCCAAACATTGTAAATACTAGCACGCCATGAAATTTTGAAAAGAACAGAAAGAAAACACTTCTTTTGTGAATTCTTCTCAGCCCACATAAATTCAGCGTTTCAGTCATTATTTTTCTTGTTAATTTCAGTGATCTTTAGAATTCTACTCCGAACATCCTTTGAATACATACAATAAAAAAATACATGGATAATCACGATCTTTCATTGCAGCACCACATAACAAATGGACATTGTATTGCAAACAATCTTCAATGAGCAAATCCGATCAAATGCATTTGCCTTTTGTAATGCTTGATGGGGTATGAAAAAAAACAACAGTTGTTACAATGCTCTCATGGCTTGAGGAGAGATGCAAACAATCATTAGATAGCTTGATGGGGTATGGAATTTACTACCTAACAGCAACAACTTGTTCTGAATCAGATACGTTTACGCAGTCACTTAAAACCTGTCCCTTGGTTTCAAACGGGATGAGCAGGACACAGACTGCTGAAATAGCCATCACAACCTCAAACAGAATGATAACTTCTGTAAGCTTGCAACCAGTCACCAGTCCAACTGCCACGAGAGGACATATCATGCCGCCAACCCTTCCTACAGAACTTGCAACTCCAGCACCAGTTGCCCTCACAGCCGTTGGATATAACTAAACAAATAAAGATATTAAGACAAATTAATTATTCGGAATCGAAGAAAGAAACTTGAAGCCAACTGGAAAGTACTGCCATTCTCAGAAACTGGACGTAAAATAAAGTAGAAGGAAAAAAAGAAGCACATTTTATGGTTAATGGGAAGTGCTCAGCTAAGTCTGTGAATATTTTTGGCTCAAAATCACCTTTCAAATGCAATAAAATTCCTTTAAGAAGGTATCCAGCGATTACCTCTGGAGCATATATTGAAGAAATTGCAAAGGCTCCTCTGCTACTCATGCGAGCTCCGAACAACAATGCTGTTGTTAAAGTTTCAGACTGATGGTAAACCAGAGGTAAAAGGGAAATACAAGCCAGCACAAACAAAAATGATATCGAAAGCTTGCGGCCAATTCTATCTACCATAATTGCTGATAAAAGAAGCCCAGGAATCTCTACAATATAGATTTACAGAAAACATGTTACCAGATCATTGCTTAAATGTCATAATTAAACAAAAAAAAATTAAGATAAATGCATTTAAGGGCAGACAGAGGAGAGTGGGCATGCAATACCTGCCAAGCTAGTAATAAATACATTTACGTAGAGGCTGTCATCCTGAAGATTTTCTGATTGCAAGGCAGTACTTGAGCCACACTTGCTTTGCCCTCTACTTAGCTCTGAAGCCAGCAACATGATACCATAATATGAGAATACATTTCCAAAGTATAACTCCCACAGAAGAAGTGTTGTTCGAATTAGTTTTGATGAGAAAATAGTAAAAAATGATGAGAAGCCTGATCTAAAATCCAAATCCATTTTTCTAGTTGAATAGAGTAGAGGAGTATCTTCTGATGCAGCAAATTCTTCATCCAGTTCAAGTTTACTATCAGAAACAAGCATTCCAGGAGGGAGTTTTGATTGGTTCAGCCGAGCTATCTTCTCCAGAATATTATGTGCATCGGCTATTCTACCTTTCATGCATAAGTACCTCGGAGACTCTGGTACTAGAGAATAAAAGAGAACCATAGCAATTGATGGTAAAGAGGAGAGTGCAAGTAGCCATCTCCAACCCAATCTTGGCATCACAATCTGCCAACATTAGAGAGAGACAATAACTTTAAGAAGAACTGGAATATGGAAAAGGTATATGTGAAGCATAAATGAATTTAAGTTCTCAAACTCTGCTCTGTATTGTGCAACTTAGCCAAGTAATATACAAAAAGATCAGTGAATTACTAGGAAAAATGGCTTTTTACGTATATCATCATGAGATTCGAAGAGAATAAAATTAAGTGTTGTTCAGAGACTACTCTTGTTCAGAAAGGGAGTTTATATTTCTGTCTAAATAGATGAAAAGAGTCCCCTTGCAAGGACACTAAACAAGTGCAGATGCTCAGGATAGACTTCATGAACTTAGAAAAATGCCAACATTGAGAAAAAGGCACATCATGGAGTTTCATTGGCAGCTTTTTTAGATACTAATTGTAGAAGTCAGGGAATAGAACACAGTACCCATGCAAGTGCAGCCTCAAAAATAGTTCCAAATGTCCAGAACATTGAGATGAGAACCATCCTTGTGCCTCTATGCGCAACAGGAACAAACTCTAGAAACCAGGAGTTGAATACAGTTGTACCGCCAACGCCAAAGCCAACCAAACAACGAAAAATTACCAGAGATGCATAATTTGGGGAGAAAGGACTCAATAATCCAGCTCCGCTAGTTAGAAGAGTTATTCCTAGCAAACCCTTCCTGGAAAAAACCAAATGCTGTTTATATATGATCAAGAAAACCTATATATCAGAGGCAGTATACATGAGATCATAATAGCCCATTGAAAAGATTCAAACCCAAATGGATGGTTTTTCTTCAAAAAAAGGTCATATCTGTCAGTAATATCTATAGAAGAGTGGGTCGACACTTCATGGATAATAGTAACTTCTTAATTCACTTGAAGCTTCTACTATGAGTAAGAACAGAACACAAGTAGAATAATTAGAACTAACAGGAAATGTTGTAGATTATGAATTATAACTAATAGTAAGAAGGTTGTATTTACAGAATACATATCAGTTTACAAAAATTATTTGCACATCACATACATATTGCAAAACTGAATAATTGGAAGAGCAGATTGTGTCAATCTAATACTTTAACAAGCAAAAAAAAAAAAAAAAAAACCCTTTAACAAGCAAAAAAGAAGATCAATCATATAATCATTAGAAAAGAAATGCACACTTATACTCCATACATATATAATTAAAAGCAAACACAACAAGGACAAAATGGCTTGCCTTCTTCCATAGTGATCTGAAACAAGGCCCCAAGAAAAGGTTCCGACAAGCATGCCAGCAAAAACAACAGTTGTTAGAATACTCTCCTGGCTTGACGAGAGGTCCCACTGGGACTTAACCACCGGTCCAACAAAAGAGAGAATCATAAGTTCCATTGCTTCTGCAAACCAACCAAGACCAGTGTAAAGAAGCACCAGTACTTGGAATTTCCCAAAGCCCACAGAAGCAAGTGCCTCATCAAGAGTGTACACAGAGCTTTCGCCATCCATCTGAATTATGAAAAAAACAGGAATAGAATGATAACAAAGAAATAAAAACATCGTTATATTCTTGTAAGGATTTCATTTTTTGATCATCAAAGAAACTTGTGCTTACTCTGATGGAGCTCTCCTCAGGTGCAGGTTCATTCATGGGCATAACTGCATACTAAGTAATCCCTATATCTGATTACAAACCAAACTTGTAGTTTTAAGAAGAGAATAATTAATTAGTAGTATTAAACTATGAAAAAGATGTACCTTTTAAATAAATTTAATTATTTCCAAGAGAAAGAAAAACTTATATAATGATACTTGTTAGGTAATGGCAGGCAAAAGTCCAAAGAAAAATAGTGTTGATTACATATGCATAATTAGAGCTAGAAAAATATACTTTTAGTGGCTACAACAACTAGAGTACTGACAAGGTTTGCTGGAAGCTGATGCGTTGTAGGGGAAAAATAAGAAAAATTAAAGGTTTGGTAGGTGCGCTACTAACATAGAGTAGAGGCGATAGGCTATGAAGGAAGGAAAGTTCCAAAAAAGAGGTCCAAATCCAATTTGCTTGGAAAAATGTTAGAAGATGGTTAAGGGCTCCAAGGATGCTTAGAAAACAATAATTTGTCCTTAACAGAGGATTACCCTAACTAATGACAAGTTCAAAAGCCAAACTGTATTGATTCCCCGGAAAACACCTAACAAATCATATACCAGTAGAAAGATAAATGTGTTTAGTTTTTAACACTTCAAGCGGTGCAGGCTGTCAGCAGAAACGAAATCCATTGAGTGGTGAACTATCCTAAACCCTAATATCTCTTTGTGGTGTTACTGTATCATTGAGATTTTGTGAGTTTAATCCTTCTTCCTCTCTAGAGTGGTGTTTTCCTTGTTCTTCCATCTTCCCATCCATTCTCATCATATATCTACATATCCAGAATTTCCTTTCATATTCCAGCCCACTTTTCCGGTATCAAGGGAGGAGCTATATGAATTATAGTTGAAGGAATATTGTTGCAGAAAGCACGCACTCTGCAACAATGGAACTGGAGATTTGGTCATTCATGGAAGGTCATTGATAGACAGAGCTCAATCATTGAGATACAATCTTCCAAAACAGTTCGGGTCGAATCCGTCAAAATTAAAAGAAAAAAGAACTTCTCATCTCAATTTCTACTGCTTTAGCTCAGCAAATTATTCAATGAGAGGAGATGAAAATTTTTCAACTCCTGAGATTTTAACTGGTTAGAAAGCAAATTGAATGAATCCACATTCTGGTATGATTAGCATCACCCTATTGCACCTAATGATTGGCATGCTTATCTGATTTACAGAACCAACCGACTTGGTGGAATCGAAGTTGGATAAATGGACTTCTTATTCCAAACAGTCATCAAATATCAAATCCAAAACATTTCCTTTTTACAATGCTTGATGGGGTATAAAATTTACTATCCAACAGCAACAACTTGTTTTGAATCCAATTCATGATCTATGCTGTCACTCAATTTCTGTCCCTTGGTTTCAGATGGGATGAGCAGGACACAGACTGCTGAAATAGCCATCACAACGTCACATAGAATGACAGCTTCTGCAATATGGCAACCAGTCACCAGTCCGACCGCTACGAGAGGGCATATCATGCCCCCAACCCTCCCTACAGCGCTTGAAACTCCAGCACCAGTTGCCCTCACGGTCGTTGGATATAACTAGAGGAAAATCATATCAAATACAAATCAATTATTCAGAACCATATCTGACTGCATAATGAAACTCGAAAAGAACCGGAAAGTACTACCATTCGCAAATCATTTATATGACATGTGTAACTAAATTTTATGGGTCGTGAGGATGTCCTCAGCTCAGTCTGATGAAGACTGTCACAAGCAAATCACCTTTCAGATGCAAAAAAAATTGCAACCATTCCCGGGCTTACCTCCTGGGCGTATATTTCACCAAGCGTGGAGGATACTTTGGTACTCATGCGAGCTCCGAACAACAACGCTGTTGTTAAAGTTGAAGATTGATGGTAAACCAGAGGTAAAAGGAAAACAAAAGCTGAGACAAACATAAATGCTGTCGAGAGCTTGCGTCCAATCGAATCCACTAAAATTGCTGATAAAATGACCCCAGGTAGCTCTACAATATAGATTGTTGAGAAAACATGTTACCTGATTATTGCTTAATATGATAGCTGTATATAAAGAAGAAAACAGACGGAAGAGACTAGTCATGCAATACCTGCCAAACTAGTAATAAATACATTTATGTAGAGGCTGTCATCCTGAAGATTTTCTGAACGGAAAACAGTACTGGAGCCACATTGGCTCTGCTCCCTACTTAGCTCTGAAGCCAATAACAGGATACCATAATATGAGAATATATTTCCAAAGTATACCCCCCACAGAAGAAGTGTCGTTCGAATTAGTTTTGGGGAGAAAAGCATAACAAATGACGAGAAGCCTGATCTAAAATCCAAATCCATTTTTCTAGTTGTGGAGAGTAGAGGGGTACATTCTGATGCTGCATATTCTTCATCCAGTCCAATTGTACTGTCAGGAACAAGCATTCCAGGAGGGAGCTTTGACTGGTTCATCCGAGCTATCTTCTCGAGAATATTACATGCATCGTTTATTCTACCTTTCATGCATAGATACCTCGGAGACTCCGGTACTAGAGAATAAAAGAGAAGCATAGCAAATGATGGTAAAGAGGAGAGTGCAAGTAGCCATCTCCAATTCAATCTTGGCATGACAATCTGCAACAATTACTGATATTTAATTATTTCAAAAAGAAGAGGAATTTGGAAAGATGCATGTGAAGAACAGACGAATTCAAGTTCTGAACATCTCTACTCTTGTGGGCAATATATTTTAGTATAACTTAGCCAGGTAATATGGTAAAATATCAGTGACTGACTAGGAAAAATGGCATATTGACACATACCACCATGAGATTCTAAGAGAATAAAATTAAGTGTATTTCCCCATCTTCCCTAGTTCAGAAAGGAAGTTTCTGTTTCTATCTAAATAAACAAAAAATGTCTCCTTGCAAGGACGATGAACAAAGTGCAGCTGTTGAGAACAATGATAATGCTTTTGAGAAAAATAGCAACATTCAGAAAAAGGCATATCTTCCTCAAAAAGAAGTGGAAAAAAAAAGGTACATAGTGGGGTTTCAGAGGCTTGTGTTTGCCCTTAAATTTGAAATTGGAAGCATAAAAGTATATCCTTAGAATTACAACTAAGAATTCACCAAATGTATATATATATATCAGATAGAGAAATATTCAATAAAACAACAGTGGGTAAAGTAAGAAAGAAAACACACACAATCCCTACAACAATAGAAAATAAATGAGCAGATTATACATGACTCTTTCCTTACAACTGGAACTGTCAATGCCATTCCTGTTTCAAAGAAATAAAATGATCGGGCAACAGGCGGTCTGGAAAATAACAGTTAAAAGGGAGGAAATTAATAGAACACAGTACCCATGCAAGTGCAACCTCAAAAAGGGTTCCAAATGTCCATAACATTGAGAGCAGAACCATCCTTTTGCCTCTATGTGAAACTGGAACAAACTCCAGAAACCAGGAGCAGAATACAGTGGTTCCACCTACTCCAGCGCCAACCAAAAAACGAAGAATTAACAGAGATGCATAATTTGGGGAGAAAGCACTCAGTAATCCAGCTCCGCTAGTTAGAAGAGTTAATCCTAGCAAACCCTTCCTGGAAAAACCGAACAGAATTAGACAAGTACGTATATATATATATAAGATCAAGAAAACCAATAAGAGGAAATATCAACACTTGATGGATAAAAGTGACTTCTTAATGCACTTGAAGCTTGGATCAGTAAGAACACGATAGTCGAAAAATTAGAACGAACAGGAAAATGTTAAAGATGATAAGTTGGAACTTAATAATGAGAAGGGCTGTTTACAGCTCAGCTTTACGTAACTGGAAATATTTGTATTTCATAATCTTTGAATTGGCTGCTAAAATTGGAAAACTGAATAATTGGGAGGGCAGATTGTGTCAATCAAATACTTCAACTTGCAAAAATCAAGGAAGATTATCGTAGAAGCATTAGAAATTTGACGTGTTTTCTGCAAAATTTCTCGAGTTATACACACACAGAATATGGTTTTTAACTTTATACATCACTGTGAATGGAACAGAGGAGATTGCTACCAAGGCAAAGCAGATAATAATGGAAGAAAATGAAAAAATAGCTTGCCTCCTCCCATAGCAATCAGAAACCAGACCCCAAGAAAATGCTCCAACAAGCATACCAGCAAAGACAACCGTTGATAGCAGACTCTCTTGGCCCGGGGAGAGATCCCACTGAGACTTAACCACTGGACCCACAAAAGAGAGAATCATAAGTTCCATTGCTTCTGAAAACCAACCCAGACCAGCATAAGCAAGCAGCAGCACTTGGAATTTCCCAAACCCCACTGAAGCAAGTGCCTCATCCAGAGTGTACACAGGGATTTCACCATCCATCTGTATTTAACAAAGAAACGAAACATTATCATATTCAAGCAGCAGTCCTTGAAAGATTTCATTTTAGGATCATCAAAGAAATCTAACTTATGCTTACCCTCACGGAGCTCTCTGCAGATTCATTCATGGCCATAACTATAAACTTACAAATCACTATTTGATTAAAAACCCAAGTGATAGTTTCAAGAAGAGAAATTAGATAGTATTAGTCTACCAAAAAGATACACCACCAATCACTGATATAATATTTACTTGATAATTACACGATCAGAAAAAATGTCCAAAGAAAAAATGATGCATAAATGGAGCAAGAAAAAAATAAGTTAATGGCAATAACAACAAGATCAAAAGGGGTACCCTGAAAATTGAAATTGGAAATGATTCATAGGGAGGAAGTGTATAAAATGATTTCTGTGTCATTTCCTTTTCATTTGAAAAGAGAATATAAGAAAAATTTGGATTTGTTAGTATTAAAATAAACACAAGATCTTCTCATGATTGCTTTTGCAATATTTAATTAATGTGAATTCAACTTTAAAAAAAAGATGATAGCATGGTGCACGCGGCCAATTATTCTAAGTACAATCTTACTATAAAAAGCATCATTAAACAAGTCATAATTGTTCTTTGGTTGGTTGTTTTTTATAGATTAGTATATTGGACTAGAGATATTGATTGTCATCTTCTCTGTTTTGAAAATGATCTGCTGCGTAGGTCTGACGGAATTAAAAGACGGACAAATCCCTCAATAGCTCGTCAATTGGGCTCTTAGAATAGATAATTCAGTTTTCATGGATGTTCAGTTTGGCTTAGTTCTATTTCCGACAGGATATCACTTAGACTGTCTATATTCTAACTCATCTTTTAGCCACCCCCCCCCCCCCCCCAAAAAAAAAAAAAAGTCAACTGTTTGGATGATTGCTTTTGAGAAACTAGGAATAGCAGGATTGCTAGTCCTTCTAATTGTCTTTAGGAGACATCTCATGTCAGTTTTTGCTGCTTTAGCTCAACAGGTATTCGATGACAGAGGAGATGATCATATTCAACTCCTGAGATTTAACTTCCAAAAAGGAAATTTTGTTATGTTAATCAGCATTCTGCATCAACCTACAACACGTAATAAATTGGTAGAACCATAGTCTTATGAATGGACTTTCTATTATGAACAATCAAACAGCAAAACCAAGCAAATACATTTTCTTTATATAATGCTTGATGGGGTATGAAATTTACTACCCTACAACAATAACCACCTATTTTGAATCAGATACATGATCTACAGTGTCACTCAATTCTTATAGTCCCTTGGTTTCTAATGGGAAGAGCAGGACACAGACTGCTGAAATAGCAATCATAAGTTCACAACCTCGAATAGAACAATAGCCACAACTTGATGGGGTATGAATTTACTACCCAACGGCAACAACCAGTCACCAAACTGTCACACAACTTGATGGGGTATGAATTTACTACCCAACGGCAACAACTTGTGTTGAATCAGATACATCCACACTGTCACGCAAGTCCTGTCCCTTGGTTTCCAAGGGGAAGAGCAGAACACAGACCGCCGAAGTAACCATTACAACCTCAAACAGAATGATAGCTTCTGTTAGCCGGCAGCCAGTCACCAGTCCAACTGCCACAAGAGGGCATACCATGCCACCAATCCTCCCTACAGCATTTGCAACTCCAGCACCGGTAGCTCTCACAGTTGTTGGATATAACTAGAAAAAAGAAGGAAATAATGACAAATAAATTATCTGGAACCAAGTGTCATAGGTGTATACATATAGAAACTTGAAGAAGATTGGAATGTACTTCAATAAAGGAATGCTGAATCATCGATTCATAGGCATCATAACTAAGCAAAGAAGAGAGCAGATTACACTCTTCAGCATGTTTTTTGTACTCATGGTTTCTTATATGGAAAATTCATCAACTACAACAATAGAAAGAGTAAGGGAAATGGAAAACAAGAAGATGGGAATATATTAAACTTTCAACCGCTTCTTCAGATAAATGCTTTTAAGAAAGTATTTCAGGGTTTACCTCTGGGGTATATACCGAAGCAACTGCATAGTTTCCTTCAATACACATGCGAGCTCCAGACAACAATGCTATTGTCAAAGTTGCAGACTGATGGTAAACCAAAGGTAAAGTGAAAACAAAAGCTGAGACAAACATAAAGGCTATTGAAAGCTTGCGTCCAATTCTATCCACGAGGATTACTGATAAAACAAGCCCAGGAAGCTCTGCAGTATGGATTTAAAGAAAACGGTACATTACCTGATTATTGCTTAATATAATAACAATTCTCAACATTAAGTGCATACAGAGGAGAAACTAGGCATGAATTACCTGCCAAACTAGTAATAAATACGTTTATGTAGAGGCTGTCTTCCTGAAGATTTTCTGACCGCAAGACAGTTGAGCCACATGTGCTTTGCTCACTCCTTAGCTCTGAGGTCAGCAATATGATACCATAATATGAAAAAGCATTGCCAAAGAATAACACCCATAGCAGCAGTGTTGTTCGAATTAATTTTGATGAGAAAAGCATGACAAATGATGCGAAGCCAGATTTAAAATCCACAACCTTTTTTCTTGTTGAAGATAATAGAGGAGCATATTCTGATGGGATAGATTTTTCTTCAGGTCCCACCATACGTTCAAAAACAAGAATCCCAGGAGGGAGTTTTGACTGGTTGACCAGAGCTATCTTCTCCAGAATATTATGTGCATCACTTATTCTACCTTTCGTGCAGAGATATCTTGGAGATTCTGGTACAATGCCATAAAGGACAAGAAGAGCAATTGATGGTAAAGTGGAGAATGCAAGTAGCCATCTCCAACTCAATCTGGGCATGACAACCTGCAACAAGTACAGAAGCACGATTATCTCAATTGGAAGAATACCTTCGAAGTGAACATATGTATGTAAAGCATAAATGAATTTATGTTCTGAACTCCTCTCTTATGAGCTTTATGCAATTTATCCTGCTTATGTATGTTCCATAAAGAGAATCAAAGCACCATGCTAATGATTCCTAGCATGTGTAGATAGATAATTTAGTACTATGCAGAAAGATCAGTGAATAAGTGGGAAAAATGGCATTTGACACATGCCACCATGAGGGTAGAAGAGAACAAAATCAAGTGTTTTTCAGCAACTTGTTCAGAGAAGGAGGGTCTAATTAAATAGAAATGACACTGAACAACTGCGGATGATGAGAATAAAGATGACAGATGGCTTTGAGAAAAATGCAAACATTCAGAAAAAGGCATGCACATCAACGAGTTTCTGAGGCTGCGGTTTGCTGTCAGCTAGGTAGACAGTCCCCAAGTGATAAAAGCATGAAAAGAATATCCCAAAAATTACAATATTTGGACCATAACATCTATCAGATAAAGAAAAAACCTATAATCCCTACAAGAATAGAAAATAAATGAGCAAATTATACAAGGCTTTTTCTTCTTAAAACATTAACATTGTAGAGCTGAGGAAATAGAACACACCCATGCAAGTGAAGCCTCAAAAATTGTTCCACATGACCAGAAAATTGCGAGGAGAACTGTCCTTTTGCCTCTAATTGAAGCAGGGACAAACTCTAAAAACCAGGAGCAGAATACAGTTCCACCACCCAGGCCAAAGCCAACTAAACATCGAAGAGTTAGCAGACATGCATAATTTGGGGAGAAAGCACTTAACAATCCACCTCCGCTACTTAGAAGAATTACTCCTAAGAAACCCTTCCTGGAAAGACCAAAGGAAATCAAACAGCCAGATGAGAACAAGAAATCCAATAAGTGATGAATAACCTTAAGTATACTTAGCATGGATGATACAATGAGAAGAGTATTTGCAGAATCCATATCAGTTTACGTATTTGGAAATGATTTGCACTCCAAATTGGATAAAAGTAAGAGTGGAGAAAAAAATTGGAAAAAGGACCAATATATTGAAACTCTGGATAGAGCTTATTTAGAAAAAAGGAAGATTTGCCATAGAAGCGGAAAAAGAGTTGCATGTTTTCTGCAATTTTTCTGAAACTTACACACATATTAAGACACAGGAAAAGTAAAGGATTTAACCTTCAAATGTTAGTCAAAGAAGGAAGGAGATTATTAGCAAGTTAAATGAAAAAAAATAAATGGACTTGCCTCCTACCGTAGTAATCTGAAACAAGGCCCCAAGTAACTGCTCCAACAAGCATGCCAGCAAAAACAACAGTGGTTAGCAGACTCTCTTGGCCTGGAGAGAGATCCCACTGGGACTTAACCGCCGGTCCAACAAAAGAGAGAATCATAACTTCCATTGCATCTGAAAACCAACCAAGTCCAGCATAAGCAAGCAGCAGTCCTTGGAATTTCCCAAACCCCACAGAAGCAAGTGCCTCGTCCAGAGTGTATACAGAGTTTTCACCATCCATCTACATGGTAGCCAGCCACGAACATAACAAAGAAATCAAAAAATTATCATGTTTCATATGCAAGTTCAAGATGGATTGTTTGATCATCAAGAAATCCTATGCTTACCCTGTCAGAGGTCTCGGCTGTTTCGTTCATGGTATAGCTAGCTTCAAAGTAAAGCATGCGATCCAAGATGATATCACCACTATTAGATCACGAACCAAATAATTCCTTGCAACTATAATTCAGGAAAAGAAAGGTTCATAGCGGAGTAGCAGTCTGTGTAGAAAGTGATTTATACCTTATGGAAGCACATGAGTGGAGTAGATTTACCGGCAATTTTAGTCCTTTAGGATAACCTAATAGTTCTTGAAAATGCAATTGGGTCCTTACGCTTATGTTCCGAGGAAAAATCAGTCCTTCCATAATCAATCCAGGGATAAATATAAGGATCCAATTGCATGTTTTGGAAGCACTAGGTTGAATATGCTGGAAATGATATGTCTTTTCAGGCAAATAATTGTTAGTGTTAGTCCAGGCACTAGATTGCAATATATTTCAGATTGGATTGGATTTGTTAGTGCTGGTACAGTACCTATTACAGCCCACACGATTTGCGCGGCATAACTGGACAGGACAGGAAGTCTCTTTAACTTAGAAAAAACAAGAATGAAAAACAGAGAGAGATTGAGAGAGAAATAGGAATATGAAAAAGGTTCGTTGGTGCGGCCAATAATGATGACGGGAGCACTGATTTGTTCTGCTCTCGTTGTCGTTCAAAACATAAATAAATAAATAAATAAATGCTGCTCAAATCAATAGAGGTCCCTATAATTTTATTTTTTATCATATTGACCCATCTATCTGATTTTGGTCCATTAAGTCCTTCTAACAAAAAAATATCGATACATATGAGCTAAGTACTGACCCTTCCATCCGCCTCATTATTTACGAATGTTAGTTACAACCACTCAAGAGCTGACTTGAGAATGAAAATGAAATTAGCATTATATTCTCAAGTTATTTTCGATAAAATGAATGTTTTTTTTCTTCTGAAAATTGAAAGAAAGAAAGAAAAACTAAAGGTGCAATTCCTCATGTTTAATAAATCTCTAAAGATCAGATTTTTTTTTCCTTAATTTAAAGGTTAATTTATAAGGATTGAATGTTTTTTCTATTTTGAACACAAAACAATGATAATCAAACCAAACTTGAAATCTCGAACATTGAGTCTAAAAAGGATAAATACATAAACAGAATTAATCTAATAGTTGTGTATTCAATTAGCTTTTTTTGATGAAAAAAGGTTTAAATCCTAATAATTTTAGTTTTTTTAATGATTATATAACGAGGAGCGCTACCCCCATTGTGTAGCATGTCCATTGATCCTCCGTTGAATAAAAGCAAAGAGTAAAAATAAATTCTTGGTCTCTCAAGTTTCAGTAATATTTCCCAATTCTCAAACGTTAACTTTAAGTGCAAAGAGAGGAGGCTAGGCATGAAATACCTGCCAAATTAGTAATAAATACATTTCTGTAGAGGTTTTCATCCTGGAGATCTACTGATTGCATGATAGTTGAGCTGCATTTGCTTTGCCCACTACTTGGTTCTGAAGTCAGCAATATGATACCATAATATAATAACATATTTCCAAAGGATAACTCCCACAGAAAAATTGTCATTCGCATAAGTTTCGATGAGAAAAGCGTAACAAATGGTGAGAGTCTGATCTAAAATCCAAATCGTTCTTTTTAGTTGAAGATAGTAGAGGAGTATATTCTGATGGGACAGATTTTTCTTCCATTCCAACCGTAAGCTTCCCGGGAGGGAGTTTTGATCGGTTGACCAGTGCCATCTTCTCCAGAATGTTCTGTGCGTCGTTTGTTCTACCTTTCATCCACAAACATCTTGGAGATTCTGGTACAGTAGCATAAAAGAGAAGCAGAGAAAACGATGGTAAAGAAGAGAACGCAAGTAGCCATCTCCAACTCAATCTGCGCATCACAATCTGTAATTAATTACAGAAATCCAATTATATCAATTAAGAACAATAAAAATTCTGCATTGAAAAGATGTATTCTAAATGAATTTAAGTTCTGAACTGTCCTCTCTTATTTATGAGCTTTATGCAATTATCTGGTAGAAAAATATTCTATAAAACTAGTGGGAAAAGCCGTTAAGAAGTAACTTGTAATTTTCAGTGTCTACCGTAATTGTCTTTCTGAATAAGATGTTGTTTTGTGTTCTCTAGGCTTTGGGAGCTGTAATGTCTCTAAATTTCTCAGTCTAAAATTATCTGTCAATGTTCTTAAACAGAGTCCTCTTTTTCTATGTTGTACACAACAGATAAAAATAAGAAGTAAACGGAATTGAGTCGCGGCTCTTCCAAGTCTTATCAGTCATAAATCTTTTTGTTTTACTCATCTTGCTTCTGTTATATCCAACAAAAGCAAGAAAGCAATAGAAAAAAGCGATGTAAAAAAATTATAGAAGAATTTCCATTTTGTTTTGAATAGAAAGAACTTGAATGAAATAAAAGCATAAAAGTAGATAGTAATTATGGACGTCAGGAAATAGAACACCTTACTGAGTACCCATGCAAGCGAAGACTCAAAAATGGTTCCCAATGTCCAGAACATTGAGAGGAGAACCATCCTTTTGCCTCTGTTTGAAGCAGGAACAAACTCTATAAACCAGGAGCTGAATACAGTCGTACCACCCAGGCCAATGCCAACGAAACAACGAAGAATTACCAGAGCTGCATAATTTGGGGAGAAAGTACTCAATAATCCAGCTCCACTAGTTAGAAGAGTTATTCCTAGCAAACCTTTCCTGGAAATCAAATAGGACAATTAATTTATAAGACCAAAAAGCTGAATAATCGGAAGAGCAGATTATAAGCAAGGCTTAGCGTACGTGTGTGTGTGTGTGTGTGTGTGTAATGGAAGAAAAGAAGAGGAGAAATTGGCTTGCCTCCTCCCATAGTAATCTGAAACAAGTCCTCAAGAATAGGCTTCAACAAGCATGCCGGAAAAAACAGCAGTTGTTAGCAGACTCTCTTGGCCTGGGGAGAGATTCCACTCGGACTTAACCGTCGGTCCCACGAAAGAGAGAATCATAATTTCCATGGCTTCTGCAAACCAACCAAGTCCGGCATAAGCAAGCAGCAGTGCTTGGAATTTTCCAAAGCCCACAGAAGCAAGTGCCTCATCTATAGTGTATACTGGGTTTTGGCCATGCATCTATATGCCAAAAAAAAAAGTAACAACAAAATATCAAATGATTGCGGTAATCCATATGCAGATTCTAGATTGATTTTTTGATCCGCAAGAAATCCTTTGCTTACCCTGACAGAGCTCTCTGCTGGTTGATTCATGATCGTAGCTTCAAAATAAGATCACAAAACACAAAATAACTTGTAGTTTCAAGAGTATTAATCATGAAAAAAAGATGATAATCGTATTAGTGTCAACGGTAACACGTTGATTTGAATATTGTGAATATGGCAAAAACGTTAGCAAATGCCAAATGTCACAAATAGCAACGGTCACAAATGTGCTTAACATGTGATTAAGATCATCATGGCTCACTCTTGTCATATTAGTTTTAATTTTTTGTTTTTTTCTTCCTTGACAGATTCATATATGATGAGCAAAGGATCATGCACTGACCTGGTAGAGCATTCTTCTTCCTCATGCACAGAAAATTAGTCCCGACTGATTCACAGAATGCATAAATGAATCAGTTACATATGAGAAATTAGGCAAGTAATTTATGCTTGTGTTTGTGTCAATTATTCATTTCTATCTACATGTTTCTAGTTCGGTCAAATAACTCTTTAAATTCGTCCAATTAATTCAATAACGTAAGATCTGTCAAGTTTCAATGTTAATCAACCCTTTGGCTATTTTTAAGAGTAATACCATACAAATAAACTTTTTATACAAACTTACAGGAAGGGTGAAGTTTGATGATTGTAGGCCCTTTTGGATATAATTTCGTCTAGACTTCATCACTGGGCATCTAAATTCTTTCTTTTACAGGTAGATTGCAGCTGATCTTTTCTTTCATCTTCAGCATTCAAAATTACTGGGGTTCTTTATTTTTTAATATATTAGGATTTGGTAGTACTAAAATAAACACAAAGACCTTTGTTTATTCATGCGTATTCAACAAGAAAATGAGAGGTTAGCTCTTAATATTTGAACTTGCTATAGTTAGAATCAACCTAAGCCACGCAAGGAATTGGCATATATTTATGGAAAATGTAAAAGGATCAAAATCCAGTTTGTTTTCCACAATGCTTGAAGGGGTATGAATTTACTACCCAAAAGCAGCAACAACTTGTTTTGAAACAGATATATCCACACTGTCACACAAGTCCTGTCCCTTGGTTTCCAAGGGAAAAAGCAGAACACAGACTGCTGAAATAGCCATCACAACCTCAAACAGAATGATAGCTTCTGTTAGATGGCAGCCGGTCACCAGTCCAACCGCCACAAGAGGACATATCATGCCACCAACCCTCCCAGCAGCACTTGCAGCTCCAGCACCAGATGCCCTCACAGCCGTTGGATATATCTAGAGGGGAACCAAAAGGATAATAACACAATTTAATTATTAGGTTTCATGTATTTACCATTTGCTGCTTGATCAACTTACTTTTAGTAGCAAGACAGGTAAAAACACAACGACAGAAAGAAGAAAGGGAAATGAGAAAAGCATGCATGCAGTCTATAAACTTTACAGAACCTTGCAGTTAATTTCAAACAAAGGCATGATCATCAAGTTTCTTTTGAAAAAAATATATATATATATATCTTTCTATGTCAAATGTCAATAGAATGGGTGGGGCAACTCATATATATATATATAAGTCAGGGCTTACCTCTGAGGCATATATTGAAGCAACCGTGTGAGTTCCTTTGCTAAACATGCGAGCTCCAAACAGCAATGCTGTTGTTAACGTTGCAGACTGATGGTAAACCAGAGGTAAAAGGAAAATACAAGCTAAGACAAACATGAATGCTATCGAAAGCTTGCGGCCGATTCTATCCACAGTAATTGCTGACAATAGGAGCGAAGGAAGCTCTACAATATAAATACATACAAAAATGTAATTTCTCACAATTCTCAAACCTCAACTTTAACGACAAAGAGAGGAGGCTAGGGATGAAATACCTGCCAAATTAGTAATAAATACATTTACATAGAGCCTGTTATCCTGGAGATTTTCTGATTGCAAGATAGTTGAGCCACATTTGCTTTGCCCACTACTTAGCTCTGAAGTCAGCAATATGATACCATAATATGAGAACATATGTCCAAAGGATAACTCCCACACAAGAATTGTAATTCGAATTAGTTTCGATGAGAAAAGCTTAACAAATGGTGAGAAGGCGGATCTAAAATTCAAATCCTTTTTCCAAGTTGAAGATAGCAGAGGAATAGATTCCGCTGGGACAGATTTTTCTTCCAGTAGAACCGTACTATCACAGACAAGCATCCCAGGAGGGATTTTAGATTGGTTGACCTGAGCTATCTTCTCCAGAATATTTTGTGCATCAGTTGTTCTACCTTTCATGCATAGATATCTTGGAGATTCTGGTATAATAGCATAAAAGAGAAGCAGAGCAAATGATGGTAAAGAGGAGAATGCAAGTAGCCATCTCCAACTCAGCCTGGGCATCACAATCTACAATAATTACATAAATACAATTATCTTAAGAAGAAAAGAAATTCTGTAGCGAAGAGATGTATGTGAAGCATAAATCAATTTTGAGTTCTGAACTCCTTTCTTATTTATGAGCTTTATGCAGTCCCTTCAACTTCAAGGATAGAGAATGAAGATCAGGACCTTTTTTTCTCAAAACAAAAAACAATCCATTTTTGGCTTTGAGAGTAATTACAGAAGTGAGGAAATAGAAGACAGTACCCATGCAAGTGCAGACTCAAAAATGGTTCCAAATGCCCAGAACATTGAGAGGAGAACCATCCTTGTGCCTCTATTTGAAGCAGGAACAAACTCTACAAACCAGGAGCTGAATACAGTTGCACCACCCAGGCCAATGCCGACGAAACAACGAAGAATTACCAGAGATGCATAATTAGGGGAGAAAGGACTCAAAAATCCAGCTCCACTACTTAGAAGAGTCATTCCTAGCAAACCCTTCCTGGAAATTAAAGAAAAAGAGGACAACTAATTAAATAATATCAAGAAAACCAATAAAAGGCTAAATGACCTTTAAGTGTACTGGGTACCATATCTGTATATGCAGAACGGATTAACACTTGGCTGCTAACAATAAATTCTTAAATAACACTTGAAAATTTTTAGTATTTGTTTGTTGGAGAAAACAAAGGGATAAAAAACTAGTGTATATAAAATAGGATAATGGAAGAAAAGCAGAGGGGAAAATGGCTTGCCTCCTCCCATAGTAATCTGAAACAAGGCCCCAAGAATAGGCTCCAACAAGCATGCCGGAAAAAACAGCAGTTGTTAGCAGACTCTCTTGGCCTGGGGAGAGATTCCACTCGGACTTAACCGCCGGTCCCACGAAAGAGAGAATCATAACTTCCATGGCTTCTGCAAACCAACCAAGTCCGGCATAAGCAAGCAGCAGTGCTTGGAATTTCCCAAAGCCAACAGAAGCAAGTGCCTCGTCTAGAGTGTATACTGGGTGGTTTTGGTCATGCATCTATATGCCAAGAAAAAAGTAACAAAAAAAATATCAAATGATATATATGCAGATTCTAGATTGATTTTTTGATCAACAAGAAATCCTTTTGCTTACCCTGACAGAGCTCTCTGCTGGTTGATTCATGATCGTAGCTTCAAAATGAGCTAGCAACCAAACATGCCTTCTCACTGTTAGATCACGAAACAGATTACTTGTAGTTTCAAGATTGATATTATTGTAGGAAAATTAATTGTTCAACTACTAACTGCCTAAGGAATTCAGAAAAGTCAAGTGTGTTAGTACATTATCACTATCAGCTGTTCCACCTTTTCTTCAAGTTGCTCCATTAGACCCTTATTCTATTTTTATTTTATTTTATTTTTTTTGTCTTTTTTTTCTTTTTAGTTTAGATACACATAGTTTCTATATTCTCTTGAATTAGAGTTTTTATATAAGCTAACCAGGTGGAGGAATCTAGGTCAATTTTGTTACTAAAATTATATTTTTGGTCAAATTAGGATTTCTTTTCAAAGCTGAATTAAAAGAGACAATAGACGCATGCAAAATCACGTGCCAATTTATACTATTACAAATGGAGAATGCAAATTGGAAAATACTATATATGTCATTAATTACTTTTGATGTATTATAAAATTTCTCAAAAAGGTGGAGGCAATAATCATTGTTTTATATAATATATATCATCATCGGCTTCTCCGCATTGAGGAGTAAATTATAAATTAGTACTTCTCTTGTTTAAAGAAACGGATTAATTAATGTATCCGATTTTAAAACTTTATTATTTAGTTCTTTTAACATGCATTGATAATGATTAATTTAATATTTTTTTATTTTATAAAAAAAATTTATCAATCTTTTTATATTTTTATTTATTATTACTATTATTTCTATTTCTTAAAACTCAAAATTAAAATAAATTGAAAAATAATAAAAAGAATTAAATGACTAGGTTTTGAAACCAAAATAACTAATTAATTCATTTCTAAAACAAGAGAGACTAATTTATAATTTACTCTCACATTGATGGATATTGAATGTTTTTTTTAAAAAAAAAAAAAAATTATGACAACTTGGTCTTGAATTCAAAATTCAGACAAACAATACATGGAGGCAACAATCATTGTCGTTGTCCTCTTTGCTTCATACTGCATCCATCAAGTTAACAGGGGAAATGGAGGAAGGAAGAAGCCAACTTCTTCAACAAATATACTGATCAAATACCCAATTTCTACAGTATGCGTCTCAGGATGCATCCTATAAGCTCGCCGTCTGATCCTCAAATCTTTCTTGCCCCTGCATACAAATGCCAATTTAGCAATTAACTCTCATGTGGACTCACTTATCAATATGAATAGTATGCCTTTTGCATTCTACTCTTCCCCTCTCGATCTCTCTCTTCTTCTTTTTTTTTTCATTCAATTAGTGGTGAATCAAATGGTAATGTGAATTTTGTGTGTTCAAATTTTTTTAAAATTAATTAAGTAATTTAGTTAATTTTATATATTGAAAGGATGTGCAAATTTTTTTTTTTTTTTTTTATGAATTGCAGACTTATGTGAGAGAGAGAGAAAACATTGTCTATTCTGATGAATTGAAGATTATTGAAGATAAGATTTGATAACGTGACAATAATCTATTAGTTGCTCAGATTACATTATCTCTTTTTAACCAATAAAAGCATGCATGCATTAATATTGAAAAGGATGATCGATGGAGCCCTTCTAAAAGTGGAGTATTTTATCATTTGTGAAGCTTTTTATTTATTTATTAATACCAGAAGATGCATATATAACTGGAGTGGAGCTAGAATTGAACAGATTCTGTGAGGATTTTAAGGAATTAGCCATAAAGATTCTAAGATTAATTGAAGCTGATGTGATTCTTATCTGATGTACAACATCAATAAATATTCTTCCTTCCAAGAACCAACTTTGTGGATGGAAACGCGGATTTTCTATTCCAAACAATATTCGAATAGCAAATCCAATCAAATACATTTCCCTTTTACAATGCTTGATGGGTATGAAATTACTAACCAACGGCAACAACTTGTTGTGAATCAGGTGCATGATCTACTCTGTCACTCAATTCCCGTCCCTTGGTTTCAAAAGGGATGACACAGACTGCTGAAATAGCAATCACAACCTCAAATAGGATGATAGCTCCTGTCGCCAGTCCAACTGCCACAAGAGGGCATATCATGCCCCTTGGATGGTGAGCCCAAGCCTATTCTTTCCATCGATAAAGGGAGAAGAAAAGGCCCTAAGGCATGGGACTGCTTCCTTTGCTACGGATGCCTAACTTCTTCAGTCTCTTGCTTCTTAACCTTAAGGTGATAGAGTAGAGACAATTCCCATTGACCCCTCGGGGGAAGTCCCTTAATCCCTACAGTTCCTGCGCTTCCTTCTAGCCGCTTGCTGCCTACGAAAATGAAAAGCAAAGAGCTTCTTCGGGTCCATAAGCAGTGACAATTGCCCTATAAGCACTTGTCGTTCCACCACCAGTTGCCCTCACGGCGGTTGGATACAACTAGAAGCAAAGGGATCAATAAAAATCAATTATTCAGAACCATATCTCACTGCCCCAAATAGGTGTGTGCAGAGGTCAACATAAAGAAACTTGAAGAGAACCGGAAAGCGTCAACTACATTTTATGATGATTAGTTTTGATGGGAAAAGCGTAGCAAATGATGAGAAGCCTGATCTAAAATCCAAATCCATTTTTCTAGTCGGGGAGAGTAGAGGGGTATATTCTGATGAAGCAGATTCTTCATTCAGGCCGGTTTTACTATCAGAAACAAACCTTCCAGGAGGGAGTTTTGATTGGTTGAGCAGAGCTATCTTCTCTAGAATATTATGTGCATCGTGTAATCTACCTTGGAGACTCTGGTACTAGAGAATAAAAGAGAAGGATAGCAATTGATGGTAAAGAGGAGATGGCAAGTAGCCATCTCCAACTCAATCTTGGCATCACAATCTGCAAACAATTACAGAGGTACAATAACAATAAGAAGATTAAACAGGTCATTTTAATTACAACGGAACTATTTTCAACACTCCAAAGCCAATGCCGAATCTGTTTCAATCTCTCTTTTCGAATAGTAGGTGGAAATTAAAGTAAAAACTTTAGAAGAAAGTAAAATCATCAAGCAACAGTGGTTTCGATAATTGTAGAAGTGAGAAAATAGAAGATAACCATGCAAGTAAAGCCTCAAAAATTGTTCCAAATGTCCAGAACGGTGAGAGGAGAAGCATCCTTGTGCCTCTATGTGAAGCAGCAACAAACTCCATAGACCAGGTGACGAACACGCATCCACCACCCAGCCCAAAGCCAACCAAACAACGAAGAATGACCAGAGATGCATAATTTGGGGAGAAAGCACTCAACAATCCAGCTCCACTAGTTAGAAGAGTTACTCCGAGGAAACCCTTCCTGGAAAGACCAAACGGATTTAGGCAAATTGAAGTACCCATTGGAATTTGGATCATAAGACTCCAGTGCAAAGATTCAAATCGAAATGGATGGTTTGAAAGAATGAACTAACACTTGCTAGATAAAAGTAACTTCTTAATTAGTACACTTGAAGTAAGAACACAGAGTAGAAAAAATTGGAACTAAGAGGAAAATGTCACAGATTATATATAACGCATGCTATATGTAATATTCAAAACACATGCTTCATCTTTAACATGAACGATGTATGAGAATGGTATTTACAGAATACATATCGGTAATGATATGTAATTCATAATTCTTAAATCGGAGGAGAGCAATAAGACTGCTAAAAAAATTGGAAAATGACCACTGTAATCCAAAACTGATTAAATGGCTTGCCTCCTTCCATGATAATCCGAAACAAGGCCCCAAGAAAATGCTCCAATAAGTATGCCAGCAAAAACAACAGTTGTTAGCAGACTCTCTTGGCTTGAGGAGAGATTCCACTGGGACTTAACCGAAAGTCCCACAAAGGAGAGAATCATAATCTCCATTGCTTCTGCAAACAAACTAAGTCCAGCATAAAGAAGCACAAGAACTTGGAATTTCCCAAACCCCACAGAAGCAAGGGCCTCATCCAGGTTGTATGCGGGGCGTTCACCATCCATCTGTTGGCGGCCGGCCAGAACGTTGTGACCAAGAAATCAAAAAATTGTCATGTATCATATTCAAATTCAAGATTGATTGCTTGATCATCAATAAATCCTGTGCTTACTCTAACGGTGGTCTCAGCTGGTTCCATCACGGGCTTATCTTCACAGAATCGAAGATGCTAGCTGTCACTACTATTAAATCACAACCAAATTACTTTTAGTTTTATTTCAAGAAAAGACGATTAATAGTGGGGTATCAGTCATTGAAAGAGATGATGGATACCTTATAGATGCAGTCAGATATAAGTGGAGTCTTAATGTAATTTATGTAGCTTTATTGGTTCATGTCGCCTGGACCGAACAAGGATCAAACAACACGAAACAGTAGTTTGATATTTTCTTGGCAGATGGATTGCATAAATGGAGTTGAGCTATGAGGACGTATGAAAAAGAAAAACAGTAGTAAATTCACCTGAAACTGGGAAATGATAGTCTACTTCGGTCGCGCAAATGGCTGTTAGTGTCAGTCCTGTACCTGCTGCTAGGAATAGGGAAGACACATATTTTTGTATTTTGGACAGGGCAGGACAGTACAGGAGGTATCTTTCAGTTGAAAAGAAGAGAATATCAGAACATTATAGTTTAAAAGTCGACACAACGAAACATAAGAAAATGAGAAAATTGTTTGGTCCGGCCAATTAATCATTCAGGCACTATCTAATTAATTATTGAAGGATGAAAGGGCAAAGTGCATATCATCCTTAGCTGCTCCACATTCAAGTTTTTATTTAAAAAAAAATAGCAAGAAACACGTTAAAAAAGGACAAAAGTATCGCAAAACTGAACTTTGAAAGAGCAGATTGTGTCAACCTGAAACCTTAAATAGAGAAAGATATACCATAGAAGCATTGATTAGAGTAGTTCCAATTTCCAAGCTTTTTGCAGTTCCTGAAGCTATACACAAATATATCCATGATACAGACACAATAAAGGATTCTTAACTTGATATGTTTAGGAAACATTGGAGATTATTAGCAAGGCATAGCCTATAATTAATGCAAGGAAACAAACGGGAATGGCTTGCCTCCCTCCACAATAATCTGAAACAAGCCCCAAGAAAAAGGCCCGATAAGTACATATTTTCCAACTACTCCTGGAAATATATGTGGTGGCCGGCCACAATGTAATAAAGAAATCAAGAAAAAAATTGAGCACTGCAAATTAGGAAGAGCAAGTGTGCTTGTTGTTAAGTACTCCTGGAAATATATGTACATAAATACATCAAGTTTCTCTCTATTTCTCGTTCCAAGTGCACAGACAATTTTTGTTGTTTTCTTCTGAGATCGCTTTTCCATCAAAATTTCTTGTTTTCAACTTAAAAGAGACTTCCTAGGCAATTTCCATCCATCATCACAGTAAAAATTATGCAACGGTACTGTAGAAACTGAAAAGAAGGAAATTGTTATGCAATGATAGTAGTTTTGCAAAAATGCGTTTCACCTAATATATATATATATATATATATATATGGTTTAATGTTTTTTACAACTTTTTTTTTTTATTCGTCCCAATTTTAGTCCCCTACTTGCCTTAACCTATAAATTTTGCATAAATATGTTGCTTGAGAAGAGAGTAAGTAATTTGTACTCATGAGAATCATAACTTTTGACAAAGTTTTAGCTTGTGACAACCGAAAGTAATTTATTCCTTTGGTCCTATTTTTTAGTATATGATTGTTACATTCATAGGTGTTTTCATTATCTTAAAATTTTTATCTTGTGATGAGAGCAAGTATTGTATTATCTTAAATTTTTTTCTTGTTATCCAAATGTGGAACAAATGGGAGCTTGGCGCAATCATTTTGCTGTGTCTCTTGCTGCAAATTTTCCTCACTATCACAGGCAGTCGACGTAAGTACACAGCTGGATTCTGGCTGGGGATGTTTTGTTGGCTCCAACCAGCAACAAGTATGATATACTAATATCACTTCTGGAATAGACATTGAAGTTTCTGGTCATTGATGAGAGAGCAGGTAACGCAGAAACTAAGGACAGAAAGTTGATGAAGCGGGAAGAATGAGGCGTGATTGCCAACCAACCCTTGTCATCACCTTGTGGAAAAGTACATCAAACATGAACCCCAACTCAACTTCTATCGATTCGAGTGGGGGGTCATGTTTGATGTACTTTTCACCGAGGTAATGCTGCTTTTCAAAGAGGGCTTACGGTTCTTTTTCCTGAATTTTGTTGCATTAATTAAAACATACTGGTTTTTTTTTTTTTTCCGATTAAGAGGAGGGAAATGCTTTAGAGGAATTACATACATTTTTTTATGTTTTATAGCTAGACTCTTGTCATTCCAGAGTTTGTGGCTTTAGTTCTATAGATGTTCAACGAGAGAAGAAATGAAAAGGATTTCAACTCCTGAATTTGAACTGGCAAGGAAGCGAGTTTACATGTCACTCTGCACTTGATACAATGAATGAATGGGCATAAATATTATCTAAACAATCATAATATGATAGCCGATTTTGGCTGGGAACCGTAATTTGATACATGGGCCATCTACTCTAAACAATCATCAGATAGCAAATACAAGAAATACACTTCCTTTTCACAATGCTTGAATGTCTATGAATGTGCTACCCAACAACAACTACTTGTTTTGGATCAGATACATCTACACTGTCAGTCAATTCCCGTCCCTTGGTTTCAAACGGGAAGAACAGGACACAGACTACTGAAATAACAATCACAACCTCAAACAAAATGATAGCTTCCTTAAGATGGCAACCAGTCACCAGTCCAACTGCCACGAGAGGGCATACCATGCCACCAATCCTCCCCACAGCATTTGAAACTCCAGCCCCAGTTGCCCTCACAGCCGTTGGATATACCTAGAGAAAAAGGAAATTATCACAAATAAATTATTTTAAACCAGTTCAAACTCTCCTAACATGCCTGCTCAGAGGTCAACTTAAGGTACTAGAAGCAAATCGAAATGGCATCAAGCACAATGGAAAAGCAACCGACTTCCATGAGTCATGACTATGTTCTCAGCTAATTCTAAAAACTACACCTCTCATGTCAATGTCAAAAGAAAAAGACTTACCTCTGGGGCATATATTGCAGCAACTGTGAAGCTTCCTATGGCACACATGCGAGCTCCAAATAACAATGCTGTTGTCAAAATCCCAGACCGATGGGAAACCAGGGGTAAGAGGAAAATACAGGTCACAACCAACATAAATGCCATGGAAAGCTTGCGGCCAAATCTATCCACGATAATTGCTGATAAAAGAATCCCAGGAAGCTCTGCAAAAAAAATTTACCTGATCATTATTCCTTAAAATCATAATACTGTATGAAATTTAAAGATAGGAAGTAATTACTTCATGTTGTAGAACAATTCTCAAAATCTTAACATTGAGTGCGGAGAAAGGACATTAAACATGCAATACCTGCCAAACTAGTAATGAATACATTTATGTAGAGCCTGTCATCCTGGAGATTACCCAACTTTAAGACAGTTGAGCCACATTTGCCTTGCTCACTACTTAGCTCCGAAGTCAGCAATATGATACCATAATATGCGAATGCATTTCCAAAGAATAACAACCACAGGAGAAATGTTGTTCGGATTAACTTTGATGAGAAAAGCACAACAATAGATGAGAAGCCTGACTTAAAATCTAAAACCACTTTTCTAGTTGAGGAGAGTAGAGGGGTAAATTTTGATGGGGAAGATTCTTCCTCTAGTTCAATTCTACTGTCAGAAACAAGCATTCCAGGAGGAAGTTTTGATTGGTTCAACCGAGCTATCTTCTCCAGAATATTATGTGCATCGGTTATTTTTCCTTTCATGCACAGGTACCTTGGAGACTCTGGTACGAAAGAATAAACGAAAAGCAGGCCAATGGATGGTAAAGCGGAGAATGCAAGAAGCCACCTCCAATTCAATCTTGGCATGACAATCTGCAACAATTAGAGAAATGCAATTATCTTAAGAAGAATGCTTAATAAGAACAGTATTTTGCAGTGAAAAGATGTCTCAAGAATTAATTAAGTTTTGTAGTTCACTTTTACTCGAGCGAATTTTAATTGAGATCAAGAGTTTCAATAATTAACAGCCTAGGGCAGTTTAGGTGGGTTTAAATGTTGTAATTATTTAAAGGGGAAGTTTTAAGTATGCAGTCCAAATTTAAATTGGATTACTTTTAAAGCCTAAAAGATCAATAAATGAGATTTGCTACAACCAATAGGGTGTCTCACATCATGTAACCAGAACTTCCCAGGGAAGGGAGCGTTCTACTTGCTTGCCTTTAAAACTGTTCAATTGTTTGTTGAAAGCTTCCAGTTCCTTGTGAATATTTCCACCTGGACATCCTCTCTTAATTAATATTACAGGGCTCCAGGTTTAAAATAGTGACCAGGAATACTCTATTGTCATTAGACACCTACTTGTATTCTACAGATGATAATTCTGCTAGTGCTTGGAACATCTATCCATACTACAAGAATCGTTAATGAAGGCAAGGATCCTTTATGCCCATCACGCTTTACATATCATCTTACTCAAAATTTATGAATTTCTAACCACTCAAAATTCTAGATTTTACATTTCAAAAACCTTGGAGAGAAAGCACATGCATAGATACTGCATATAACTTAACAAGATATATACAAACAGATAAGTGAAGTAGCACTGAAGAAAAAAAAAGCAGTTGACATATACCACCATGGCAGTTGAAGAGTAAGGTTATGACTTTTTCTGCAACTTTTGTTGTTCAAAAATAATTTAAGCAGACAAGAGTCCCCTGCAAGGACACTAAACCATTTCTCACGTTGAGAACAGAGAGAATGTTTACAAGAAATAAGCAAACATTCAGTAAACTGACCCTAAAGCATACAGGAGTCTCCCATTCCTTGAATGGTCAAATTTAGAAGCCGTAAACATATAATCCTAAAGTTCCAAACTGTTAAAAATTCAATCCTCGCATTTTCAAGTCTCTGCTTTAAACCTCTATTTGACAACCTATCCCTCAAAACTTCCATCATATACAGAAAAAATTAACATTCAGCAAAAGTGGAACAACTTTTTTCTCAAACCAGAGTGAGAAAGACACTCCCATTTTCATTTCCATCACCTTTTTCGGATAGTCCAATAAAAACTTTAAAGAAACAAATCATGAAGCAACAGTAGTTTGGATAATAAGTGTAGCAGTGAGGAAATAGAACACAGTACCCATGCAAGTGAAGCCTCAAAAATGGTTCCAAAAGTCCAGAACAGTGAGAAGACAACCATCCATGTGCCTCTATGTGAAGCAGGAATGAACTCTAGAAACCAGGAGGAAAATACAGGTCCACCACCCAGACCAACACCAACTAAACAACGAAGAATCAACAAGGAAACATAATTCGGAGAGAAAGTGCTCAAAAATCCAGCAGCACTAGTTAAAATAGTTATTCCTAGGAAACCCTTCCTGGAAAGAGAAATGGAATTAGAAAAACGAATGCTCCAGTTTTCTGCAGTTAATTTACAACGCAATACACATATTCCAAATTATACTAATACAAAAGGATCGACCTTTGAGAGAGAGAGAGAGAGAGAGATTAATTAATTTAGAAAGCTACCAAATTATACCACACAAGGATAGAACCTGCGCTAGATTGATTGATTAAGAAGGAAACAATTATAGGCATATGTAATTAATAAGGGAAAGATGAAGGATGGATGGATGAACTTGCCTCCTTCCACAGTTATCCGAGAAAAGGCCCCAGGAATAAGCTCCAACAAGCATGCCAGCAAAGACAACAGTAGAGAGCATACTCTCTTGGGTAGAGGAGAGATTCCATTGGGACTTGACAACTGGACCCACAAAGGAAAGAATCATAATTTCCATGGCTTCAGTAAACCAACCAAGACCAGCATAAGCAAGCACCAGAAACTGGTATTTCCCGAAACCCGCAGAAGCTAGTGCGTCATCCAGAGTGTACTCCATCCTCTCACCATCCTGCATCTGCTTACGTAAGCATACAAGAAATAACAACAATTAAGAGATAATGAATTAATACTTCAAATTGAAGATTTCATTACGTGATATTAATAAATTAATTAATTGCACATATATATATATATATACCCTCCTGCTGCCGCCGCTGCTGGTGGTGGGGATGGAGATCCGATCTGATGCAAGCGGTTGATAACTATTGACATAATTAACCGGCATAGCTTCAATTAGATCACAATAATATACATATAGTAATTAAGAAGAAGAAGAAGAAGAAGAAGAAAACGGGAGGAAGAGACGATGAGTGCGGTTGTTGATTTGGCTACTGACTTTGACGCAAATCATAAGCAATGATACGATAGGAAGAGTGTGATATCGAAATGAAAGAAAGAATAGAGTGAGAGAGAGACGATGATGTTCAACACAAGATGCTGTGGAGGGTTAGGAGGTGAAAAACGATAAGAAGCAAAAAAGAAAGAATGGTTGTAGTTGTGGCTGCGGCTGCGGTCAAACATAAAACGACAAGAAAATGGTTGTTATACTCATACGTGTAATCTTGTCTTGTTTTCTTCTCATTCCTCATTTCCTCCTGGAAGATAGCATGTGAAAGGAAAGGAACCACAAAATGAAACATGTGTATATTAATTATTATTACTGCAAATCAAAGGAACACAAATAAATTGAGAAGAACAGACGATTGACAGAGAAAGAAGAACATGCATAATACATTTACAGTGTAGTTGAGTTTAAATGATCGATATTAAAACAATAACACTCCTTTTTTTTTTTAATTTTATTTGTTAATAGACAAAAAAGTCTTATTTCGTATTTACGAAATACGAAATATTACTTTTTGTTGAAGTCGTCATACGTAGGAGTCGACGACACAAGGAATAACACAGCACAACTAACGTCAAGGGAGGGAAAAAACCAAACAACGTAACGTGTGTGTTTTGCCCACTCTCTTCTACCATACAGCTACGCTACTAACCCAATACGAGATATATGGTGGACAACTACAAGACATCGCCGTCCAGATCATACCCGCTTTCTTTGCTGTATCTATCATAATAATACATGTAAAACGGAATATGTTAATGTCGGAGAGGCGCATCAGCTTTTGTTTTTACTTAGATTAATGATATAAAAGCTTATCTTTGAGTTTTGTCCAATGAGAGTATGAAATGTGTGATTGTGTTTTATATATTTTATTCTCATCCGTACATTATTAGGTTTGTTATTTGATAAAAAAAAATTGGGAAATCTCATTTTATAGATATTTTGTTAAAAAAAATGAAGCATGAATAAGAATTAAGCGTGATAATGAAAATTAAACATAATTTTATTTTCATAGAAAAATAGAAATAAAAAAAATAATTTTTTAAGATAATAATATATTATTTTTATTTATTATATATTAATTATTTTTATTACTATTATCACCTCTACTTCTTCTTCTTCTTCCAAAATCATAACCTCCATTAGCGATGATGATAAAAGAGAATTAAAATTTTTTTTATAATATTGCTATTATTCTACTATAACTTTTTTGCTACCACCATCATGGTTTTTTATTATAAAACTGAAGATATTGTCACTATCACCATCGTTGATGGTGGTAATAAAAAATATTAAAAAATTATTGTTATTGTTGTTATTATTATTCATTCGTTTTTATTAGATTATCATTTTTCTTCTATTGTCACTTTCTATGACAGTGCTATCAATTCATACAAAATATATTATTATATTATTGTACTATTATTATTATCATTTTTTCTTCTTCTTCCCCCGCCACAATCATTTATATTGTTTTTATTACCATCATAGTTAACAAAATTATTTTTTTATCATTACTCTTATTTATCTTAAAAACCATAGATTAAAAGTTTTAGATTTCATTCCTATTTCTTGTTTATCATTTTAAACAAAGTATGAGAATGCAAATAATATTTTCACTCTCTAATTTTTTTTTATTATAATTCATATATTTTCATTCTAGACCTTTTATTTCTAGTAATCAAACAATATCTTAAAATTAAATGCAAATGCTTTGAATAGAGTAATGCAATTTTTTTTAAAAAAACAACAACTTTGAATGAAAAATATCTCATAATCTATTTATTATTGTTGCTTTTTTTACTTAAGCCAACTAAAAGTTGGTGTCATAAGCTTCAAAATAAAATCCGCATTAAAATTTTTTTTATTAAGTGTGTCACAATGAAGAAAAAATTGATCAAACATTAATCATTTCATAAGTTTTTAAAAAGTGTATTGCAGTATATGAGTTAGATTGTATTTTATTTACATTTTTGGTGTTTTGCAATTGAGTCGTTTTTATGTAGAATATCAATTTATCTATACTCATTCGATAATTAATCGAATCACACTTATTTATCACACGGTTATAAATATTATAGACCATGAGGCAATCATGAGATTTTGAAGCCCGTATCAATTAAGGGATAGGACGAACATGAGACAAGACTATCATATATATATCTAGTAAAATTCATTTACTTCTTGTCTTATCCGACAATTTATTTAGATTGTTTTATTATTTTTCATCAAATTTATGATTTGACACGTAAAAACTTAATTGAAAAAAATAATTCAGATACTAAATTATATTCATTATAAAACAAAATGACTAAAGAACTTTCAACCGATGACTTTATGCAAGAAATAACATTCAACTAAAATACACATCAATGAAATTTCCTACTCTAGTAGGAGCATAATATGTAATTTTAAATGGTATTACTAGGGGGGGGGGGAATGTGCTTATAGACTAATAATTGTAGATGAAACTTTTAAATACAGAAGAAAGAGGAGAGGGATTTCGAAAAACTGGACATATATTTTTGGGTCAGTTACTTGTATTATATTAAAAATATTATATTAACTCCTCTATCCAGATATAATTCATAACAAATTTTATATTCTTAGACGTTGACGTAAAATAAGCCTTCGTTAACTTTTTCAATCGGATGAATTAATTTTCATAAGTTGATTAATATTTGACTGATCAAATGACAACATGTTTTAACTTAAGAGTACAAATATAATTTTCTTTTGAAATCAAATTTTGTCAAATTGTATTAAAGGTAAAATAATTAATAATTATTATAAAATCATTAAAAATTGAAAAACATTCTAAAGAAAAAATTTAAAATAATCAAAGTTTTTTAATTTCTAATGAATTAATAATAATAATCATTCAATAATTTTTCAAAAAATCTAAATAAATTATTTTTTTTCAAATTTTAATGATTTTATAATGATTATTAATAAAGAAATTAAAAAAAAAACAAAAGAAAATTTTTTTCAAAAATTGAAAAAACTAATAATCAATTTTTTATTAAAATAATTAATAATCGTTACAAAATCATTAAAAATTTCTTTAGATTTTTCTTTAAAAAATTTATTATTAATAATTATTTTAAATATTAAAAATTGAAAAAAAATATCTATTAATAATTATTATAAAATCATTAAAAAGAGAAATTCTTTTTTATTTTTTTAAAAAATTTTGTTTAGATTTTTTTTCTAATTTTTAATAACCTCGTAATGATTATTAATTATTTTAACTTTAAAGAATAAAAAAATTGATTTTAAAAGAAAATTATATTTTACCTTTTAAATTAACATGTGTCATTGTTAGATAGATCAAATGTTAGTCAATTAAAAAAATTAGTCAATAGACTGAAAAAAATTAACAAATAGATTATTTTACATTAATATCTAATAATATAAGATTTGTTATAAATTATACGTTAATAGAGGGTTACGATCTTTTTTATATAACATAAAAGTATGTTTATGGAGTATGTGCCCATTGTATGGGTTGGGCTGGTTGGATGAATTGGGCTTGTACCCAACAGAAGCTTGTGCTGTGGGGGTACTAACCAACATGAACCACACTATGAGCGAATTATAAATTAGTCCCTTTTGTTTCGAGAAACAAATTAATTAATCTCTTTAATTTTAAAACTCAATTATTAGTCTTTTTGTTAGTTTTAAATTTATTTTGATTGTATTTAATAAAAAAATAAGTAAAAATTATGAAAAAATTGATGAGAATATAATATATTTTATAAAATAAAAAAATTAAATTATTCATAATCAATATTAGTTAAAATGATTAAATAATTAGATTTTAAAACCAAACAGACTAATAAATTCGTTTCTTGAAGGAGGGAGGGACTAATTTATAATTTACTCACCATACTACAGTTTAACTTATACCGAAAAAAAAAAAAACAGAAAAGAAAAAAGACTTCCAATGCGGAGAATTTTCGGGAAGAGCCTCGAGGCTTCGAGTACGGTCCACCGTCCACGAAAACTGGGCAGGCAGCGAACCCTAAGCCCTTCTCGTAAATAATAATATAAACTTAATTAGTTAATTAAATCCAATAATACAGGAAATATAAATAATAATAAATAATGTAAAAAAAAGGTCAAGACCGCGACCTGAGACTCCTCTCTCTGTCCCCTTGTAGCCAATTAGCGATAGCCAATAGCAGCAGCTCTCTTTTTGCAACCCTGCTCCTCCGCCTCCACCTCCACCGCCGCCTTTGCTTCTGCCTCTATTCATATTCGATCTTTTGATTGATTTTAAATAATTGGTCGCTATTGATCGATCTATCTAATAAATAATTGATAATAATAGATCAAGATCTCTTTCTGTCTTTAGTATTTGATTGCTTGTTTGTTTATTTATAGAAAGAAAAAGAAGAGAGAATGGAGAATGGAGGTGGAGGAGGAGGAGAAGCAGAATATAATGACAATAATAATAACAAAGAAAAAGGAGGAGGTTCATACAGGTATTGGGTGAGGGAAGCAACAGCAGATGCAGCTCCTCTCCCTCTTCCAAAGAAGCTCTCTCCTCAAGAGCTACTTTCTCAACCCAGTTCCCTCGGCTCTGCCTGGAATTCGGTACGCAACTCCAGCATATCTTTCTTTTTTCCTTCGTTTTCTTCTTCTTGTCCTCTTTTATCAGTTGATTGATAATATACTTATATATATGTCTACCCTTTGCAGGCTGGAACATGGGAGGAGAAAAATCTTAATAATTGGGCCACTCAGAGGATCAAGGTCTGTCTGTACCCTAATTTTTCCTCCTAAATTAGTCATTAATGCTCTCGGTACTTTCCTTAATGCTCTACATTATCTTACCAAATATTCCACGCTTTATTCTTACTGTCGCAGGAGCTGCTCGCATCGGTGGGCTCCTTGGAGTTCTCTGCTGGCAAAGCAGAAATAGCAGATGTGTCCAGGTGTTCGGGTGATGTGAGTTTTTTTTTTTCCTGTTTAAATGTAAAGTTTAGACCATATAAACACCATGTTGTGTAATGCAAGTTCAAAGGTCAAAAGAACAATTTTTTTTCTTTTTTTCCTTCACGAAGAAAAAGGTTATCATCTTATCTGCCTGCATCATGGCAGGTTTGATGCCTGGAAAAGGGAGTTTCTTTGAAATAGGCGAGAGAAGTTTCTTTTCCCTTGTATGCTTTTTTGTAATGTTTTGTCAAAACTATGTTGGCTAAGATTTGCTACTCTTTTGGAAGTTACCAATAGTCATATCCCTACTTTAGACAGCCTACTAGGTTTCAGAAAACAAAAGAAGTTCAGAGGGAGTTGAGGTATCCATATTGCTTTCCATTGAAAATTATGCCAATTCAAGACTTCATAAAAGTATCTGACGGAAAAGTGGCAACTTTGAACTACTGTTTAATCTTACTATCATATTTCTCCTTTGTTTCTATCTGGGGAAACGCAAAAAGACATGACTTGGGTATCTTGGAATAGACTTTCTATTTCACAGTTAACTCTATAATTTTTTAAGTTGGATGATTGTTGTCATTCTCTGCGTTGTCTTTGAATTGTACTGCATATGCCAAATGTTATGAAAAAGCAAAGCAGAAGTTCTGTTACTCTTTAGTTCAGATCGAAATTGGAATAAACATCAGAATATGCGAGATAATTGATTACCTGGCCATCGCCTGATGCTCTTACATGTAAATTTGCCCCTTGTAGATTCAAACCTTTGTTCTACTTAAAATTATTTTGTTGTTGCTGCTTGTTCTTCCTTATTTCTTTTTGTGTCTCTTATTTAACAAGAGGTCCTGCACAAATATTTCAGTCATCATCTTTTTTTTCAACATCCGCGCATATTTAATATGCATGGGAAATTTAATTCCTTACTGATGGTTATTACTTGAGTGAGCAGGCATTCTTGGTGATTGTGAGGAACAAGAAACGTGTTGGATATACCTATGAGTTAACATTGAAAATTAAAGGTAACTTGGTGTCATTTAAAATGGCCTTCTTTCCCTTCTTAATCTATTTACTCTATCCTGAAAAAATTGGTATGTCAATGGAATTAGGGGAATGGATTGTCAAAGAGGAGAAAAGGGTGGTGAAGGGCAACATAGATTTTCCTGAGTTTTCATTTGGTGAGCTGGATGACCTGCAGGTAAGTTCTATATTTCTATTTAAATGTTTGGAGTATAAAATGAAATCTAGTTATAAGTGACAGGAAAATATGGGAAATTCAGGATGACCTGTGGAAAGATTGTGCAAAACCCCGTGGTATTTTTAGCCAGGTTGCTGGTGTGATACTCTACTCCCTGCTGTTTGCTCCATCATCCTCTCATCAAAATAACTTAACGATGAGAAAACTTCTCAGTTTTTGAGTTTATAATGTGGAATAGAGTAATTGCTACAGCGAGGGCTTGCTTGTAACCTGTAGTGGCTCAATGAAAAATTATATAGCAGGCAAAAGGTCAAATAGCCCATAAACTTGCGTTAGTCAAATTAATTAGTGGCACTTTTATTTTACCAAACCATTTCTTTGCGTATTCATCTATATGGATGTTTGTGTCAGGTTGCCCCTATCTGTAAATGGACTTTAGTCTAATGATTAATTTAAATTTTTTGTTCCTGTTATTCCAGATGCAAGTACAGCTTAATGAAGAGAAGGATCTCTCGCAGCAAGATAAGCAGCAGATCAGTCAGGATTTGAAGCTGTTTTTACAGCCTGTCCGTGCAAAGTTGCTCCAATTTGAGCAGGAGCTCAAAGATAGATAGAAATAGGGGCCAGTAAAGGCATTTTCCTAAAAAATCTTGCTTCGATAACGTTGTTAGACTGTAACCCTAATTTTTTAGCGATGAGTTTGGTTTTTTCCCCAATATATGTAAGGTAACAAAAGATGATTAAAGGAGACAACAGTTTCCTGGTCATGCGCTAAATATGCATGGACAAACAGTATTTGAGATGGACTTAATTGGGTAATTGGATTATGTCACGTTCAACTTTCAGATTTATCTGTGGTGGTTGTTTATGATGACCGAATTTATTCCATCTTCTAGTAATTATCAGGTTGAAGTTGTGTTTTACTTGGTGATGGCTTTGTTTGCGTTTGCTTGTATGGTCAGCTAATAATGCTAATCATCTAAATTGAATTTTCTTTCACTGAGAAATCTGAAAGTAGTTTATTTGGTGATTGCAATGAAACATGCCAAATGGCCTGTAGGAATTGGAACAGATAAGATTGGGTTAGCTGGGTTGTTGTTTTTTATTTTGGAGTGTCCGAAGGAGAAGTGAGGAAAGAACAAAAGCAAGAAGTAAAACTAACGTTGCCATGTTAGGGTTTGACGTCCCAGTTCTTCCAGAATTTATCTAAACAGAACCTTGTACGTACAGCTTGGAGAAGGCCATGCAGTCTAGGAAATGTCCGCACCAACCCTGTTGAGCTCTTGTCCTTTTTCTCTTTTCTTATTCGATGCAGGTCTGTCCTTAACAAGCAAACATACAAGTTTTACTCAGCACTGGATTTTTTTATTTTTTAATATATGATCCGGTCGGAATGAAAATGATATCGAATCTTTCTATGTCAATGGATTTTTGTTCGTAAATTGTAGGGATTAATACTGAATCCGAGTAAGAATGGCAATAATAAAATGACAAGATTAGGGTGGCGAGAGAATTAAAGAAATTCTCGTAAACTTCTCCTTCATTCACAATAAATTGATTACTACAATATAATTATGTTAACAAGCTATTTAATTAACATTGTTGACTTGACTAATTCATGATAATTACCTGCCAAGGGATTCCAATAATGTAACAGTGCAGAGGAAACACAAGTAAAGCATTCATTGGTGGGTTTTTCCTCGTTTTTGTATGATGCAGGAATAGGGTAGACAGAAGCCAGCAACCCACTTCCTCTTTCTTAACGCAACGCAATTGGGCACCTCTCGAGGTGATTTTTTCTCTATTATGCTCTCCTTCTCCTCCACACTGTGAAGGGAACTTGAGCTGTCCAACAAAAATCATGCACTGGTTTTTTTCACTTTATCTAGGTTTTTTTTTGAAGATTTCATGCATTTTTTCCTTCTACATCAGATGATGTTCACTGCAAATTATGGACGTATTATATTCTGCAGGTTAAGTTGTTGAGGGTTTCTTAATTGTTTAGTTAATATAACGTAAGTTTTCCTTGTGTTTCCAGATATATATCCTTCAATATCTGCTACTTGGAGAAGGTGACAGAGAATATTATGATATCTAGCGTATTGCTGAAAAATAGAGCTCTGATCATCTGAGGATCATGAAATTCCAAAGTACTGTGATGCCCTATAATAGAAGGCATCATTCTGAAGGGGTGATGCAAACCCATCTTTCTTCAGTGAATGCTGCTCAGTTAGTAGGCTTATATTCTTTAAATAAAAATCTGCCACATTCTGCTGTTCTGCCTGACTATGCACAACCAAAACCACCCAATTCCCTCAGACAGTCACCTTTGTTCCGGCCGAGGACATTAAACGTGAGCCCTGTCTTAAATGATCTTGCTTCTCCCAGTTCCGTTGGCCAACCTCGAAAAAGCACCATGTTATGTACCAGTTTACACCCATCATTTTTTACACCACCTGATACCGATCTTCAGTATCACACCTCACCTTTCCTTGCAAATCCGCTAACTGGTGATCATAACACTCCTTCTGTAGACTCTCCAGACTCTTTATTTCTTATGGCTCAGGATGCAATCACTGAGTCTGAAAACGAAAATTTGATGCCTGTCCTTGATGTCCCGGATGAATGCTCTGGTGGGACGACCTTTGAAGGTTTGCACGGCACCAAGGAGAGTTTGACATCCGCAGAGAAGCTTGTACTTCAATATTTGTCCAAGGAGCTTGAAATTCCTACTGATGAAGGCTCTCAAATTCCCACACTTGACGTAAGTATACCTTTTCTTCTTTTCTTTTCTATAACACTACTGACTTTGTTTTAGTGTAAAATACAGGAAGCTCGGCAGGTTTCATCAAATCCTGTCATTGATTTGGATTGCAATGAAAACTATCGTTCTTCACCTGCACAAACGGATACCAAGCTTAATCGACTTCATGAAGCTGCAACTTCGCAAAAGCAAAGAATAAGATGGACGACTGAACTTCATGATCGTTTTGTCGATGCAGTTAAAGCCCTTGGAGGCCCTGACGGTGAGTTCAATATTATCTTTGACTGACCAAGAAAATTGCAATTGTTTCCTTCAATAACTCACATTTTCGACTGCTAATATATTGTAGTTGCAACACCAAAAAGTATATTGGGTATGATGAATGTTAAGGGCTTAAATATCTATCATGTCAAGAGCCATTTGCAGGTAACTTGTCTATGCATTGAGGTTTCATCATAACAGACAACTACTAGGACTAAGTGCCTTGTGATTTGCAGAAGTATCGACTTGCTAAAGATGTGCCAGAAGGCCCAGAACAGAAGCATGGTATGACCTTATCATAGAAAGATGCTTATGCTTGTATCATTCTTAGAACCTTATATCCTGCTTCATATATTATTCTGTTTCATCCATGATTCTTTGAGTTCGTTGCTAGAGATGCATTGGTGGAACTGAAATTGGTTTATAATTCTACGTTCTGTCATTGTATAGTTGGCTGCAGGTGATATTATTTTTGCAGAAAATCTTGCTCATGTCTTGTGGAATATGTTGGTCTTCGAAAAAGTCCTTTTGTCATACTAACCTTCCTCTTTTTTTGATCTATGGAAGACAAGTAGCTTTGTCATATGATTCCAAAATCTATTACAAGCAACTGCAAGTTTGTGGGTATACTGCTAGGATAGCGCCATGAAAAAAAAAAAAAAAAAAAAAAGATTTAACCTTCAGATACTCTTCGTATTCTTATAGAACTTTAGTTAATCAACAAAATAGCTCTGTGATGGTTCCAACTGATTCTACTAATTCTTTTCCTCTCTTTCTTTTAAAGCTTTTGACCAGTAACCTAATTTCTTACATGTTTTTACTTCTTGGTGTCTAGACAAAAGCATTTCCACCGGGGTAGAGAGTGCAGCTTCTTCGTTGAACAATGAGAGTGATGTACATGTCAATGAGCCCAACAGGTCAATGATTAGTATCTTCATCTTTTTCCTTTTTTTTTCTTCATTGGTTCATGGCAAACGACCTCCAATGAATCACTCTCTTGCAGAGACGTGCAAGTAACACAGGCTTTGCGCACACAAATTGAAATTCAAAAGCTGCTGTACGAGCAGCTTAAGGTGAATTGATGTGTTCTCAATTTCAAGTCTTTTTCTTGTATTTATGACTTTCATGAATGTTGATGATTTTATGCTATTTATAGATGACAGATGTAAGTAGTCAGACTTACAAAGACGTAGACCACAATTATGGGGAAAATTAATTAAAACACAAGAGTTTTGGGATTAGCATTACAGGATAATTTAAGATGGTTTATTCATGGGCAATACAAGCCTGTAGTCATTCCCGAGTAAATTTGTAGTATTATTATCTTTACTTTCTTCTGGTTTATGGCTATTGCGCAGTCACAAAAAGAACTTCAGATACGCATTGAGCAGAATGAAGAGTTCTTGAGGAAGTTACTGGAAGAACAGAAAACGATTCAGACCCACGAGCCATCATCATCTGCGATCCCTGTCCCAGAATCCGAACTGCTGCCTCATTCTCCATCTGCTGATGTTTCCTCACCAAGGCCAGCTGCAGTGAGAAGTGACTGCTATTTATCCCAACCATCAAATCACAAAGCCTCTGACACCACAGATTCTGAGAAGGCAAAATGTCCTAAACGGGGTCGAGGACAAAAGGAGATTCTGATCACACTCTAAACTAGATGACAATTGCAGAAGGCGAAAGTTCACCAGAAGACCAGACATGTTGAAGAGCCTTGTGTACCCTTTGCACTCATGTTCTTGCGTATATTGTGTAACACTTGGTAGTAAAGAAAATACTGTTGTGTGCAAATTTCATCCCAATAAGAGATTTAAAAATTTTGATGCCTGCCTCTTCAAACAAGCTGAGGTGAGCTAGCTGAGATCTTCAATCTGTTCTAAGAAAATCAAAATTGAAGTTGAAGGAGAGAGAATCTGCCTAATTTATGCAATAGGAGTTCAATGCTTTGAGCTCAAATTGATGCTCAAATTGTTGGTTTGGCTCTTCTACCTCCGTATTGAGTAGATATCACTCAGTTAAAGAAGGACAAGCAATAGGTAGAAATTTCTCAGTTTAAAAGTAGGAAACGAAAAGAAAAGATAAGAAATCAACGTGATGGTAAAAGAACACTCAAATCATAATTTCTCCATAAAAAAAAAAAAAAAAAAAGACCTGTTTTTCATCAGAACTGCTAAACATTTCGGTTCTCTGAATGTAATAAAATACATGCTGCAGTCATCAACCGATCACTCTTTGATGGAGATACACTTCCACTTTTCTTCTATTTTCAGTGGCTGTGTGTATCGTAAACCATTTTAACAGGAATATAAGAACATGACCAAATATGGATCAAACACACGGTTAAGGGACATAAGAAAGGCCTCATTTCCAATAAACCAAAGATAGGTTGAAATCAGAGGCCTCTGGTGCCTGCTAGCCAAGACAATAAGGAAAGTTTAACTTCGTAAGATGCTCTATGCATCTACTTCTCGTTGTTTTTTCTCTTTCGTGATCTGCTTAGAGCTGCTTTGGCACGTGACCATTCTTTCACTGATGCCGCAGTCCTCATAAATGAACAAGTTTCTCCAATGGAAACATCTCCCAAATTTGTTTGCTTCAGAGCTGAATTGCTTTTCTTCTCCACCACTGGAGCAGAAACCTCAGTATTGCCTACTTCAATCTGCTGGCTCATTGTTACTGTATTTTGTAAGTTACGCTCCTTTCTGACCCCGAAATCTGACGTTCCATCTAAGGTAGGATCAATATTGCTCTTCTTAAATATATCATGTGTACTCTTCCTAGACTTGGTAACTTCCAAGCCATCAGGTTTTGATGGCTCTATGTTTCCAAAAGTAACACCTGGCAAGATTTGTGAGATACTGAAAGCATTGCTGTTATTCTTAGCGACCAATTGTGTCCATGAGGATTTGCTGAGCCATGCATAACCTCTGCCTGGCTTAGTTGAAGCAGAATCCGGTTTTGTAGACTGAGCTTCTGCATGCCCTCCCACTTCTTTTATGCTGCCAAAATGGTCATTTTGATTTTCTTGCAGCAAGGAATTATTGTTCTCACTGTCCCTAGAGCTGGGCAAATTATCAGATTTGGATAGCTCTTCCTTACTGGATGAATGACCTGGCAACCTTTCTGATGCATTATCAGATTTGGATTGCTGTCCCAGCAAACTCCCATTACCTCCAGGCATAGCAGGCATTGGCTCAGTTGTATTATTATCTTCATGTAGAACTGATTTCCTCTTCTTGTTCGCAGGTGCAGTGTTTCTTTTCTGCTTTTTTAGAACATTTTTAGACGGCTCATCTTTAGAGGTTTGCCTACTGTTGAATCTTGATTTCTGGGTATTTGAGGTAGCAAATGGAGTTAAATTCCAACTTGAAAGAGAAATAACCACAAGCACAGATGGCAACAAAATACAAAGACTTCTCATTTATGGAATATTAAACTGTACCTGATCAGCTACGATGGCTTCCTGGGCTCCACTAGCCATGTTAATTATGAGGTTATCGTCACCTTCATCGATATCTCCTTCCTTCTCTTCAAGTGGCGGGCTACCATTTGTTGTGATGGAATCATCTGGTTGCTTGTCCAGTTCAATCTCACGGAGTGCAGTTATTTCGTCTGTTTTCCTCTTCATGTTAAACGGTGCAGTGTTTCTTTTCTGCTTTTTGAGCCCATTTTGAGACAGTTCATCTTTAGAAGTTTGCCTTATGTTGAATCTTGATTTCTGGGTATTTTAGGTAGCAAAATGGAGTTAAGTTCAAAATTGAAAGTGAAATAACCATGGCAGTAGATGCCCCACCCCACCCCACCCCCACAACCCCAACCCCCCCCCCCCCCAAAAAAAAAGAAAAAAAAAAAAGATGCAGATGTGATTGATGGAGTATTAAACCATACCTGATCAGTTAAGATGGCTTCCTGTGCCCCACTCGCAATGTTAATTATGAGATCATCATCATCTTCTTCAGTAGCTTCATTCTCTTCAATTGGCAGATTATCATTTGTTTTGATGGAATCATCTCCTTGCTTGTCCAGCTCAACCTCATGGCATGCATTGTCTGAAACGTTTTCCATCTGAAAGAGCTTATTCATCACAGAACTCATCAAATTGAGTTCTTCTTCATCCAGCCCGGCACCCTGTTCTTCCTTAGTAGGAATGTGTCTGTGTTTAGCTGGAGGAGGAGGACCAGAGTGTTCTTCACAATCACAGAAATGCTTGGGAAGAGGAGGTACTTCAACGCGTCTGAAACTGTACCTGTGTTTGCCACTTCCACTAAAAGGTATTGATTTCAACTGCACCTCAAACAGACGTTTACAAGCATAAGCATACAATAGAATGTTGCATTGATATAGCCGAAGACATATCTAAGCGTGATAATAATAACAATAATAATAATAGTGCTAGTACTCACCTTTCCTAATCTGGGGAAGAAGAGGCGAAGTTGCTTATTTTCTGAAAGGAGCTGTTTGCCGTTGGGCTTTCCAGAAATGGGCTGCTTCTTGTTGGTGGGATCATCTTGAGCATGATCATCATTAACATGAAGACTAGGAGTGGAAAGGAGAGCCTCTTGATCTTGAGCCCATTCACGCGTCATGCGAGCAAGATAATGCTCTTTGGCATTCTCAAGCCTAAGCTTTCCACCCTTCCACACACACCCATTATACTGTACAGGCACAGGCAGCCACAATCTACTTTATTACGATTACAACTATAACAAGCAGCTTTATTAATCAAATTAATCAATTAATTACTTAACAATCATGATGGAAAAAAAAAAAAAAAACCCACCAAATAGACAACAGTATATACATGTGTGAAAACTGACACAGATTGAGAGATTAATGACCAATACAGTAATTTATTAAGAATGGCAGGAAAGTGCTACACAACAGAGATGATGAAACATGCAAAGAAAAAAAAAGTTCGTTTTTCTTGGATAAATCGATTGAGATCGAGTAACAACAATAATAGTGGTAAAAGGAAAAGAAAGTTGGAAATCTAAACTGAAATTACATACGGTGTTGAAGAGCTTGAGGAGGGAGTTGTTAGAAGAAGGCAGGAAATCGATGTAAGCAAAGGAGCGGCCTTTGCTTCTGATAATTTCCATTGATTGAATCCCTAAACCCAAACTCTTGTTCGATGAAAATATGTTGTGCAGGTCATCGCTACTCACTCTCTCTCCCAATCCTCCCACGAATATCCTTATCACTGCTTCTTCTTCTGCTGCTGCTGCTTCGTTCGTCATTCCCTTCCCTTCCCTTCCCTCTGTTTTGTTTATTGTCCCAGCCCCCATCCCTCCTGGTGGTAGTATATATTTTTCGCTTTGATGATGGGCTCTTGTTTAACATAAATGGGCTTTCTTGATATGGGCTCTGTTAAACATAAATGGGCTAATTGATGATGGGCTCTTGTTTAACATAAATGGGCTTTCTTGAGATGGGCTCTGTTTAACATAAATGGGCTCGATTGATGATGGGCTCTTGTTTAACATAAATAGGGTCGCTTGATGATGGGCTCTTATTTAACATAAATAGGGTTGCTTGATGATGGGCTCTTGCTTAACATAAATGGGCTCGCTTGATGAAGGACTCTTGTTTAAAATAAAGGGGGTAGCTTGGCCCAACCCAAATCTCTTTGAATTTATTTATTTATACAGTAAATTATAAAGTAGTTCCAATAGTTTCATAAAACGAGTTTCTTAATCCTCATAGTTTTATAATTGAATCCTTTGGTCAATCTCCAGTTCTTTTTCAATTTTTTTTTAATTTATTGAGAAAAAGAATAAAATAGAAGTAAATATTTAGGTACATCTAGTTAGAAAATAATTCAATTTTAGAATAAAAAATTACTAAATTGAGGACAGTCAAGTTCAATCGTGCAACAAAACTGAAGGGACTGTTCCATTATTTCTGCTATTATAAGGATTAATGGATTAAATTTAATAAACTACAGGGACTAAGTTATGACTAATTCATTATTTTTATAATGTCGGTAAATATAAATATATATACAAACGGAAGGGAGGGAAGCAGAGCAGAGCCTAAACTGATGCAGAAACGCCAGTTTCAATTCAGGAAGAATCAAGAATAATGTATAAAAAGAAAGAACCCTGCAGAAATTTTCAGCGGGGAGGTAATTACTTTCCCAATTATCAATTATTTTTTCTTTTTATTTATTCTGTGTAGCTAGGAAATTGAAGTAGCGTCAGCAAACTGAAGATACTCATGTTCTTTTTTTAGGGTTTATTTATTCATTCATGATTTAAGTGCTGATACTAGCCACTCCTCCGCTGTGTTTGTTTTGGTTTAGCTGTCAGTACGGAGATAGATGCAAATTTCTTCATGTCACTCCTCAACAACAACCCAAATCCAACAATAATCCCTTTGGATTTGGCAATCAACAAAGACCTACTAACCCTTTTGGATTTGGCAACCAGCAACAACAGCAGCAGCAGCACCAAAGACCCAACAGTTCTTTTGGGCCTGCCTCTAATAATTTTGCTAATAGCAGACCTCAGCAATTCAAGGTTTTTTTTTCTTTTTCCCTTTTTATATGTTATATTGGCTTGCATTTTTACACTTGTTACTCAGTCATGATTTTTTTTTTATCTTTGTGATTATTTTTGTTACTCATAATTATACTTACTGCTTTATTGTGTTTGTGATTAGCCTTTTGAAAATAAGTGGTCCCGTGGTGGTGGTGCTGCTCCTTCATCGCGCCAACAACCTGATAATCAACACTCTCAGCCTGCCAATCATAAGTAACTGCTTATGTTTACTACTCCCAATTAGCACAACCTTTCTGCTATACCTTCAAACAAACATTTTCATTTTTTTTTCTAGACCTTTTTTTTTATTTGTACCCAATTAAATTGTCTATTTGGCTTGTTTACAGTTGCACAGATCCTGATTCGTGTAAACGTGTCATTGCTGAAGATTTTGAGCATGAGAGACCGCTTTGGAAGCTTACATGCTATGGTCATTTGAAAAAGTATGCCTCTTACTCCTTCAATCACTTCGAAAAAAGTTTGAAAAATCCACAATTTGGAGCATATGATTATCAATCATATATTCATTCATGTTGTATGTAGCTATTTCCTTTGTCTCTAACATTTATGCTACTATAATGTTGTCTTCTGGTCAATTTCTTGTATTCTGTCTTTGGTTTTGTAATCTTGCGTTTAAGCCCTCTCCTTTTTCTTTCAAACATGACTAATCCAATTGTGATGGACAACAATTAGTCATACTTGAACAGTCATGAACCAGTACTCTAGAAAAGGTTTCAGATTGAATACAGAACATTTGCATTATCTTATTACCTACACCAAGGATAAACAAGGAACCTCGCTTAAACATCATGCAAAAGAAGTTTGACATTCAAGAAGATATACCCTTAAGAGTCAAAGTACTATGATTGAAATGGAGAAAAAGGACGAGCACAGTCCCTGTTAGGCTGAAAGGGTGAAATTCGATAAGTAGAACGATTTGGAATGAAAAACCAGCTTACACTTCTTGAAAAATGCATGTTTGGAATAAATTTCTCAAGTTCTGTGATTGTAAACTGTCATGTCATACTAAGTTTCTATGATCACGGTTTTTTTTTTTTTTTTTATGTCTCAGTGGACTTCCACCATCTGATTTGAAACTGTCTGACAAGTTTTATTGCTTTCTTGTTATTTTGAGGATGCAGTGGATTGAGATTTTCCTTTTTTCTGTATGTAGTGGCCCTTGTGACATCATTGGTGATGTTAGCTACGAAGAATTGCGAGCTGCAGCATATGATGATTATAAGCGCGGGTTGAACTTGCAATCAATTGTAAGAAAAACAAAGCACACTGCTTTTCAGATCCTTCTGCTGCTTGCTTATACTTGTTAATAGTAGATACTAATATTTTTGTTTTCTGTTGTCATTGGTTCTCTCACTGTCATTGCTCATATTTGTTAACAGTACATACTAAATTAAAGCTAATGTTGTTGCCCTTGTTCAGTTATTACTAAACACATACTTCTGCAGGTTGAAAGAGAGAGAAGTTTACTCAATTCGAAGTTGATTGAGTTCAATAACCTTCTTCGCAATCCCTATATAGCACCCTCAAAGCCTGCTCCTGCTGGTCAGAGTCCATTCTTTGGAGCCACTGCCCATGCAATTCCAGCAACAGGTCAAAATACTGCCCCTCCATCAGTTTCCAGTTTCGGTCAACTGGGACCCTCTCTTAATATGAGGTTCGGAACCAGGCATGACTGTGTCCTAGGATTTTGTTCCGTCACTTTCCTAAAATCCATGGTGCCTGCTTGACTTTTTATTTCTTGAAATCCTATTCCTAGTATTCTTAGGCTTTCACATGTCATGTTAAGCAAATTGTCTATGTTTTCTCAGGCCTGCTGCACCATCAAATAATGCCTTTGGGCAACAAAGTCAGCCTTTGATTGCATTTGGAGTAAGGCAAGAAAACCTTTCCGAGCATTTTGGTTTTTTTTTAGTGATGTTAAAAAAAACAGTGTCTTTGAAATATTAATTTAATGAAATTTTGTTCCTTGCTATCTTATTGGCATTTGAAACATGTTAAGCTATTTTCTTTTCAGCCCCCCTGTACCGCCAAACAATGCCTTTGGGCAATCAAATGTTCCTTCAAATTCTAGCCAGACTGTGAGTGCATTTGGGACAAACAATCTTCCATCTGTAAATGCAGGTACGATTTTGTAGGTTTTTATATTTTCAGTTTTGATGTGCATGTTATGATCTATGCCTTCTGATTATCAGTCAAATGACAGGCCTGCTTGGTAGCCAACGCCCTAACCAGGCACTTGGAAATTCCTTCTCCCCCAATATAGTAGGCTTTGGCAACAGTGGTGTAAACAGCATTCAAAGTATTTCTTCTTCTCCATTGTCGATGCAAAACCCATCAATCGAGCCTCTTACTTTTAATACAGCGGGGCAAGCAACTACAAACATTCAGCCAGCGTAAGTATGTCGAGAAGCTGCATTTTCAAGCAAATTAGAAGCGGTCTCTTGAAATTATGAACTTCTGAGTGCTACTTCAGGACTAAGCCACAATGATATATGTTTTGGGTTGAAATTGCAATCTATAACAATCAGGACCTCTTTTCATCTTTGACAGAATTGTAAGATTTGAGAACATTGATTTTGCATTTGTGTTACACAATTTTCCTTGGTTTTAATTTTGTTCAGCTGAAGGCATTCTTTTTCCATATAGCTGCATCCAGGAAGAATCCAAATTCATATTTATCTTGTTTTTCTAACTGCTGTCCTCCTCCATCTTGACATTTATTGTCTTTGAACTACCTTCTACTCAGACGTAATCCTGTCTTCTTTACTGGTATTTATGTAGATAGAATATGAAAAATGTTAAAGAAATGGAGAATCCTAATTTGTCTGTTAGCTCATATCAGATGTGTAAACCTAACGTTTACCTGCCTGTTATTATCCTTCAGAAATACGGTGCAAAGGGAGACTGTTTCAGGGGATGCAAGCATCTGGTTAAAGGAAAAATGGATTCCTGGAGAGGTATGAAATTCCTTGTGTGCTTCTGTTATATGGGACTCGCAATTAGATCTGTTTTCCCAGTCAGAGGTTTATGAATTGAGAGATTTGTTTTTGGCATCTGCTTTTGATAGCCCATAAAATTGGGGAGACTAAAATCTGGAAGGAGGTAGAAATGTCAGCACTGCAACTGCATTAGAAATTGATTTTTATTTATTTATGTATTATTATTTATTTTTGCAATTACTTTCAAGTGAATTTTGGCCATTGTAATCCTTGATTTGCGAACCTTAGTGAGTCTAACTGGTCTCTTCCTTGTGCATACCCAGATTCCAGAAGAAGCACCTCCAGAGGAATATGTCTTCTAGAAAACATTTTGTTGGACATGTAAACTGTGAGGGCGGTTGACTGACGAGCTGTACAATTGGTAATAATTGTATCAGAGAGATGAATAGCCAGTCTTTTTCCATTTTTTTTTTATTTTATATATTGCCATAGAAACGTTTTTTTGGATGTAAAGTAATTAATATACATGTAGTAGTTATTTCATGTGTATTATAAAATTTTTCCTTGTAATGAAATGTGGATTGGCCAACTGAATCCTACTAGACCTGTTCCCAACCCAAGAAGCAGCATATGTAATAGAGATATGATTTCCTTGTAAGGATTAAAATATTTTTTTCAAAAATTTTGAGGATGAAAAAACTTATAAATGAATGACTAAAAAAAATTTAAGGATTAAAAAACTTTTTTATTGAAAATTATAATGATTAAAATGAATATTTTTGATGAATTATTTTTAACAGGCATTAAATGAATATTAAGTAGACAAATAAATTAATGTTGATCGGATATTTAGTACATAAGGATTTATATAGTAATTTTTTAATAAATAATGAGTAAGATTTTTTTTATAAATAAGATAAAAATTTGAATTAAGGATCGGATACGTGTACATGATTAGATACCATGACATGCCATGTCATAAAATATAGTTTTGAGTCCGACAAAGAAACTGGACCACGTTTGTGAGTATTGCCTTTGTGGATGGGGATTTCAGCAGTAACAACTTACATGGAAGAGAAAAACAAGGTAGAAACAGTAGTTCAGTCACGAATCAATTCACGATTGTCCGCAAATTTCAAATCTCTCCACCAGTTCAACCCAACCCAAAACATGGCTTTACTTGCTTAGCTTAGCTTTTACCTAAGCAACAACAGCAACAACATCAACACGTAGTATCATGTCCTGTCATCACGTCACAATTCACAAAGGAAGAATAATTCTCCAACGCAACGCGTTTTCATTTTCAAATTTCAGTTTTTTTTTTAATAAATATTCTGAAATTTGGACAAAGGCTCGTCTCTCTCCCCTCGAACATCGTGCAGACAGTGTATTTTGCGGGACCCATGTCTCCTCTCTCCCTCCCTCTCTGTCTTATTACCAATCAAATAACTCTGTTAGATCTCCTCTCCCACCACCCTAATCTTAACCTAATCCAGCGACCCTTTCTTGTAATTTTATGGTTAAACCTCCCTCCCAGCCAGAAAATAAATAAATAAATAATACTAATAATAAGATGAGTTGGAAATTCGATGCCAAATTAGCAATATTCTACTGCCTGTTAGTTACATTGACTTAATTGCCCCTTAAACAAAAAGAGAGAATTTGCTCCGGTTCCTCAATCTTAACTTTGGGCCACCTAGAGTTCTAGGCTATAATAATAGATTCCGTTCTATTTTTTTTTTTTTAAAAAAAGAAACATTGATTTGTATCCCACTGATGGTATGGTAGGGTCTGTTATTTTTATAATTATGCGAAATGCATTCATATTTCAATGAGTGTAATGTCATACCATACCATGCCATGCCATGCATGTGTCTCATGCAATTTCTGACTTCTACCTATGGGATGACTTTTTCTGATTTATTCGGAAAAACGAGTAATCAAGCAATGGCGCATGCCGAGAAATGGAACAAAATGCTGATTGATCACAAAGCTAACCCATGTCTCTGCTGTTGTTTTAAGCTCTTGCTAGCTACCTACGTACGTCCATTTTCACCACCTCAAAAGCACGAGTAGAACAGAGCTATGTAGCTAATGAATGGTCTTTTCTGTTAAAAGAAAAGGAGCAGTCAACTAGATTGCTTGGTCGTTTTGGTTTGCTAGGCTGGGACAGTGGCAGACACGTCTTTTAGCTGTAGTCGGAGGACGATGGCAATAACACGTCAAAATGGCAAAAAGGGTTGGAATTTTTTGGGTGTCCACTCACAATAACATTTCTCATTTCTCTTCCTGTTTTTATGTACAGACGTGCCATCATGTTATGATTTGAAATTAGTCCGAAACAACAACTAATTTTCAATGCCCACGGCAGCATTACCGCTAACCTTTCAAAAGATTAATTATTGCTAGTTAAATGAATAAATATCTGAACTCAAAAGGATTATGTTAGTATTTAGTACTGCTAAAATGAATAAAAAATGGAACTTTAAGAGAAAAAAAAATAATAAAAGAAGAAGTGGGGTGGTAAGTTAAAAGAGAAAAAACTACAGCAATGAAAAGGGCAAAAAGGCTAAAAAAAGGGCTTTATAAAACAAGGCATGGGGAGATGGGAATGGGCACACTATCCATCGTATCTCTTATGAAGACACAAACTCTCTCCTTCATGTGACTTGCTTCTCTTCGTACAAGCAATCATCAATGTCTTCTGCTTCTCCTCCTCGCTTATTCTTGATTCTTTTCTTGCTTGTTTCGGCTTCCTCTCTCTTCTTCCAGATCTCCTCTGCAGCCCATGAAGATGGGGATCATGACGTAGACGTAGATCCAAACCTCAAGTTTGAGAACCCAAGGATCCGCAGAGCCTACATTGCCTTGCAGTCATGGAAACAAGCCATTTATTCAGACCCATTCAACTTCACAACGAACTGGAAGGGCTCAAACGTGTGTTCTTACATGGGGGTCTTCTGTGCTCCATCTCCCAACAACAAGAAAATAAGGGTGGTGGCTGGCATTGACCTCAACCATGCTGACATTGCTGGCTACCTCCCCAACGAGCTTGGCCTTCTCGCCGATCTGGCTCTCTTCCACATCAACTCCAACAGATTTTGTGGAGTGGTGCCCAACAGTTTCCGCAAAATGAAGCTTCTACACGAGCTGGACATTAGCAACAATCGGTTTGTGGGCAAATTTCCAAAGGTTGTGATCTCATTGCCTTCCCTCAAGTACTTGGATCTGCGCTTCAACGACTTTGAAGGTTCTGTGCCCTCCCAGCTCTTTGACAAGCCGCTTGATGCTATCTTCTTGAACGACAACAGGTTCCAATTTGGCATCCCAGAGAATCTTGGAAACTCTCCTGTTTCTGTTCTTGTCTTTGCGAACAACAACCTTGGTGGGTGCATTCCAGGCAGCATTGGGAATATGGGCAAAACCCTGAACGAAATCATTCTCATAAATGACAATCTCACTGGATGTTTGCCTCCTCAGATCGGGATGCTCAAGGAAGTAACTGTGTTTGACGTGAGCTTCAATCATCTTCAAGGCTCTCTACCTTCCAGCATTGGAAACATGAAGAGTGTTGAGCAACTCGACATTGCGCACAACAGTTTCACAGGTGTTATACCTGCCAGTGTTTGCCAGCTGCCTAACTTGCAAAACTTCACCTATTCTTTCAACTATTTCACCGGCGAAGCTCCAAGCTGTGTTGCTATCGGAGCTGTTGCTAATGGTACCCAGAATTGCATTCCTGGCAAGATGAATCAGAGATCGGCCAGACAATGTTCTTCTGAAGCTGCACGCCCTGTTGACTGCAGCAAGTTCAAATGTGGTGGCGGTGGTGGAAGTGGTTCTCCATTAACTCCACCACGACGGCCATGGAGAGGTTCTCCAGTTACCAGGCCAGCACCAAAGCCTGCTCCCATGAGAAGGCCATTTTTACCATCACGATCACCACCACCACCACCACCACCAACTTCCAAGTCTTCACCTTCCACCAGATCACACCCTCCACCACCTCCTACGAGGTCTTTCAATCCACCACCATCTCCACTTTTTGCATCCCCACCACCGCCTACTAAAAAAGTATCGCCCAGAACACAACTTCCTCCGCCACCGTCTCCACTCCCATCTCCACCTCCACCTGTAGAGCAACAGCCACCAACTTATCACCATATACCGCCGCCACCGCCACCACCACCTTCCCCTCCTCCCCCCAACCATTACCATTCTAATTATGCACCGCCGCCACCTCCAACCAAAAAGGTCTCACCACGCACGCATCACCGTGTACCACCACCTCCAGTACCAGTGGTGCAGAGGCCTTCGGTGCCTAAACATAAACCGCCACCACCCCCACCTGCCTATCAATATCAAGCACCGCCGCCGCCAATGCAGTCAGCTGAAGTTCCACCACCAAGTTACCACACTAACTCTCCACCACCACCCCCTCCGCCAACTTATGGATATGCACATTCTCCTCCTCCTCCAACCTGGCCTACATCTCCACCTCCAATGTATCAAACGCCACCATCGCCGCCGCCGCCTTCACAAGAACCATGGCTTCCCCTACCGCCTCCACCATCAACTGGCTGTATCATTCCAGGATCACCACCGCCATCATCACCTTCACCAAGTTATCAGCACCCACCACCACCACCGTCACCTACACCAAGCTATCAGCACCCGCAATCACCTCCACCACCACCTCCTCAACAGCAATGGCATTCTCCACCGTCAACATACCATCAACAAAGTCCTCCGCCGCCACCACCACCGACTCCATCGCCACCCCCGCCCGCAATTGAGAACACAGTACCACTTCCACCGATTGTAGGAGTATCGTATGCATCTCCTCCTCCCCCAGTAATTCCCTACTACTAAGTGGCAGGTTGGTGGCAGGCATGAGATGATACACTACAAGGATTAATGGCGCGGCTTCTAATGTTTTTGTTTTTTTTTCCTAATATTGTTTCACAAGGAGAAGGATAATTAAGAAGATGCGAGTCAGTGATATTGAGAAATATTCTTTTGCGTCTACAGCACTGACGATCATCCATCCATCGGTTCTGTTCCACAGCGACATTGTGTGTTTTTGCCAAAGCAAATGCTATCATTCTTTTTTTCATTTTAATTTGATTTTTATTTTATAAGAAGAAACTAAGTTCATCAATTTGTAGCAATTAATAACATATATCTATATTGTATAAATTATTTCTGTTTATTCTGAGAAAAAAAAACCCTTTTAATATCGTTTGTTTGTATTAAATCGGTAAATCAATTTTTTTTATTTAGCCAATAACGAACATTCTAATTTTGAACTCTGTGTGCTTCCCTTGTCGTCTATTTTCATCTGCCTTTCGAATATCTATATCCTAAGTGTTTCATGTAAGGTTTTAACTTTGCTTATTCACAGAACAAATATATTAAGATCATTAACGTGTTATTATATTAAAAAGAAGATTGGGAATTATGGAAAAAGGAGTCTAAATCAAAATTAAGAAAAATGAGGTGGGGTGTGGTTGTGATAGAGTCACGTAAGATCACATCTCATGTTAGTTTTATTCTTTTTGAAAAAAAGAAAGTATGATATTTTAGTTAAAGTTGTGCCATTTGATTAACAAATTTTCGAATGTTTAATCAGAATTGAAGGAAGTTGGATCGAAATTGTCTAAATACGATGAACATAAGATCGAAATTGTGCCATTTGATTTAGCGAATGAAATTTATTAGTAAAATTTTTGGTAAGAGTGTCATTGCTTAAAACTTGACATGGATGCATGCATGTATTTAATGTAGAGGACCTACTCTACTTCAAAAGTGGAGAGTGGAATTTTCAGACCCAACAAGGCGAAGCTTTAACTAGATTTCGAGATTGGGATACGTAGGATGTACGACTCCTTCAGCTCGAAGTAAATATGCAAGGTGGAGGGCTCCTCTTCATGACTTCAAAATAATAATGTTGTCTGCAGCATTGCATTGAATTTGCTCTTCTACACTGGCACATAGAAATTAAAGGGCATTCATGAATTCTGATGGACGAGCAATTAATGATATATATATATCCCCAAAGTTTCACTAATATGCATGTATAGGGTGGATCGGACGGAAATGGCAAGTGGAGAGTGGGCCAACAGCTAGCTATATAAAAGGGAATGATTCCATGATTGTGTTTGGAGTTGTATTCATTCTAGCACCAAGTTTCCACCTATTCAATTGGATAGGTTTGGCCTTTTTCTTAATTTTTGAATTCAAATCTTAAATAATGGGTGCTAGCTATATGTAGATTGTGTGTCCGAGAAAGGAATTTAATCTCACCGGAATTTTTTTAAAAAAAAAAAAAACCAAAAAATCCCCACTTGTTACCATGGAAACTTAACTGCCCCATAATATATCTTCAGAAAGGTTAGGTTGAGGAGTTGAGACATCAAACTGTGGACCTGAGGCTGGCAGAGGCAACGCAAATTGCAATTCCTCCTCTCGTACAATACAATTACGAAGAAAGTATTTCAGGATTTTCATAGCCAGGGAGGCCCAACTTGCTTAGAGTTGGGCTCAATTAATACAATTATAAATAAAGTACTTTATATTTCTCATAGCCAAGAAGGCCTGACTTGCTAATATTTGGGCTTAATTACAAATAAAGTACTTTATATTGCTCATAGCCTGGGAGGCCCGACTTGCTTAGATTTGGGCTTAATTGATGCAATTACAAAGAAAGAACTTTAGATTTGTCAGGGAGGCCCGATTTGCTCAGAGTTGGGCTTAATTAATGCAATTATAAATAAAGTGCTTTATATTTCTTATAGCCAAGAGGCCAGACTTGCTAATATTTAGGCTTATTTAATACAATTACAAATAAAGTACTTTAGGTTTCTCATAGCCAGTGAGGCCTTACTTGCTTAGATTTGGGCTTAATTAATGCAATTACAAATAAAGTACTTTAGATTTGTCAGGGAAGCCCGACTTGCTTATATTTGGGCTTAATCAATACATTTACAAATAAAGTTCTTTAGATTTATCATAGCCAGAGAGGCCTGACTTGCTTAGATTTGGGCCTAATTAATGCAATTACAATGAAAGTACTTTAGATTTATCTTATCCAGGGAGGGCCGAGTTGTTTGGATTTGAGCTGAACCAATACAATTATAAAGAAAGTATTTTAGATTTCTCGTAGCCATTGAGGCCCAACATTCTTAGATATGGGCTTAATTAGGAAGAAATACATACACACCTACTTGGGCTTTATCCCAAACCTATTGGGCACAGCAATGCACCGGAAGATGTGATATGATTTTGATGAGCCCAGCATCGCTAACAGTGACAAGTGAGAGGCAAAGAATAGAAGGGCTAAATTGAATTATTAATATCTATTGGAAGTGTAACCAAAATATTGCGATTTATGGAGACCAATTTGAAATTTATTTTATTGATTTGTATGCGCGTAATTGTTAACGGAACAGAAAAAAGTAAACGGTAGACAGGAAGGAAACTTCTCCCTCTCCCCCCCCCCCCCCTCTCTCTCTCTCTCTCTCTCTCTCCTCACAGTGTTTGTTTGTGTGGAAAGTAAAATCCAAAATCCCTGTTTATTTATTTAAGATCTATGCTCATCACTGACTCACTCTTTCTCTCGGTGTGTTAGGGTTTCATTTCATCACAAGTAAGTAAGCTCTCTCGATTTCTTTTTGTTTGACTAATTAATCAATGCTTGCTTTATTTTTGTTCATTGCGTGTTTGATCGGCTTGGTTTTGCAGGTATTTGACGAATTGAATTGAATTAAACAGAATGGTATCTTCTTATCTCTTTCTTTCTTTCTTTCTTCATTAATTATTATTATTCCCTTTTCTAGTTTGGTGATAGAATTTGAGAGTTTACTAACAAATGGGATGGATGGATGATCAGAATTACCTAATTGGAGCGTTCAAGCCGTCATGTAATGTCTCCATCACTTTTTCCGATGCAAAAACTCGCAAGCAGGTAATTTTTAAGTTTAATTAATTGTATCCATCTATCTATCATCATTTGTAATTGTGTACTCAACAAATCAGATCACATTGGATAGGTTCCTCTGAAAAAGGAGAATGGTCAGACGCTGATGGTTCCCCTCTTCCATAGTCAAGAAAACATTGCTGGCAAGGTATTTTATACTTGTGCTCTTTCATACTGATGCCCCCCTAATGTAATGCAGTGGATTAGTATATCTTGAAACGCATAATTCATTTGTTTTGCTGTGCTGTGATGTGCTGTGGGATGACTTGTTCAGATTTCTATAGAGCCACTCCAAGGGAAGAAGGTTGATCACAATGGTGTCAAAGTTGAACTTCTTGGCCAAATTGGTTAGTTTACTTCTTTTGTTACATTCCTTGAAAGAAAATGGTTGCTATCGTAACACAGCCTCTGAGGAAACTTGCCACTTTAGTTTTCATGATTGCTATCATTCATGACTGGCAGTTCAGTCTCAACTTCCAAATATTCCTTTTTTGTTAGTTGTTAGTTAAAAATTATTATATTTTTTGCTTCTCCTCCCTTAGGATTGGCCTAACCATTGCCTTTGTTTTTGGTGCCGGCTTCTGAAGAAAGCCTCGTATAATAGTGGTTTTGCACAATACAGAACCAAAACCAGACTAGTAATTTAAAACCTGTTGATTTGCCTTTCTCTGAAAATTCTTTGTTAATTAAAAATACAAAAGCTGGTATTTGACCCATGAAAGACCATGCGAATAAGTTTCTCGTGCTAGCTGTACAAATAATTATAATTTTAATTATGACTACTGCTTTGTTTCTTTTAAAATAACCATCAATGAGGTTGATGAGTTTCACTAGCTCTCCTGCTGTGAATTTGAACTGCTCTGTTTTCTAGTTAGTTAAAGTTGGATTATTTTGTACCACATGCATTTTAACTTGTGTCAGTTGTCCTGCATGTTTTCTTCTGTCCTTCAATTGCTTTCCAAACATTTAAGGAACTTTTTTATCTACTTTGCAGAGATGTATTTTGATAGAGGCAATTTTTATGACTTCACATCCCTTGGTGAGTATTCAATAAATGTTTTTTATTGCTTTAATTCTATTATTTTCTTTACATGGTTTCTGTTTCGCATGTGGAAATCTATTTAGTTTATTGCAAAAAAATTTGAAACCGAGATTGGATCAGCTGGCCTGACTAGACACCAGTGAACCCTTTTATTTGGTTTAGGTTACCACCCAAGTCCTTCCTGGTAAAATCCTTGGTGAATTGTTTTGACCAATGATAAAACTGTTCACTGAAGAGTGAAAATGTTAAACTTTTACTAGTTCAGTGTCTCAAACGGTTGCTGTGCTATTTTCTGGTGAAATGCATATGTTATTTTATCTATCTTTATAAAATTCATTTTCTATGTACTATTGCATACTCTTATTTGCTATCAACAATTGTGTAATTAATTATCGATGATATATGATTGCTTGTATCCCCCATTGCACTCTGCTCAAGACCTTGGAAATAGTCATATTTGTACCCAAACATAATTGATTGGATTTCAGACATGATTCTGCCTTCTCGTGCTTGCAGTGCGTGAATTGGATGTTCCTGGAGACATATATGAAAGAAAGACATATCCATTTGAGTTTTCGACGGTTGAAATGCCATATGAAACATATAATGGGGTGAATGTTAGGCTCAGGTATGCCACTTATTTAGTCTTAAAAAATCACAAGTTACTTGTCTTTTTTCATATCCTTTCTGTTGGTTTTTTCAAAGGGATGTTTTGTGGACAATCTGCAGTTAGTTTTCATTTGCAAATCATTTCAAAATAAATTTAAGAGTTTTGAGAATGTTTTTAGATTCTCTCTTTGATTCATTCTGTGCCCCCCTCCCTGGGTTGAATGGCTGTTTTCTTAATCCAATTGCACTGGTTCGATTTTGCAACTGAAATATGGAAGTATCGATAAATATGGTAGCTCAAAGCATTATTTTATATATCAAGGCTCAAAACCATATGTAGCATGACTTTAATTTGGTTATTGGGTATTTCAACAATGAAAAGCTGCAGTTGATTGCTTATTTCTACAATTGAAGCCAAAAACAGTTAAGCATATAATCACAATCTTGTACCTTTGCTTCTATTGCTTCTTGATCATAACTGCATCTCTATCACACTGTTGGCTTTTCATGTTACTTTACCATTAATTTGTCATCTTTGAAGTTCAGCCTGCGGAGTAAAATAGCAGTTGTTGCCTGTTCATCCTATCGTACATCGATGCACTCTTAATATACAAATTATTGGAGAGATTTTTTCTTTTTTCACATTTACCACTTCAATTTTTAGCAGCCATACACTCAATAGCATGGCGGGAAGAGAGACAGGAGTGAAGTACAAAAGGAGTGCTAGAATAAGATGAGATTTGGAATATCAGTTGCTTGGTACTCTTTGTCACAATATTTTTCTCATTTGCCTTTTACAGGTATGTTCTGAAAGTGACTATCACCCGTGGTTATGCAGGAAGCATAATTGAATACCAGGACTTTGTGGTAATTTTAAAAAAACTAATGTCCTTTCTCTCATGTGTGCACAACCACACACAATGATTGATGCTTATTTGTATATCTATCTTACTTTTGGCTTGTATTTTGCAAATGGGACAAATCAAATTGCATTTTCTTGTTGGTTTATGAACTTGTTTTGATCTGGATAGCAGAGTGCATATGTGGGTGCTTAAGAGTGCTTTTATCATGAAAAATGGATTAAACATTGGCCTCACATATTTATTTAGCCTGAATGCTTTTCTAATAGCTGCATCGTGTTTCATTCATTTCTTTCTCGTGCCTTTTTTATTAACACTTCCTATGTTTGCCTTTATTTCATTTTTATGTATCAGGTTCGCAACTATTCCCCTCCGCCATCAATCAACAACAGCATCAAGGTAAGTGCAAAATTCTACTAGTTGTACCTGGAAACCTGAGCTTCAATGTTCATGTCTCAACTCATTGCGATGCCTCTAGTAGTTTTAAGTAGACAACTCCTTAATGTACAAAGTAATGAGTAGCAACCTAGCAATTATCACTGTGTAGAATAACCAGATAGTTTCTTGCTCTGTTTGTCTAATTCATGGTAAGGTAGCGATCTTTTGGTAATGCTAAGTCTTTATGTTCTTCCTAACAACTTGTGCAGATGGAAGTTGGCATTGAAGATTGCCTGCACATTGAGTTTGAATACAACAAAAGCAAGTAAGACAATACAGATTCTGTGAATAGGCTTTTCTTCAATCTCTTTTTGTTTGTTAAGCTCTTCTTTAGGCTCTAGTAATCCACGCTTGGCAGGATAATGAGATCTGTAATTTGAAAATTATGGTTCTTGTGGTTTTTGGGTTCTGTTGAACTGTGGCTTCTAATCGACCAACGTGACTTCCATTTATTGAAATTTGGATGTTGCTAAACTTGGTGGCTCTAACAGTGTGTTAATCAGCACCCTTGGGAGCTACATTATTTAGTTGTAGACTTGATTGAGATTTCTGCTATGTGGCTTCGAAGGATCTGCCTTTCAACTCATTGGAAATTAAATTATGCAGGTATCATCTAAAAGATGTGATTATTGGAAAGATTTACTTTCTTCTAGTAAGAATCAAGATAAAAAATATGGATCTTGAGATCAGGCGTCGAGAATCAACGGGATCAGGGGCCAATACACATGTTGAGACAGAGACGCTAGCTAAATTTGAGTTGATGGATGGAGCTCCTGTCAGAGGTATGTTCAGCATTCTTCTCGAAATTTCTTTTAATCTAACCTACATGACCGGTGACAGTATGTTGGATGCAGCACAAACTGCTTTATCTATGTGACTAGTTGAAAGTATTTTGACCAATTTTTCTAATTCTTTTAGTAAATACTGACCTGAGTTGTAAATATATTTTTTTATTGTTTTTCAAATTTAGATATTATGTGTTTGCTTTTGTATACTTGAGTTGGGGCGTCATTGTTTTTTGTTATTCAAGTCATTGACATGCAAGCATGTGGATATTGTTTCAGGTGAATCGATACCTATCAGATTGTTTCTTAGCCCTTATGAACTGACACCGACACATCGCAACATTAACAACAAGTTCAGTGTGAAGTATTATTTGAACCTCGTTCTGGTTGATGAAGAGGATCGTCGCTACTTTAAGCAACAGGAAATTACGATATACAGGCTGCAGGAAAGTTCTTAATTATGTTTTATCGATTGAAAAAGGAATAGATGATTAACTGCAACACCTTGTATAGCCTTGAAATTGTTGGAGAGGTTCTTGTTTTGTTGATTGGTCTAGAACGGCATCTATACTTGCTCGGTCGAGTGGTTATACTTTTTGTGCTTATTTGGACAAGTGTATGATACATACATTGTACAAAACCATTTGCCAAAACAGTTCCTGCTTCATAGTTGAGAAGCTGTGGTTAACGTTGTTCCTCTAGGCTTATTGTTGTGTGCTCACTTACGTAGTCTGGTTTACCATGTTCTGGTACAAGCCATTGTTTTCAATTCTAGCTTCGTACCTGGTTTCGTTCCTTGTTTTGTTTTGTTTTGGGAAATATGAAATTTCATTCGTTTCTATCCTTTAAATTTTTTTTTCAGTAAAAAAAAAAAAAAAAAAAAAGCTAGCTATATCATACTATCGTAGCTCTATTAATAATCGATGGTTTCTTTAATCGTATTCCGGTAAAACACGAAAAGGCTACGAAGCATTTATGTTTCAGCAAAGTTGCCGGTGGCATTTGTTCTGTACTTCCTAGATGCTTGCAGTTCCGAGATTGTGAGATGTATTTCTCCTGTTTTTTCGACACCTTGAGAAACTGAAATATATTAAAAATAAACCTATGTTAAGACAGTTGTGTTTTTGATTAAAAACAGGAGATACCTTTGCTTGTTTCAAAAGCAAAATCTCTTTCAGAATGACACTTATTTTGATTTCAAAGCAGAACAGATATTAACCAAAAACAGCTAATGCCGTGCACAGGCACTGATAAGTCTGCATGTGATTTTTTATGAGCCAACCACCTCGTATACCAACCAATTCGTTACCACCTTCGCAACAACAACCACTAAAACACATACATTACATGAAAATCGTGTTATCTCTATTTATTTATGTCCACAACCTATATGCACAGAATTAAAAATCTAAGACTTCTGTTTTCTATCTATCATCTGTCAAGCGAAAGAACTGACCCCATTAACGGCACCCCGCCGCCCATCAATAATCTCTATAGACACCCCCTGTATAGAGAGGTGGCTCATGGATTAATGAGGAAAATCTCCTTGGTCAAAAAAAAAAAAAAAAAAAAATGCATCACACTTCCACCTCAATTTCCTTTCTTTAACATGATCATCTTTAAAAGCAAAACTACAACACAGACAAAGGCTTCAAACCCATATCCAGCTTCAAACGGACACAGACCCAATCCGCTGACCATTTTAAAGGGGATGGATGACCTGAACAAAGCAAGCGGCTCTGGTACTGGCTATGTGCTCTCTCACTGTCATCATCCAAAGCGGATCACAATGCATGATATATCATCTTTACTCTTTCTTGCCAGTGCCTCAGATGTCAAGCGCTTTGCTGCTGCTTTAGGATCTTTAATTGATTTCACTAAATCGACTGCCTCCTGATTCTTCATGACCTGCAGAATATTACAGCAAACAAGGGGTATATAATGATAGTTACTTTTAAATGTGGCATGATTCCGTACCATGTACGCTATGTGGAGTCAATTCAGGAACATAAAATAGAGCAGTTCCAACGCAATTAGCACATCTTGTCACAAAAAAATGAATGAAGTAAACATATGTGGTTCAAAGTTTCAGCACATGCTTCCGAACTCCAATGACAAAAAGAACTGAAATTTTATATGTTAGCACACCAACAGCAAACTAGTTCACAAGATTCGGCCAAGCAATTCGATACTAGAGATGGAAGTTGAACAATTAAAGAGATATATATTCTCGTAGGACAAATTGATGTGCTTTGCTCCTTGAATGTTGCAGTGTAAAGTTTGTGTGGGTTTGGAAATGAGTAGGGCTTCGATGTAATCTGCCTTCGCTCATCTACGTTTAGCAAAGCTCAAGCAGATGTAAAGCTTGAGCTTGGCATGTAAACAACTTTCTCTTTTACATTCAGTGGTGGAATTTACCCTGGGCCCTGCTGCTGTGTAACTGTTAAGTTAATAGCACACAAATACCTATGATCATGTCCTACTTGGTCATAGTTAATGATAACAGAAAAGGGGGAAGGAATTTCAATGGAAATTCTAGATAGGCGGATGGATGGAAAAAAGTACGGAAAGATGGATAACTGAAGGGTAGATTATGTTCAACCCCTCCAAAGATACAGAAAATCACCACTCTCAAGGAGAATGAACAAGGATTTAAACTCCAAAAATGTTAGGATGCAGAAAAATCACAACAATAAAGATTGGAGTTTAGGATAGCTCATGACTCGATAGAATCCACCAAAGAGATACAAACTAAAAATAAGGTGTCAAGCTTAACATGATTTTCATCACTCAACAATTCTCTCTATGCCATTCTCGGTTTACAACACATATTTAGATGAAATTAATAAGTAAAAGATAAGATAAAATTGACATGTAAAGTCCTTTCAAATATTAAAAGCCTAGGACAGAACCAACTAGGAAAACGGCAAAACTTGAAACTGTAAACCTAGACGCAATTTTATTTTATTTTTTAACAGAACCGCCAACAAGTGGATTCAAGTCCATTCTAGCCCAAACTGCTGATTTTATTGACATGGACATTTGTTGCCTAAGCCTACACTCCTCGCCAGCATGTAATCTTGAGGCTTAAATGTTTAAGATCCTAGTGCTAGCTTGTTGAAAATAGAGAGGCAATTTTCTGTAACTTTCACTAGCATATGTGAATTTCCATTTGATTCTTGTAATACATGCTAAGCTTAAGAGCTAGGAAGAGATCAGGGACAGAAGAATTTCAGTAGAAGGACACACTTTTTCAAGGACTCTAGTCCATGCTTAATGTATAAACTTAATAACCAGCAGATGACAGATTCACATACAACTGTAGACGGCAAATTTGAATGAAGGAATGACTTCAAATACTCAATATAGATGACAGCCTATCGAAGATTGTTGCACATGTTATTTCTTGAAAGTGCATGAAAAAATAGAAATTGACAATTATTTGTAAATACACATCAATATTTTCTAACGTGTGTTGCAGTAGTTATCATTTTTCAATATTCAACTTGTAATGGTGAGCCATGCCATTTGATATGGTTCTAAGTGTGATCCAGCTGAAGTCCTATTTTTTCTGTGTTTCTTGCAGCAGATTATTTGTTTAATAACTCTTTTTATTCGTTTCTTGTCACAAAGGTTTGAAACCAAATTTGGGTTTGAAACATCAATTATTTGACTAGGGAGAGTAATTACAGCTTAAAGGACAAGAAGGATAGTGGGGAAAGAAAAAAACCAAGAACTTTGAGAGTTCTTTTGTTAGGTAACCTAGCTAAATCATCAAAACCATCACATGGACTGTTTTAACACATGCTCACCAAGAGTTGCACCCATATTGGCAAGGTATAGTTCTTGGTTATATTCCCAGAATAACTTCACCTACGCCGAGGCTTCCAATCTGCTAAACAATGTTCCTACTATCACTAACATGTCAGTTACACTCATGCTGGGGTTATGATACCTACTTATCAAAGAATAATTAGAAACTCAACCATCACAAACTCCTATCTGATAGGCATGATTTGATTATATAAGAATAATAATTTATTACAAAACGATAAAGGGTATCAAAACAAGTTCTCTTTGTTCAAATTTCTGCAACAATTATGTTATTTCCAATGCAGAGGAAACAATAACCCTTCAAACATCACCTCCAAAATCTAAATACCAGAGTATTTTTAACTATCCCCTTCTCTAAGCTATTAAATCTCTCTCTCTCTCTCTCTCTTTTTTCTTTTTTTTTGCCAACTAGTTTTTTCTGTAATCTGAATTTTCAAACCTCAATCTAACAATCAAAAACGAAAAAGCTAATAGAGTTTTCTTTAGAGATTTGACACACTATAATGAAAGCAACCTCACTGCGAATTGAAATCAATCCCACCCCATAGCATGTAGAAAGAAAATCCAAAAACATGCTGAAATGGTCAGGAGACACGGAAAAAGGTTCTCGATAAGTTTCTTAAAATTGTCAAAATTATTCTCAAATAAGCACAGAATATCCAGTTGCTATCACAAGGATGCATACCTCGGTATGTACCAAAATGGATCTACTAAATTGAATACCATCTTAGATCCCTGATTCCATAGTTCTTCTATGTACCTCATCATTGTTTTCTGTTTACTTATTCAACCCATCTTTCTGTCAATGAATCCTTCCTATAAATCAATTAGTTGCAGTATTAATCGCATAAATTTAGTTCGTCCGCTGATGAAAGATAATATTTTGGCCTAACACTTCGACATTCTTAAGTTAGGTTCCTCGCCAACTAAATGTAGTCAGGTGTCAAGACAACAATAAATTCCACAAATAGTACGATCATTTCACACAAAGTAAAAAAAAAAAAAAAAAAATGTCGCATAGGTTGTACGACGATGCACAAATTCAGAAACTACAAGATATTGTATAACAGCAACTGACCTTCCACAATCCATCACTTGCTAAGATAACAAAGTCCATAGTTGGTTCTATAGGCACATGTCTTACATCAGGCTCTGAACTTAAATGTGCTTTAAGGCTATGATCCCCAAAAGCTCGTGCAACTGCAAGTTGGCCATTAACCCTAGGTACATCTCCTGAAAAAATTATTAGTTTATTCGGTAAGAAGAATCGCAGCAACGCAACTAAGAAATCCTCTAAAGAAATTAGAATGCGCGTGATAAGTTTATACCATGGAAATGACACCCAATTATTAATTATCTGAATTCTAGTATCTAACAAAGTCTGCGAAACATTCCCCCGAAAGACAAAGAGTCCTGAAAGCCATAGAACATGAAAAAAATGGTGATATATTACCAGGAAGGGTTGTGACAAAGCCACCCTGCTTCTCGATCCTTTTTCTTTCTATGTGTGGTTCATGGTCCACTGTAAGCTGATTGGCACAGCCTCCTTCACAAACAACAGCTCGAGAGTCACCAACATTTGCAATCCATAGGTCTTTGCCATCGATAACAATTGCAGTGACAGCGGTGGAGCCACCGGGGCCTAATTGCATTGAGTTCTCCAAAATAAGGTTATCGGTGGAGCGATAAGCATTCTTAATGGCAGCGGGGGGATCTTTCCAGAAATTGGGCTGCAAGCATCATGACAGGCAAAATACGAGAGTGTGAAACGAGTGGTGATTAAAAGTGAATGATAATAGAGATAGGATGGAGAGAAGGGAAGACCTCGTCAAGTATGTTGTTGAAAAGGTTGTCTTTCAGATAAGTAGGGACACGATCGCCAAGATGGCCATCGAAGATGGCAAATAAGCCAAGCTCGTGATTCTTCTTTTTCCTGTATTCAGCAACATGGTAGTCTTCCATGTCATGACCAGACTTGCCCTCGACCAAGTGGAAGCCATGGGACAATTTCTTAGTGGAAGATTTACTTTTTCCTTTACCAGAAGAATCTGGAGAGGATGAAGAATTGAGACAGGCACCACACTGCAATCAACCAATCAATTCAAAACGTTTTTTTTTTTTCTCTCCCATATTCCATCACATCCCACCTCAAAAAGAGCCAAATATTCATTGTGGAACTGTGATCATACATGATAATACTACATATATAAACAACTGATAGAGAAATTTGAAGGAAAAAAAAGAAAAAGAAAGAAAGCTGTTTGGAAGGAGTTGGATCCATATAATCCATAACACACAGAACGGTTCAATTGATTGAATGAATAATAAATAAATAAAATCCAATATGGTAAGAAGAAAGACATGAACGATAAAAGAAGAGGGAGCAGTATCTGAGATAAAAATACAAGCTAGAGAGAGAGACAGAGTTTAGATGAAGATGATACCTTAAACTTGTGAAAGAAGGAGGTGGAGGTGTGAGACTGAGAAGCGCCTGCTGTTGCTGCAACTGATTGTCTATTCATCGTACTTACAGTTGCCTGCCTGTCTGTCTCTGTCTCTGCCTCTCTCAAAATTGATCAGATGATAAAGTCCTCCTCCTTGTCCTCCAACTAATATTAGCGTTTCTAGTACTGATAGATATCCGCACATATATGTATATGTCTATGTATAAGTATATGTACGTAGTAAAATCAAATCAAAGAAAAGGGAGGAATTGGGGCTTGTCCAACCAACCGACCAACCAACAAAATCCAATCTAAAACAATTATGCAATTCAATCTATTATGGCTGGGGTCTCCGTGTAGATAGATGAAATGATGATGGTGGTGGTGAGTTAGAACGCCGCGACTTTTTGTTTGTTATTCCCGGCCCAGCCAAACTAAACTAAATCACAAAAACCCTCAGCTCAGGTCAACTGTGAGAGATAGCAAGGAAGAAAGAATTCTCCTTGTGTTCTTCTCTATCTTTCTGTGAAGCTGTGTGTTTTCTGGTCTTCTGCGAGACAGGAAAGGAAAGGGAAGGGAAGGGAAGAAGGGAAGGGGTTGCGTTGCGTTTACCAAATGAACCTAAAAATCAATATTTCTTTCTTTCTGTGCGTGCCGCGTTTCCAATTGGACTCCTTATTTCTTAAATTAATAACCATCATGCGGCCGTCAAACAAACAGACGTATTAATTAACTCCCTCCCTCCCTCTACAATGCTAACGTTTGCTTCTCTCTCTCTCTCTCTCTCTCTCATGAATACTAATAATTAAAGAAAAAAAGTAATACTCCTCGTTACAAATTTATACTTTTTTTATGCTTTCCATTTTAGTCCACAAATAGTCCTTTTTTTTAATTGGTACCCCTTAGTCCTTACCCCATCTCTTAGTCTTAGGTTATAACTAACCAATAACATTCCATTGGTAGCAACATAACCAAATACATGGTTTTTTCATCAATCATTCATTCATACTAATCTTGAACTTAGCTATCTTTGGATGTTTTGAAAACATTTTATTCAATAATCTATATCTAAGTACTTATTTAAAAAAGGTTTTTAATATTCTAATGTTGAAAAGCTTTTTTATACTTTTGATTGGACCAACGAAACGATGGAATTGCGATAATGAGTGACGATAGAGAGGTTTCAATTAATGTAGACACCCCATAGTTTAGGTGTTAAAATTAAAAGAAAAACAGTACAAGAGGGTGTCGATCGAAATGATCGATAATTTAAGGATGTTTAAAGGTTTTAAGGCAGCCCGGACAGACCTTTTTGTATTAATCTTAAAATGATGTGCGTGTGCTTGCACGGTTGCAGCGAGATGATGGGTTGCGTGGCGCACGCGGTTTTGGAATTGGAATTTTCTAAAACGGAAAAACCTACAATTGAATGAATCCATACATTAATTAATCCGTCAAAACTGGTCTCGATCTCACCAGCTCCCTTCATAAACAAATGCGAAAAACCAGCGTTTTGGTTCGTAAAATTTAGTCGCATAAATTGATGAGATAATTCGTGAGAATTACAAAGTATCAAATAAATCAAGAAAATATGAAGCTCTCTCTTTCTTCCCAGTACAGGAAATGATGTGCGTGTGCACACACTCCTGTCAGTTGCTATCCAATTTTAGCGTGTGGGCTCCACAGTGCGCCTTTTGAATTCAAGGAAGGTTTTTTATTTTGTTTTTTAGTTTCCGTCTTCCTCCCCTTCCCTGAACCTTCCTATCCTAGCTAAACTATTATGACCGATAACATATTTATGTATGGACAATATATATATATATATATATATATGCCCGTTGCCAGTAGCCAAGCAACCATCCCCAATCCCCAACAGACAACAGCACCCAAAGCTAAATAGTAGCTTTTCTTTTTCTTTTTCAGTTGACTTTGCCCCTTCTATTCTATTCTACGTTGACAAACTTAGTTTCAAGGTTTCCTGTTTTAAAATTCCGTTTTTGCATCAAATCCACAGACAGATTATACCATATATAAATAATTTTATAAATTTAATTCCATTTTTTTTTATATATATTTAAGTAATTTGATCCGACTGACTTTAATTGTTAATAAAAAATTCATAAAATATACAGTTTATTAGGGGGAAAAAAAAACCTCCATCTAAATTTTGATTCACTAAAAGAATTACAATCATGTACATAAAATTCAATTTGCTAATTTGATGTAAACTTCGGATCTCTAAGTTGATTTTTTTTTTCTTTTTTCTTTTTCTGTGAGGTGTTTTAAACGTGTGGGCTGAGACACATATATAAATGGAATGATTTAATTTACTTGCTTATAATACTGAGCTACCCTCCACGTGCTTCATACATTTAACAGTACAGTCCTTTGGTCCATCTTCATTAACAAAACTAAAGGGGAAGTGTTTTTATATTTTGTAAACTTCAATCCCTCCTCAAATATATATATCCTTAAACTGAATTATGTGAGAAATTTATTTATTTATATTGAAAACTCACGAAAAAAACATTATTGATAATAAATAAAATAAATAAACAGAACCGATAGAAAACAAACTTTTGAAAAGAAATCAAATCCTGGTTTTTGCAAGAAAATTCTCTCCATTTGGAAGATTCATTTAACACCACAAAAGAAGAAATGTGTAAATTCATCAGCATACTCTCGAATCAAAGAATAAGAAAAGGAAGAGAAAAAAACAAAACAATACAAACAAACAGAAAGAAACCTGAAAGTGGCAAGAAGATCCAAAAAAAAAAAAAACGAAACGCAAACACACCAAGAATAAAGAAGCAATATTGATGATGAGCCACGAGCTAGATAGCAATATTTTATATTGGTAATCTAGCTAACAAGTATCAGAAGGTGGCCGGTGGTGATGCAGTTTGGGATCGATGATGGCGAATATCTGCTAGCAATTATCTTCAGTTGGCCTCCTCCTCCTCCTCCCACCAAGTTGAAGAGCGCTTTCAAATTTAGACCTCAGCAAGAGAGCACCCCTGCTGCTGCATATAACATGAGTTGCTGCTACTGCTCCTGTTGTGCTCCTACCGCTACTACTAGTGTTTGCCATTGTGTCCGTGATTCCTTGCTCATCTTCATGTGCTGCTGCTGCTACTGCAGCTGACAATGAAATTCCTTCACTATCGAACAGCATTGATCCTGCATCCACTGATACCACCAGTGAGCTCCTCTGCAACCTTAATCTGGACACCATTGCCCGAGTGATCCCTTTGCATCTCTTTACCTTCAACTTCACCAAATTGGGACAGCCGCGCCCGACAGCTTCGATCCCCGACTTCGAGACATTGGGGCAGTTCTTGATGCATAGCTTCTTCAAGGCCAAGAACTTGGCTGCAATAAATGCCATTTCCGAGTCCCCGACAGAATCGGTGTTACAGAGGGCCATCCGCTCAAGTCCGAGGCAATTCGATGCAAGGGCATTCAGAGACGGAATAGCCATCGGAATGCCCATAAGTACCAACTCCTGCAATTGGGAGCATTTGTTGGCTATGGAAAACACCCCCTCATCGCCAATTGTCCTGCTGCCGAACCTGCTCCATGCATCGATATGTAGCTTCCTAAGCTTCTTGCAAGAATTTGCAATTGCAGATAACCCATCGTCGGTACAATCAGTGGTGCGGCTGAGGTATAGAAGCTGGAGGTCAGGGCAAGAAGAGGAGATGGCCAGGAGGCCTGCATCGCCCATCTGGACGTTCTCCATCTGGATCTCAGAAATGGAAGTGGTTTTTCCATGGAGACCAGTTTCGAGAACTCTGTCCCAATTACCAGAGCTCCTGCAAACAACGAGGGTTTTGAGGGAAGCGGAAGCTGAGAGAATTAGAGGGATAAAAAGGCGAGCATTGTGAAGATCTTTGAGGCATAGCCGCTCTAGCTTCAGGCTCCTCTGGTGGTGGTAATGGTGAGCATCCTTCTCCTTGCTGTTCGCATCTCCAACAACAACAGCATTAATATCATTACTATGATCATTACTACCACCACCATCATCGGCACTCAAAGCTCCAACCCACAATGACGATGCAGGGGTACTGCTGGTGGCATCCAGCTTTCTTAGGCGCTTGAGGGTGAGATCTTGGAGAGAAGGGCAATTAGAGAGAAGGGAGTTGAGACCTTTGGCACCAAAACCACAGGATGCAAAAGAGAGTTTTGTGAGGAGAGGAGGATGGTGGAGAGAGAAAGCATGCAGCCCGTCATCAGAAATATGGATGCAGCCCTTGAGTTTGAGCTTCTTGAGAGATGGGAGAAAGATGGGAATGCGAGAGAGAGCAGCATCGTCTATGCTGAGGAGCTTGCGGGAGCACTTGAGAGACAGGATGGAGACAGTGTTGAAGCGAGAGAGCAAGGAAGGCAGGGATGGAGACATCTCGGAACGAGCAAGCAAGACAAGGCGGTTTCTTGACTTCGAATCCACACACTTCCATCTCTTGCAAACCAGGGAGCAAGAGTTCCTGTCAAGGCAACCCAGCTTCCCGAACACACTGCCCAAGCACTCGTCAGGCAGACTTAGGGTCAAGTCGTCGTCCTCGTCAATACTGCAGCTGTTTTTTCCAATGATAACGGGCCTGTAAATCTCTTGGCCATTATTGCACGAGCATGAAGAAGAGGATTGGCCCATTCCCGGCCACTACCTCTCTCCTACTTTCAAGACCACCTCTTCTAGAAATTAAGGAAATGGCATCATCGGCCGGATTTATTTGGATGGATTCTGTACGATGAGCAAGAAGCATACAAAAAGAAGAAGGATGAAGGGTATTAAACTTTCGTATCCATGGATAAGACCTGCTATAATTATTATCACTAGATGGATTGATTGATCGTAGTACTATACTACATATGGTAATTGCTGCTGTTTGTACTCGGCCTTTGTCTTAAAAATAAAAATTTAAAAAAAAAAAAGGAAAAGGGAAAGAAAAAAGTGCAAGAAATAGGGGATTGTTTGGTTTGACACCAGGAATAGCCTTGTTACTTTTACCACACAACACCCAACAGCCAACATCATCACCCTTACCAAATACATCCTTATTTGAAATAGACCCTTTGACGAGACAAAGAAAGAAGGTATCACCCGTGGTCTGGTCTAGGGCGGAGCGCAAAAGTTGTGGGGACCTATGTCCCTCCAAAGCCCTTATGTTGTCTGCTTCCTGCAATCGACATACTCCATGTCTTTCCCTCTCTTTTTTAATCCTTCTCTTTTCACCTAGGGAGAGGCAAAACTCTCCTAGACAAATGGCAAAAGTTCGGTTGATGCGACAACTACTGTGACAGGTTGGCAGGAACTGCATAGTACTGGTACTTGTTGTAATTTAAAACCTAAAAAAAAAAAAAAAAAATGTTCTTCAAAGCCTTCATATCTGGTTTACAATGACAATTTGAACCAACGAAATTCTCATGCATTTCCCTCATCACTCCATTCATTTCATCTTAAAAGAAGAAAAAATTACACACACACACACACACGTTAACAAGGCAGTGCTCCAACATCTAATGATGTAGCCTGTAGACAAGCAGCAAAGGCTAATTCATGTTCTAGTCTTGTGAAGTGTTCCACTGTCTTTACTATTCAATCAAAAAAATAACAGAAAGCTAAGTTCTACTCTACGTTTATGCATAAAACAAGGAAGAGCCGACATCCAATGCCATATAATAGGGTTACTAGTTTCTTCCCTTATGGAGGCAGGCCAGCCCATGAAACTTGAACAAGCTGAAACGACTCAAAGCAACTACAGTCGAGAGTACAATAACTAATCACAGACAAAATATACACGAAAAGATGCACCCCACTGTAAACTAATTTTGGTCCTGCTGTTTGTTTAGGCGTGCAATTGTTCACCCGACTGCAAGAAAATCAAAATTCATAATTCCTGCAGGTGTTAAAAAAAAAAAACATTGAACGAATTTAGAATGTGTTCTCTTCTTTAAAAACAACAGTAAAAAAAACATTAATCCCAAACTAGTTGGAAGCAGCGATATGAATCCTTTTGTGCCATGCACACCATCATAAATAAAATCCACCTAAAAAACTTAAGTTAACAATTACAGAAAATGTAAACAACTTATCCTTATAGACTCTCCCACAACTTAAACTTAAGTCAAAGATACAATACACACCAGGGAAAAAAAAAAAAAAAGAGGACAAAAATGTTAGCAACAGAAACACAACATTTGCAGCCCTCTGTTTGGTTTCCATGAAAAGTAAGAAAAAATTCAGTATTACATGAATGTAAAGGTCATTTTTTCAGGCCCCAAGAAAAAGGAAAAGCTGGATAGAAGAAGAAACTAATGTGTAGCGTACTTTGGTATGGACATCAAAAATCACCGGAAATTTCATGGAATTAGATTGGCCCCTCCAATATGTACTTGTAAGACTGTGTACTGGGATTCACAGATAAGCCAATTAGTTGTGAGAATCTACCACATTAAACACACATCTGCAGCTGGCAAAGGGTTAAGACTTATGAACCAAGTAGCTTCTTCCATCTGGCATAACCTAGAACAAGCAGGAAAAGAAACAAACATCCAGTCGAAGATCCTCCCACAAAGTAGCCAAATATCCCATGTAAATTATACAATTCACAGGGAATGTTCATGCCAAACATCCCAGCTAACAGGGTGTCCACTGCAATAGCAAATGACGCTATGGTTAATATCAGTTGGAGCTGGATGAGTTCATTTCGCTGGTTGTCAAGCTGAATATTGACATAGTCTTCTGTGTCATCAATATACTCACGAACCTGAAAATTCAAGAACAACCCAGTTAACTTCAAGAACAGGAAACTAATAATCACCATAAATGGATTGAGCAGTCTAATAATCTAATCATGGATACATTTGAATGGCAAAGCATTTTATGCCAGTTTCTCATACTCATGATTCCCTCATCGAAAATTGCTCCCATTAGGAGACGATTGATTATATAAGCAGAACCCTAAGTAGAGTCATTAATCCTTTTAATTGCTATTCTTGCCTGATTGGGATTTGCATCCAGAATAGATTTTTGGATGATGTCAAATGCAGTTCAATCGGAACTAAACAGAAAACAACTAGAAGCAACAAAATTTCATGAAGTTCAAATTCATCCACAGTGTTACAAACTAATATAAAGCCTCAAGAGCATCTCGAGTTATATCATCCATCAAACAAAGATGGTGTTCCATGTAGTTTAGCAATCTGAAAATTATAATAGAATACTTGTAATATCAAGACAAAACATGCCCCTTAAATGCTATGCGACAGATGCCTATAGAATATTGATCAACAAGCCTGCTTTTGGACCAAGAACATCCTTCATGAATGACCCGTGCAAAAACTTTGACATTTATCATGACAATTCTTTGCTCAACATTTTGTCATGTGTAGTCAAGGAGGCAATACTCACAGACAATATTTTATTACGTGTTCCATCTAGCTGCATAAAATAAGCCTCAAGCAACATCTCCAAATCCTCTACATCATCAACATCCAAAACGCTGCCAGTCACCATACTAGCACTCCGGTTAGAGCCAAGACGAGGGAGATGTGGTGTACCTAGCGTTATGCTATTTGAAGCTGCAGCTCCCACCAAAGCCTCAGATTGCTGATTCTGAATCCACTTCCTTGTCAAATATAAATCTGCCATATCTTCATTGTCATCTAATAGATGTTCAATTTCGTCCCTCACCTAATATTAGATACATAAGTAATCCTTGATGAGAAAATAACAGGAAGTAAATAGGATTCTGCATCAACTGTAACATCCTTGATGAAGTCTGTCAGTTTCATGTATAAAAACCATTTTGCTGTGCAATGTATTATTTAAGTGATAGTTTTAAGAATTAGAGTGGGGAAAGAAAAAAGATATGCAAAACCCACAAGATACTTATGAACATTAAAGTGTACCAAAAATATTTCTCGTGACAATTTCTAGCAATAAAATGAATAGAGTAAACAAGCTTCATTAAGAAATTCACATGAAGTTTCCATACATTCAAGCAGATACAAGGAGAGAAAAAGAATGTACACACGAGTACATGTTCAAATAACGTATGGTGAAGTTAGGTTCTTCAGGATGCATGAATTATTTCTACATTCCAGCTCCCAAGTTCTTATCCACACATTCCAGGGTTACATAATTCAGCTGAGAAAATTTTTTATTCCTGTGATAACTGGAAAAAGATAAGCAAAGGCATTCTATCGAGTTCAAGTAATTGGATTCGAAGTTCATATTGAAATAGGAAAAAAAAATCGGAAGAATTTTTCAAAAGGGATGGGAAAGAATATGCTGGATGCTTTCTTGATCTATCCTGTACATGTGTGCACACCTAGACATATAATTTATTGAGAGGAGGGAGGATCTACTGGAAAAACTATTAAACATTCCATTCAGAAATGTTCTGTCTTTAGGGGAAGATCAACAACTTTCTCATTCTCATTTTTTCCATTCCAGATCCTTTCCATTAATAAATTTCTTCTTCTTCAAAACACAAACTCACTCGCTTTCCACGAATCTGATGATCAACCATAAGTCCAAACAACAAAAGACCATAAGGAGCGTAGGAAACTCAAAGTGCTTTAGATGGAAAATACAGAGTCCCAACTTCTACCCTTGTGAAAAACTGTCCAAAAATAGATGTCAAGAAAAGATTTCTCACCACTGCTACCTTCCATGTGCTGGAATCCATAACAAAGTCCAGAATACACAGTGCATTTCATCAATCTGCTTATTGCTCTCATCCAACTGAACATTCTTATGATATTCTGCATGAAATACTTCACAGCTCCACAAAAGAACACAGAGGAGTATCTGTTGAGAGAATATCATTTAAAAATTGTAGCTATAAGCCCCCAAGCCTGCAGTATTTTTAACTTAACCATGCATGCATCCTATACCATTTCATGTCTTGCAGTGAAGGAACCCTGGCATCCTTGACATTGAATCAAAAGTTGCAAAACGCAAATCACATCTGATATGAACAAGTGACACAAAAATTCCAAAAACCAACACGACACATAACAAATTTCCTCCAATTAAAAGAAGACCAAAAACCACATCTGGAAAGATATCCATCCATACTGCAAGAAACTACATAAATATGACATTCAATATCACCACTAAAGTTCCATTTGATTTATATTATCACTAAGACACGTAATGCGAAAAGATATAGCCTAGAATTCATATCTGATGCCATTGGAAACCAGATAGAAGAGGAAGTGGTTGTGTACAATTTTAAGGCAAGGGGTGGAAAACAGGTGCCTCTACTTAAATATTATGCAAGAGTTTGCATTGACTCATCTACAAGTACGTCCAAAAACCTTCGAAAAACGAAATTTAAACCTTGGTATTAGTTTTTCAACAGTAATATTTAAGAGAGATTGTTGAGCATAACAAGTATTTAGATGAGTGTATTGGCAAGCTACCTTCTGTACACGTGCAAGCAGACGGGTGAGATTACTTTTCAAACTCCGAACATGTTCAAGATTCTTGGTGCTAACATTCCTGGCCAATTCATCCAGCACGGGATAGGCATCTCTCTCCAGGTCTGCCACACTGGAGTCCAAGTAGGTACAGACAACCTCCAATGCAATCTCCAGAACTTGAAACTCAAACGGAAGCTCACATTGCAAACCTTCAACAGCTTCTGGAACAGGCAACCATTGTCCCCCTGTAGAAAGATGAGTTTCATTATCATGAATATCTGCAGTAGTCCCCGCTCCCTGCTGGGAGTTAACCGCATTCTTATGAGGAAGTTGTTGCCTTAGCTGTCCCACAAATGGAAGAACCTCCTGGCAGAGAGGATCCAAAATCAGGATTTCTTCAGCAGTCACTATAGCCCTTATAAACTCTAAGTTGACAACCATGGCTTTCTCCCTGGCTGGAAACAATTAAGGAAAAAAAAATTGTATTGTTGGCAATCATATTCACAACTAAAAAAATAAAAAAGAAAATAAAAAGAAGAATTACCAAGAATATTAGAAGAGTGAGAGAAGACGGGGCCAAGAATTCTCAAATCCCTCGCAGGAATGGCGACGCGCTTGATGATAGCACTTTTATCACATTCCACCAACTCCGAATTCCCGAACCTATCAAATCTCATCCACAGCCTGGCCGCTCCACCGGCCTTCTTCTTCCCCTTCCCTGGCCCCGTCGCTGCCCCAACCACCAAACTATTGTTGTTGCCATTAGCATCAATTAATTCTGGTGGTGAGGAAGATCTCAACGGTGGAGGAGGCGGAGCAGATGATGGTGATTGCAGGCCCGCTGCCTTCTTCAAGCGACGACGGCTATTTTTGCGGAAAAAGAAAGGCAGGCCCTTCCCCATTTTAATTTAATATAATATTAGAAGAAGGGAAGAGAGAGAATTCACTGACGACCGTAGATACCTCAGCAGCAGCACATACTTCTTCACGTAGAAGGAGAGTGTGATCACTCTCTCTGAGCCTTAACCTTCAAATGGCGTGTTTTAATGGTGGCAAAGGAATCAAATAAAGCTTTTAATTTATTCCAATTCTCCTCTCTTCTCTTTCACTCCTGTTTTTTATTTTACTACGACTGCCGTTTTCGTTTTACGTTATTAATAAAATAATTATAATAGTAAAAGCCAACCGCATCCTTCCTCATTTGATTTATATTTACCTAAGTGTCCTCATCTTCACTAGCGTGTATCATATTTACCAAAATTCCACTTATTTTCCTTGTAATTTTAATGCTATCTTAATTGTGTTTCTTGTACAAGTTCCTTTCCTAAATTCCACCCTCCATCTCGCAAAGATTGTTCAAAGAAAATAATCATTATTTAAGGAAAAAAAATTGTAACATAAAAATTCATGAAAGAAGCGAAATTCGTTCGAATCTTGGTCGATGAAACCCTCATTGACCAACCCCACCCCCATCACTCCATTCGGTCATTCACTTCATCTTTTTGGAGGAAAAATAAAAAAACCCGTTTGTTGTTACAACTGCACATCTCTAAGCCGTGCTGTAAAATTTGTCCTGCTATCTACATCATACACTAAATTCTAAACTTGAAACTGTTTATGTATGAAAAAGAGAAGACCAGCCACCGCATGAAACATTACCAAGGCTACAATTTCTCTCCTCTCTTTTCGGCTACCAAACTTTCAGCAACCAAATTGGCTCCAACCAAGGATACACACAATAAGTAATCACAAACAGAAATATACACACCACGGATGCACCTCTACAATAAACTCATTTGCAAGAAATTCAAAAATTCCTGCAGGTGAAAAATAATCATTGAAAGAATTTCCATTATGTCCCGGTCTGTACCTAGTTGCCCAAACTAGCTTTTCAACCAAGAGCATCACTCATTTGCAATGTAGTAGTAGCTGGAACACTTGCTTCCTGATTATCTGGTATCTGGGGTGGTGCCTGTGGCAATGTCGCATTGCTTGCAATTGTTGCTGGGATACTTTCCACAGACGCAACTTGATCTGAATTACTTCCTGAGGATGAAGTAGGAGCCTTATCATCAACAGTAGGATCAGCAGTAGGTTCGCTTGCTTCTGATGGCAGTGGAGAACTTCCTGCTTCAGGCGGAGTGCTAGGAGGTGCATTTTCTGGAGCTACTGAAGTAGTCGCCATTGCAGCAGATGCATTTTCTGGAGCTGCCGAAGTAACTGTGGTTGCAGCAGATGCAGTAACTGCTTCAGGAGTGGCACTGGGAGGAGCTTCTAATTGTAACGGTTTACCTGGTTGCTGCTGTGAACTCTGTACACCAGGAGTTGATTTTTTCTGAGTAGTAATTAGAGCAGAAAGAGATGGCATTCCTGGTGGAAGAATTTCAATTGGTGGCTTCTTCCCTGCTTCTCCCAAACTGGTAAGCTTAGGTTCTTCCAGTGAAGCCAGAAAGGCAGCTGCAGCATCTATCTTTTTAGAGGGAGCATGGTCAACCTCTTTCTGCAGCATTTTGTTCCAAGCCTGAACCAAGTTCTTGAGTGTTGGTCGTCCATGAGCCTAGAGACATACATGAGGATGGTCAGATAAAAAAAATATCAATCTCAGGTTTTAAAGATAAACAGTGCATGTAAACTATATTCATACATGGGCATGAAGTACAGCCTCAGCAAGCATCCCAGTATCCTGCCATGACTTCTCCATCAGAGCATTGTCTCCCAACACTGCAGCAGAAAATGCTGCTTCACGTCCCAAGCCAGCTGAAATCAAATTGGTTACCAGACCCTGCAGCACACACAAGGAATTGCTATTAAAAGAAATAAAAATAAAGACATCAACAACTAAGTGTAAATTTGAAAATCACTGATACAAAGCCTATAAAGAATCACTCATAGCATGCCATGGGAGTAACAGCCTACTTGCTTTCTAGATACACATAGCCATATATGGTTATTCATCCAAAAAAATAACCAACCAAGCACCTTTTCCCCTCTACTATTAGTTTCCTAGCAAAGCATAGTATAACATTCAAGCATGCATCACAATTCAAAGAATCAATACATGAGAAAGTGCAGATATATGACATACACTCAGCCTTGTCAATTCTCCATGATTTGCAAGGCGCAAAGCAAGTCCTCTCAATTCATGACCCTGTAAGGCTCCTTTCACAGAACCTGCAGCAGCTAACCTCTTCAGAGCTTCTCGAGCAATATCAGCTTGAGCAGTAGCATCAGCAGCATCGATGAGGTCCAAAAACTCCTTTGCGAATTTCACTATTCCTTGAACAGCTTCAACAATATTTTCTTTTTTAGCCGTTATGTTGAGAATGTCATTCAAATCCAGCCCAATACCATCTTGTCCTATGTCCCTGCTGTTGCTCATGGTAAGAAGGCACTGAAGAGCTCTTTTCAAATCATTGCTTTGCATGGCCAGATCAAACTCCAACCTAAAAAGAATGTTGATTAGCACATAACTAAATTGCACAAAAAAAAAAAAGTAAGCACATGCTGCAGAATGCAGCAACAAATTGCTTTTAATGGACTTGAATTGACATTGTTTTAACTTGGAATAAAAATACTTGAACTTTGTTTACTGTAACAAGAACTGACACAATATGCCTGACACATTAACCAAGAAGTATGAGCATTTATGCAAGTTTTAGAGTTTGGGTAAGACATAATAGCAGAGGGCAGGAAGTTTGAAATACAAGGAGAAAGAGTGAGAGTGGGTGAGAGAGAGAGAGAGAGAGAGAGAGAGACCTCTTAGATATTCCAGGCAAATGAAGTGCTTCAGTAGCATAGCCCATCCCCATCATAAATTGTGCCAAATCATCATGATGTTCCCTACCAAGCCTACTTGCCCTGCACATGAAAGTAGAAGATAGGGTTTGCCAGAACTATAACTGCAACAGTAACAAAGCATTTCTGCAATTCATCTGTAACTAAACAAGGTGGAAAAAGTAGGTACCATTTCACTGCACTAACAGCATCCCCGTAGGCAGCAAGACAGCGGCAACGAATGCCAGGATGACTTAGAGATAAGGCATGTGCACACATGTACCTACCAAAGAGAATTCATCTGTCATATCGATTTCTCTTGTATGACCCAGTAGATATGCAACACAAATGGTAGGTGTTAAAATAAAGACAATAGTTCTAGACTTCTAGTTTTCCAAATTGGAAAGAAAAATGCCATAGTTCAATTGTTTACGGGCCTGAGTACTCTTGCAACATGCAGAAGCTATTAGAAACAATCAGTCAACTTCTTGCTTTTCTTCTTGATATTAGTAAAAACACTCTCCTGTCATCAATTAAAAAGACTTACTATACACAACCAGCCAATGAAAATAAATTCCTAGACTAAACTTTTGCAGGCCCAATTTACAATTAAGGAAATATACTTTACATGATAAATGCAACTTATTCAACAAACTAAATTGAAACAAGATTACTGCAAGTGGAAGTATGTGTTGGGAGTCAGAGACGGAGGAGCCAGAAATCAAGCATCATAGTGGAACTTCAACTCAAAAGACTAATACATAGGCAAGTTCTGTTTGGAATGAGTATAAATATAGCCATGGAAATCATGGACCCACAAAAAACAAATTTCATTCTAACAAGCTTATCTCAAATAGCACAACAGAAAGTTTTTACAAATTGAGCTAAAAATCCACTGAAAGAAAATTCAGTAAGAGGAGGTTCAAGAGATGGATTTGGAGTAATGTATTTGTGCACAAGAATGCAAGATATAGATAATGACAGAACTTTTACTTGTGATATAAGCAAAACAAACAGAATAGAAGTGATGGAGATAATATTGCAACATTAGAAATGGCGACACAGATGTGTGTGAAAGCTAACTCCTCTGAACAAACCATTATAAATAGAGGTAACAACACTCGATACACCTGCTCAACTTGAACATCCATCAAAAACATGAGAAAAGGAGAAGAATGATAACTGGGTTGAAGCAAAGTCATCTCAGTCATTTCAAAGTAGTAGGAAAAAGTCAGTGGAAAGGGAGAGGAGAGACCCCTATTGCTAACTTCAAACTCTGTTATGTGATCAATTTCATCACGGAAAGATGGGTAGTTTGATGTTTGTCTTAAGAACAATAGGAAACAACAATGTTGCTGGCACTACTGCAAGTCATAATGTTTCTAAATAGAATGAGACCGTACAACCACAACCTAATTACTATGCAGAAATCTTAACAAGCAGGTGAAAAGTAAAAGGGGAAAGTTGAAACATCATTTGCATCTTCATTTCCTAATAGAAAATTCTAATGGACTAGCCTTAAATCTTGGAAATTCTTTAAAAACAAAAAGATCATCCAATTACCTATCAATAAGCCAAAGAACTCCATCCCTTACACCCACCACAACCAGAGGTCCTACTGGTCGTTTCTGCTCTGTTGGAAAACGAGTAACTGCCACAGAGACCCCTCCACCACCAACAGCTATCTCATTAACTTTTTTATCTTCTATCTCCCTTGCTGAATCATCTCCATCAATTTTAGTCTGTTTTGGCAATGTTAAGAAAGGTGGCACAGAAGGAGCATGCTGAAAAGAGGCTAATCGGACAACCTGAAAGGAAAATGTATTATTTACTTAGAAAACCAAGAAGAAGACCAAATTCTTCTAGTCACACAATTAGCACGATACAAAATAAACAAAGTCAAAGCTGAGAATACTTTAAGCGAGAAAAAGAAAAAGAACAGGAAAGATTCAGTCAATGGATTGCTTGCTAGCCAAGTGCAGTCTGCTATGTGAATTTATAAGTTCAACAACATAACTCAACTTGATAAAGCCATATCCCAGCTCAATTCATTTGGCTATATAACACATGAAATGCTACTTTAGCCAAACTATATGTAAACACTTTCTAGCATGGCTTTTATCTTTAT